GGCGTAACATCATAGTAAACGGCTCTCCAAGCTTGAGGATTTCCTTAATTTCGGGTTTAACCGGTTCCCCGGCGGACCGACGCAGCTGGTCCTGTTTCTTGACCCGACGTCGGCGTTCGGCGGTAATCGGATCCAGGTCATCCTCCTCTTCAAGAGAATCCGACGACTGGGATGCCGCGTCGTCGGAGATGGCGAGATCTTCGAGGTCGGCCTGAGAAAGGATCATTAGATTAAGCATAATACCAAGGTGGGGGACATGTAACTTACTTCATCCAGGCCGAAATCACTACTCTTGAACGTAGGCAAGGCCTCATTACCGGTTCCATCGGCGGCCATCTTCTGACGGGTCTTGTTCAGGTGCCACCGCTTGCGATCCTCGTGCCACTGGATTAACGCGTTGATCTCCTCTAGTGCCTTGTGCTCGTCCACCTCCCCTGCATCCCTGGCCCCATGGATCAAAGCGTTCATGTCAAGCCTTCCTCCCTTGGGACCCTGACGCAGGAACTCCAAGATATCCTCAATCCATCCCATGAGAGCCCCGAACAAGCCGTTATCATGCAGGTGCACCTCGTGCACAAATTTGTAGAAACTAGCCTGGTGACGTTCACAAAGGTCAATGAAGGCCTGCACCGTCTGATTGGGGTCGGCCGACACGTCCTGCCTTTGACATTTCTCGATCACACCGATGGCATCGTCGGCGAAATGTGCGAAATCGGTGATGCTACTGTAGACATTGGCGGACTTGTACACTCGGACCAGGGGCTCGTAGAAGATGGTGAAAAGGTCGCGGAAGAGTTGGAGGGTGACAGGCTCTTCCACAATGCTGAGCATCATAGCCTTGTCTCGCTGACGGGTGTAGAGCTTGAGGAGCTGCTTCAACTGTGCAAACCATTGGGCGCCTTCCTGCATTTCAACATCCACGTTGTCAACAGCGAAATTCCAAGCAACGTAGGCATTGAAGACCTTGCCGAATTGCTCGCTAGTGAGTTCCTGAGGAAGAAGATCCGAACGGAGGATTGCCACGATGACGTCCACGTCGTCCGCAACAGCTTCCGCGCGGATAGCATCCTTGAGCTCGTCATCCGCATCGATGAATGCTTTCATCTTCTGGCACACCACAGGATCTTCCACTTTCTCGGCCAGAGTGTCAATCGTTCTCTGGAAGGCCTTGATGCCATCGTTCAGCGTCATCGAGAAAATCCGCTGCAGGAGAGACCGTGACCCAAAGGGCTGAGCAAGGAAGAGGTCCAGAACACCCGACATGACAGCGGCCGGGTTGGCGATCCGAATGACGTTCTTCATCAACGTATACGGAACCAAGGAATGGATTCTCTTGAACTGGGCAAACAGCTCCGGGGAGTTGTCCTCAGCTAAGAACAGGTGGTAGAGCGTTGCCGCGATCCTATCGATTCTTGGTCAGTGGTGGGGTTCGATGCAGGGTATGGACGGGTGACGCACTCAATCCGAAGCCATTCTGCGAACTTCTGATACTGAGGACTCAGATCCTCCACCGTTTGCTTCTCCTTTATTTCTGCGAACAACTTCGTCAAGCCATCTAGAAGAGGCGTTGGGTTAGCGAAACGCGCCGCCAGACGAACATGTCGGAACACCTACTGCTCTCCACAATGTCCCGGCGGAAATTCTCCATATAGACATCCAACTCGGCCGCACGCTGCCGGGCAATCTCGTAGAATCGCTTCTGCTCAGTGATTCTGACACCGTCTGCCTCTTTTCTCCGCTCCATATCAGCGAGCTCTTCGTCATTCAAGGTTGTCGGCTGTGCGGTCAAGAATTCCTCCATTGACTTCGACTCCGCGACACGCTTATGTTGGAGCAGAGTCCGTAGAAAAGCGCGGAGTGAAACTCGCTGTTCTTCCCTGAACAGGACCGTATCCTGACGGACTTCCCCCGACGTGCGCGGGGATTTATTGGAGGACTTTCCAAATGAAGAGCGCATTGAGGAGCGGGAAAGGGAACGGTGGACCCGGTGGTCTCCGGGGGCCAAGTTTTGGTTTGATTGCGCCTCCTCAGGGGTGCTCTGCGTGGATACCGACGAGATAGACGACGTCTCGTCATCAACAGAGCTGAACCAGCCGGACGAAGTCGACGTCTTGTTCTTTCGCGGAAGGAGAGGTAACGGCTTGCCAGGGAATTCGGTGCGCAGTCTCTTGTGGAGTTTTGAGAAGTCCCCGTAGCGTCGAGCCACGAAGATATCAGGCTTATTCTCTCTTCGCACCCGAAGTATGAACTCCTTCCCTCAAGGTCAGCGCGACTCCAAACATTCCAAGGTCGGATAGGTCCTTACCGCATGTTGATGGTGTCTCACGGTGCGACGTTGGGAGACCATTCGTACACCCGCGACGTTGACATCCCACCCATGAATGGCGTCCCCTTCCGGCATATTGACCAACAGCCCCTTCTCGTTCGCCCCGCGATCAACCACCTCCATTTCCGAGAACTGTATCCGCTCCTCATACCCCGACGCTGTGGGGATACCGGACACCATCATGAGCTCGACGAGCTTCTCACACTTCCGCGCCAACTTCCGGCGCTTCGTCTCCTCCAAACGGTCTTCCGACGACGACACATTCTTCTTGGCGAATGACTCTAGGAACTAATATCCGACCCGTTAGTTCCCGCTGACCGACTAGCCGACGCGACGACGGGGATACGTACCACCTGCAGTTTGTCCTGCCAGAATTCCTTTTCGCGCGCCTGATCGAGGAACGGAAAATTCCGCACATGATGAACGAATATATACCGAAGGATCGGAAGTTCCGAGTCGACGGGAGCGACTTCGCCAAATTCTGACTTGAAGGGGGCACCGAAGCGGCGGAGGGCGGTCGGGGAGTTCAGCTCTGCAATTTCGCCCTGAACCTGGCGGGCGATGAGTTCGCGTTTCAAGTCTGTCCTCGTCAGATCCAGATGATTCTAATTCAACCAGGGTGGTGGGGTAAGGGGAGGGGTCAAACAGTGTTCTTGCTTTCCCGTCAAGATCTGTCCCGACGGAATGGTGGGGGACGTCTGTCCGTCCCCGTTGGTGGGGTGCTGCTGAGCAGTCATGATGAACGAATGACTTGATCCGACCGTTTTAGAGGCAAATCAATCAGCCTTATAAGGAGAAGCAATGACCAGATCGAGGGAAAGATATTGAGGGGAATCCGTCTGCCTAATAACAGCGCGGGAGGATCTGCGACCAGATGACGTTGGTCGGGCCAATGCCGAGAGGAAACCCTGCGGGACTAGCTGTGGCTGTCGGGGGTTGGTGTCTGGGCAAGGATAAATCGAAAGAAAGGGGACGGAAAGAAGAAACCGATTCCTGTCAATATACAGGGGAGAGAGGAGAGGATAAAAGAAGCATTGAATAAAGGGGAGATAGAAGAAGGAAAAGGAGAAAGAAGAGAGAGGAGGGCGGGGAGGATGCAGGAGCGGGACGATCAGTTGGGGGGAGATTACGTTGTCGGCTCCCTCGGTCGATTTTTCTATATACGAACCACCAAATAAAGTAGCAGTGTCTGGACTTTTAGTTGATTATATTTGATTCTTCTATTCTTTGCGTCTGTCTTTATTTTTTATTCCATTCAACTAGTGTTCACCTAAGACCCACTTCCCCACCGGCGAGACTCAGCCTCGTAGTCCCTACTATAAAAAGAGTCTTGAGCTCGCTGCCTAGATAACTATCTAAATTTAGAGGATAGTTTACGCATGACTCCGATTGAGACTACTTCAATTATGAAGCTCATCTCTGACGATGTGTGTATGTAGCAGCAGCATGGGGGTTTTCTGATTGAGCTAGAATGCAGTGGCATTCGAGTTTGACCTGATGCTAGTACTGGATTTGTAGTAGGAATCCAATGATTGGATATGGATGATGATACCCTCTACCCGGCTTGAGTCGCTATTGCATCAGTTGGTACTCGGCTAGAAAGATCTAGAAATATGTCACCCAGTGTTCATGCCATGATATCTCACTGGCGTGTGGCCCGTTCCACCTCATAACACGGAAGATAGATTAGTAGCCAGTCTGAGCGACAAATGACCAAAGAGAAAGTCAGACTATGACGGCTCCAGTACGTTCTATGGTAAGAACACAGAGTTGAGAAAGCTGTGGTGACTGATAGCTACCGGAATCTCGTCGAAGGGTGCCACCCGGATGGAAATGGGAGCTTATCATGAACATCTGGAGTACCCCATGGTTCTTAACCGAGAAGATCATGAGTCAGAAGGGATATATATGACGGTTCTCTGACTTCTCTGTGACTGTATCTGAGACTAGAGCATTCGACCGGAATGAGATCATCACGCCCTATAAAGTCACATGCCCTATAAAGCAGCGCTGTTAGCTGCAACACTGACATTATATCTGTATCATAGATGTCACGAAAGGTGTGTACTTAAGCACAAAAGGCTCTGAATAGGGTTTGAAAACCGGCTCACTGGAGCGGGATGTCGGAACCCCATGTTTCGACAGGGTCATATGGCATGAACATACTTCAGCCAAACTTCGGTCCCGGAATGCCTCGTCGCAGCAGACTATAGCCGTCACTTTCCCATCATCAGGAGTCATATCTGTTAAGGTTAAGGGCATGTGATGAAGTCTATAAAATCCTCAGAGACCCAGCCCTCCCTCCGTCCTTGGACATCTAACCCGCGCTGTTCTCAAAAGCACCATCAACCAACAACCAGACAGATTCTCTATACCATCATCAGCATTCGTTCCATTTTATAAGAACCACCTTCGCTCGTTTACCTTCAAGAAAGAATCGATATGCATACCGCAAAGTCCATCATCTCAGGCCTGAAGAGGCGCTCCACCATCATGGGAAGTCGACGCAGAAAGAAAGAGAGAGATCTCTACTCCTGGTCTCATGACATAGTCACCGTTGGCGACGTCCCTCCTCCATACAAGGAGGCCAGAGAGAGCCTACTCCTTCAAAATAGAAAAATCCCGGTCTCGTATAACGATGATCAAAAAATCCGACACGAGTATCCCGTGAGACGTAGAGCTGCGCTCGAGTCGCAATCTATCAACCTCCCAATCAACCTATACACCATCCTCGAGGAGAGAGACAGCTTCATGGCCGAGATCCACCCGGCCTTGAGATGCCCCTGCCGAGGCCATGAAGCAGACAGCCTCGAAGCCGCTCTGGCATCCAAATCCATCGCTTCACTACCGACCAAGGAAGCCGGCCTCCAGCAGCTCGAATGCGCCATCGAACCGCTTGAGAAGATGAGCACCTGCACGAGCTGCCTGAAAAAGCGCCACAATTGCGACACCCTATTCTTTCTCTGCAAAGATATCCTGCACAGGTGCAAAGAGTATCACGAATTCCTCATCGCCATGCTCGACATCAAGGATCGCCAACCCATCTTGAACGTCCTGTACCCTCTGGCAACGGATCAGGAGCGCGCCTCGCTCCTGTGCCGGATGGCCTATGTCCAGTTCAAACGACTCCACGCCATTCTCAGCGCCATCACCAAGAAATTGAAAGATCAGGCGGCTTTCGACACCGACGCTTGGTGGTCGATGCGGAGTTACACCTACAAACTGTCTGTCGACACGGCTGCCCTCAGCTCGCGCACCGTCTGCGTCTAAACGAATCAGTCAACCAGGATGCGATTTCAGCGAAAGATGTGCTTGGAAGGTACCGATTTGTACGAATAAAAGTCATGTATTTGTATTTTTTTTTGATGTTATCTTTGGATCTGGGGGAGTTTAGGGCGCGTCAATCATGACCGCACGGAGTCAGTGGACGTTATGGATCTGTATTATGGGTTTATTGGGCTATCTCTTGGGTATGCATTGTGTTTGCTCTTGGCCTGGTCTATGGCCTCGTTTCTTGTATGTCAACAAGCCACATGGGAATTAAAAAAAGATTGCATGTCATCGGCATGAAAGTAACTGGTAGATGACCTGAAGTAGACATCAATAGTGGATGCAAATCAATGAATAGCGGCGAGTGCCAAGACCCTAGTCCAGCCAACGCTGACTGACTGCAGTTCCGCCTTCCGACTCTCCTGCCAGTGTCATCTCTCCCTGCTTTCTCTTCTTCTTCTCTTCTCTTCCCTCACTGAAATTTACTCCTTCAAATCATGGTTTAGGGCGGTCCTTTGCCTCGAAATTGCTTAGTTTCCGAATGTAACGCAACAGCGTGGTTTTGCGACATAGAACTCCGTCCTAGATCGGCGACAACTAGATAGATCTGGCCCGATCGGTTCGATTGCGGCTCTCGCGCGCTTGATCGACTGTCCCCTCGAAACGTCCCTCACGAACTTCCCGCGCCACCGATCGCGATGGGGAAATACGCAGACGATGAGCTCTCCGAGTTCTATCCCATGACCCGTCAGAGGGCCACCTCTTCCTCGACCCAGAGTTCCTCCGATTCGGGCCTGTCCGTCGAATCCGACTTCCTCCGCGGAGATGGGATCCCTGGTTTCGCGCAGAAGGGAGAAGAAGGACATGGTGGAGGACACACATACAGGGATATGGAGGAGGGGGATCCGGATGCCGACGAGCCGTTCCTACAGCACCCCAACAAGACAGCGTCGAGTAGTCGCGCGCGCCGGATAATCTGGGCCGTGGCTTTGCTGTGCGTGGGAGCCTGGGTGGCAGCACTCGTCGGGTTTCTGATCACAGGACGGCCAGACAAGCAGTCCAGGGTGGAGGCGGCGGAGCTCAATACAACAGTTGCCGTTGCGGGGAGTCAAGCCTCCGGTGAGCCGGTGACTTTGTCGGATGTCGTGGGTGGGAGATGGTACCCTCGTTCGCATGCCATTTCATGGATTGCAGGCCCGAAGGGTGAGGATGGGCTTCTGGTGGAACAGGGTGAGAGTAGCGGAGGAGATTACCTGCGCGTCGTGGACATTGGGGACGAGAAAGATCCGGCCCACATTCAGAAGACCAGAGTGTTGATGAAGGAAGCGGTCGTGCATGTCGGCGACACTGCAGTGTATCCGAGCACCACATGGCCCAGCCCGGATCTGAAGAAGGTTCTCCTTCTGTCGAGCAAAGAAAAGAATTGGAGACACTCGTATACGGGACTGTACTGGATCTTCGATGTGGAATCGCAGACGGCCGTGCCGCTAGACCCCAGCCTGCCGGACGCCAGAGTGCAGCTCGCCCAGTGGTCCCCAAAATCCGATGCGGTCGTTTTCTCTCGTGACAATAACATGTATTTGCGAAAGCTGTCGTCGGAGAAGGTCATCCCCATTACGAAAGACGGCGGTGCGAACCTTTTCTATGGAGTCCCGGACTGGGTCTACGAAGAAGAGGTCCTCGCGGGGAATAGTGCCACCTGGTGGTCGAACGACGGGAATTATGTCGCTTTCTTCCGGACGAACGAGTCGGCGGTGCCCGAGTATCCGGTGGATTATTTCCTATCCAGACCCTCGGGCAAGAAGCCTCTCCCGGGACTCGAGAATTACCCCGAGGTGAGACAGATTAAGTATCCGAAGGCGGGAGCCCCGAATCCGGTCGTGAACCTGCAGTTTTACGATGTCCAGAAAAGCGAAGTCTTTCCAATCGAGGTCAACGAGGATTTCGCAGACGACGACCGCATTATCATCGAAATTGTGTGGGCTACCGCATCCAACGCCCTAGTGCGCGCGACGAACCGGGAAAGCGACATTGTGAAGATCTTCTTGATCGACACCAAGTCGCGGACAGGGAAACTGGTCAGAGAGGAAGATATTGCCGGTCTCGATGGCGGATGGGTAGAGCCTTCGCAGACGACCAAGTTCATTCCCGCCGATCCCAAAAATGGACGGCCCCACGACGGATATGTCGACACAGTGGTCCACGAAGGATATGACCATCTGGCCTATTTTGCCCCTCTCGACAGCAAAGAGCCGGTGATGCTCACGTCGGGGAAATGGGAGGTCGTGGACGCACCGTCGGCGGTTGATCTGCGTCGGGGCCTCGTTTATTTCATTGCCGCCAAGGAGGCCCCAACCGAGCGCCACGTATACCGAGTGCAGCTAGACGGGTCCAACCTCAAGCCGTTAACGGACACATCCAACCCAGGCTACTATGATGTTTCCTTCTCCGACGGGGCAGCCTACGGGCTTCTGAGCTACAAGGGCCCGTCAATCCCATGGCAGTCGATCATTAGCATGGAGGGCGAAGATACCACCACGCTAAAGACCATTGAGAAGAACCCCGATCTCGCGCGCATGGTGAACGATCATGCCATGCCCACGGAGAACTACACGGAAATCACCGTTGATGGATACAAACTCCAGGTCGTCGAGCGCCTTCCTCCGCAGTTTGACCCGTCGGCAAAATACCCTGTCCTCTTTCACCTTTACGGCGGCCCCGGGTCGCAGACCGTGGACCGCAAATTCAAAGTCGATTTCCAGTCCTACATAGCCTCGAGCCTGGGGTACATTGTGGTGACCGTGGACGGCCGCGGGACAGGCTACATCGGCCGCGAAGCACGCTGCGCCATTCGCGGCAACATCGGACACTACGAAGCGCGCGATCAGATCATGACGGCCAAGGCATGGGGCGAAAAGCCCTACGTCGACAAAACCAGGATGGCTATCTGGGGTTGGAGCTACGGCGGCTTCATGACATTGAAGACGCTCGAGAAAGATGCCGGCGAAACCTTTCAGTACGGAATGGCCGTTGCCCCGGTCACTGACTGGCGATTCTACGGTATGCTCCCATCTTCCTCATGCACTCTAGCACGATCATCTCACTAACGATGAAACCTGCCACAGACTCCATCTACACCGAGCGCTACATGCACACCCCCGAGCACAACCCAAGCGGCTACGAAAACGCCACTATAGCCGATATGGCCGCCCTGAAGGAATCCACCCGCTTCCTCGTCATGCACGGCGCCTCCGACGACAACGTCCACCTCCAGAACACGCTGACGCTGGTCGACAAGCTGGACTTGTCGAGCGTCGACAACTACGACTTGCATTTCTTCCCCGACTCAGACCACAGCATTGCGTTTCACAATGCCCACTCTATGGTTTACGGTCGTATGTACCCCCCTTACCTGGATCTCACACATCCACATACCCCAAAGAAAACCCTGTTAGTTTAACATGACTGACCAAAAATCAACGCAGGGTTATCAAACTGGCTCGTCAACGCATTCAACGGCGAATGGAACCGCATCGCGAACCCCGTTCCCGAGGAATCTGCCGCCGAGAAAGTAAAGCGGGCCGTGTCCGAACTCTCTTAGCGATGTGACTCTTCCTATTATTTACCCCAAGCTCTAGCCATGTACAGCAAACATGTAGCATATATTATTGATTGATGTCGATCTTGCAGCCATTTAACGAGATGTTCATACTTTTTATTCATTTGTTTTGTGGTTGAGCTCTATTTTTGATTTGAGCGGCTACGCAGGCGTTAGACGGTGTATCTAGAAGGAAGCAATACAACATTCAAGTCCGTATTCAAAAAGTATTATCTTGACTGAATATGCGGTCTATCCTATTTATCAACGCAATGAACTGAAATGAAGATTCTATATATGTAAGACTCAGGGTCTCGAGTGTCTAAATGCTATATATACTAAATGAGTCGAATGACGGAGCACATTCGGCTGTAACTCCAGTAGATACAGTCTTCCTACCGCGTGAATTTCAAAGCCAACACGACAAGAGATCAAAACGCGAAGAAAAGAAAGGAAAATAAAGCAAGAGAAAATACATAACAAACACGACACGCTAACAACGCACTAAATGTTCAGCTCAGATCCGGTACAATGACATCAGAGTACAATGATATCAGACAGTCAACCAAGGAACAACAAACAAAAGGAAAAGGGTATAGATCAAGAACTGCCGTACCCGCCCTCCAGATTTCTGTAAATGCTAGACTGCAGGAACTCATCACGCATAATCGCACTGATATCTGAATTGCGATACTGGTGGAGATCGTCCCGCTGGAGACCACGCAGTTGCTCGCGGCCGGCAGTGGACAGGGAGATAGTGCGGGAGTGGTGGCCGCTGTTGCGGCCGTGGCGGCCAAAGGGAGGGGACCTGGTGCCGCCGGAGTGGTGGGAGAGGCCGCCGCGGGGGGCGAAGACAGGTAGGGAGGCGCTGCTAGGAAGGGGCAGGAAAGAGTCCGTGTCTGTGGAGAGATTGCTCAGGCCCGAACGGACGGAGGAGGAGCGGTGGCCGTTTGGGCCGTTGCTGAACATAGGGTAGTTTGAGAGGGAACTGTAGACGGTTGTGATGCCCGAGGCGGCGGAGGAGCGCCATGATTGCACGGCGCTGGTTGGAATCGTGATGACTTCTTCTTCGATAGGGAGGGGGTCTTGCTGGAGGGCTGTTGCGACGTCTGTGGGCTCGCTGAAGGCGTTGGTGGGGCGGGAGGACATCAATTTTGCGGACTTGCCGATCCAGAGCATCTGCTCGTGTTCGCGGAGGTAGCGGTCGCCGCTGAAGGATTTTTGGACGATCTTGCGAGTCATCATGCCGAGTTTGCGGCGGAGGTCGGACTTCTCGTACATGCGGCGGGTGATGCGGGCGACATCTTCGGGGGTCGGGGAGGAGGTGAGGACAGGGGCTTCTTCCGCGTCTTCGGCGTATTTGGCCCATTCGCCAAGGAGGCCGAGCATAGATATTTGTGCCTTGGCGAGGGCTTGCGCGTCGTTTGGTGCCACGACGGCGCTGAATCGCGAGAAGTCGTCTGGGTCGCTGAGGACTCGGAGCGAGGCACCGACGTCGGTGCAGACTACTGGGGCGCCAGTCAAGGCTGCTTCACCGAGAGCTAGGGGAAGTCCTTCGGAGAGCGACGAGTTGAGAAAGAGCCAGGTGTTTTCGAGGACCTTCATCGGGTCTGCAGTTCCGCGTAGAGTGACCTTGCCGCGGAGGCCCTTCGATGCAATGATCTCTTGACATTCGGTGGAGTATGTCGGTGCTTTGTCGATGGCCCCGTATATGTCCAGATGGTAATCGTCGAACTTCCACTGGTTGATGATGATGTCGGCGGCCAGAAGGGCGGTTTTGATATCCTTGGCGTACCAAACGTGGGACAGCATGGTGACAGTCGGGCGTTGGGACTTGATCTCCTTCACCGGAGCAAATTTCTGCATGTCAGTGATACCGTTGACGACGGGGTCGACCTTGCGACGGAAGATATTGCGGTGCTCAATGGTCCCTTGACAGGTTCCAATCTCGACCTCCCAGCCGGGGTTGAAGAAGTCCGCACAGGGCAGGATGATATCTGCGTGATGGAGCGTGACGACAGAAGTAATGCGCATCAAACCCAGCAAGCAGTTGCGGACGAACGGCGAGAGCTTGCAGAGGGCGGACGACAGACAAAGATTGGTCTCACGCCAGCTAATGGCATGGTCCCAGATTTGAAGGGTGCAACTCCGCTTCAGCTTGCAAACTACCCCATAGGATGCGCTCACGCTATGATGGGACGCTTGGAACACGCTTGGAATCTTTTCGGGGATCGGGATCGAGAAGATGAACAGATACCGGTACCAGAGCTGCAGAGCAGTATCGAGGGACCCCAACGTGGGCAATTCTGTCTGGAACCATTCAGACGAGGGAATACTGTTAGGCATCTCCTGGGTGAGCCAGAGGTCACGCCAGCTCTCCTTGACAATTTCGCTGTCCCAAATCTGGGTCCAATGACGCGATTCCTGGAAGTAAGTGTTCAAGTTTACCAAAGCGCGGGTCGCCTGGTTAACATCAGCTTTGGAGAGGTGTACGGCGCGTGCGCCCTTCACCAGCGCTGTCAATATCGGAATGAAGTTCAACTTGATATCCAGATCGCTGGCCGAAGTGACATTGTCTACCTCGGAATCTAGCTTGTTTCTGAACAGACCGTGCGTTGGGGTGAGGAAGTCAAGGCCCCAGAGCGGAATAACCTTCAATGAGAGAATGTTCTGCTCCGTCTGGTGCTTGGGGACCCCAAAGTCGTTTGCAGACTCGCAGATCATGTGCCATTTGATGGATCGCAGCGAATTGATCATGTCGCGTCGACAGGCCGAGACACCACCACCTTCATTCGGCCAAGTACCAGTGTCGGCGGCCATGACATGCAAGGATTTCTCGGTGTCGGATCCAAAATCCTTTGACCTGGTGTTGACCACAGCATCGCCTCCGGGCCCGAAGTTGAAAAGGTCGCTGATCTTCACAGCAAGCGGAGTCCAGCTGGAGATATTGTCGTCGAGGTCTGCACTAGCGGTGACACTGTCTGCGCGAAGCTCCAGGTATTTCTTCGCCGACGCCAGATCGCCGCGATCGCGGCTGCGCCAATACGGCGCAAGGGCCTTGTCGCGTCGCAGGAGTCGGTCGTCCATCCAGCGAACAATGATACCGTCGAAGTCAACGCGGTCTTTCCAGGCCTTCCAAATCTGCGAACGAGCGCGAGAGGTCGATACTGGAAAACGCTTAGTGGTCAACCCGAAAAATCGCGTCATGATGTTTGAACTAAGGCTCTCGCAGTATATGAGTGGGTTGTCGTGGACAAAGCTTGTGTATCGTGGCTTCGCGAGGACGGCCAGGAAGTCATGTTCAATCATTGGTGGCGTCTGGATCTTCTGTCCATTGAGCGTCGTGAAAATCATCGGGTGGAACTTGTGATCGTAAAGCCAGCGAGACTCATAGACATCGGCGCCCTGAACGAATGTTGCTTCCGTAACCTTGGAATGAGGAATCCACCGTTCAACCTTCTCAGGATGCCGGATGGGAGGTGCACACCAAGACACAGTACATGTGATGTGCGAGAGGGCAAACTCGGCTCGGAGTAGCTCGTCGCCAAACCGAGGGTTCTTCCGGTAATGGTACTTGAAGCGGATGAGATTGCCATCTTTCATGTAAGATCCAGCCTCGATGAGTCCCTTGCGGTTGTACTGAATGCTCTGAAGCTTATCCTGCCCTCGCACACAACGCCGACCCATTGGGATCTTGGACTCTGAGATCTTGGACAAGGACAAGACTTTCTTCGCTGGTACGCGATAGTCGTAGTGGAACTCATTGGAGAGCTTCCCGTCTTTGAACTCCTGTCGAACGAGTAACAAAATGTCTTTGGAGTAGGTGCTCACATGGTTGAGATGCTTGGTTCCCTCAGGCTCCGTTTTGTGCTCCCCTAGGTAGTAGTAGACTTTAAAGCCACCGTCCGGTTCATTGTGTCTGAATGCCGTGAAAGTCCCGTCCAAGCCTTGAACTCGGTATCGGTTCTTCTTGATCGCGATAGTCATGCCCTTCGTCTCGTTCCAGAGCTGCTTGACATTGCGTCGGCCGTAGAAAAGAAAGAACGATAGGCCGATGTCTTGCATGATTTTGGCGTAGGTCCAAACCAAGTTCAAAAAATATACTAGCGGCACTCGAACGAAGGCAGAACGGCGACTCATGACGTGGTTCAGCTCCCTTTGGAATTCAGGCTCCGCGATTAGAGCCACGACAGTGAACTTAACGACCGCACCAATCTTGTGCCACAAGGAGCTGAGTGACCGCTGGACAACGGAGACGGCTAGAGGAGGCAGTCTCGAGATATACGGGATGTACGTTGCGGTGTTGATATCCTTGGTCACAGTAGATTCGCCGGTTCCGTAATGCGCATAATCAAGAACACTGACCGCAGTGGCGGCTCCAAGGTTGCTTCTCGCAACGTGAACAGCGAGTTCTTTAGTGTCGAAGCGGCAGAGTCTTGCCTGAAGCCATTTTGCGCCATCGTCGGATAGCTGGCAGGGTTTGCCAATGCAGCGGTCCAGCAACGACTCCCGGATATGTTTCGGAAGTTTCTCCCAATGAGAGTCGCACTCGAACCCAAGGCAGAGATTCCGCAGAAGCTCCTTCTTGGCCCAGCGGATGACAGCCAGAGTGTTGGTTTCATCGCGGAGTTGTCGAGCAGTGGTCTTGGTGATACCTGCCGTGACAAGCGATTCAGCAAGGATAGCGTACTCATGTGGCATCTTCAAGTGTGTTTCGGCAACCGCATGTAGGAGAGTCTCAGCGACGACTTGACAATTCGCGCTGACATCGATGCGCTCGTCCAACCCGCGGCCGACACAAATGGCAATCCTCAAGTGATTTCCATCGTTGCAGCTGAGCGCATTGATATTGGGGCCCAGCGAGCCTACAGGAACAAGGTCCATTGAAATTTGGCCGTTTGCCCACGAATCCAGCGCCAGATTCACAAGATCGTCGGAGTTTGGAAACGCCTCTTCTATTCTTGGCTCCACCCTACGGGATGTCAAGATAGTTCTGATCTCAATCCCAGGATAGGCGTTAGGGTGGAGCTTGAGCCGGGAGTCTTGTGGAACACGAGAAATCCCCTCGAAGAAAGTCTGCAATTCCTGCTGGGACCATTCAGGGTCTGACCACGGGGCGGTATGGGCGTGGAATGTCTTCCCCAGTTCCACCGGAGAGTCGACCTTTTTTGGCATGCCCATCTTGGCCGTAAAGAGCGAGAGAATGGCAACTGTCCAGGTAGCAGCACCGAGGCCAATGACCTGCGAGTATAGAAAATCTTCTGGCATGCGCACTTTGAGAGCAATACCAACAGACAGGCCGACAATCGCCCCACATATGAGAGGTTTCAATGCGTGAGGGCCCGTAAAGATCTTTGTGTACTGGTACCAAAGCAAGCCGGTATATGCCAGCACGTAGGCGCAAAATATGATCATGGCTTCACGCGTAGACTGGAATGTCCATATGAGAGCCGTTGAAAATGCGAGACTCCAGACATGCAACATTAGAAACTTGAAAAGGGTCTTCCAGTACACCTTTCTCTTGAACTTAATATCACGCTTTTGGGAAATCCGTATGTCTTTTGACGTCTGCACAGCCATGGCTGTGTGGCTACCGACAAGATCATGTAGCGCTTGGGCCTGGGTATCAATGAGAACAGCACCGACCAGGTAGTATGCCAGACCAAATCCCACAGCCATACGATTAGCATCATTCAGGGCTGGGGCCAGACCAAGGTTGTGGCCACCACTTAGCAAGTCCACCCACTTATCGAGGAGAGCGATGATGAAGTACAAAATACCACATCCAATTTCTTCGCTCGACTGGCGCCAGTGGATAAATGCATTGTGAAGACGGATACCTTTCTGGGAGCTTCGAAGAGTGTCGAGGGCGACCTTTGTTTGGATATTCCATCCAGAACTAAACGGAATCGGTCGAGGCACATCGGCATATCTGCAATACCAGTCGAGAAGGAATTTGGTGGATTCCCAGTCTCTCGCGAGCTCTAGGACCAGTGTGTCGGTGGTCGACTTCGAGAATATACCCCGGTTCTTTTCAGCCAGAACGTCCTGAAGCAGCGCCTCTCTTGATAGCTTGAGAACAGCAGGGTCACTCAGACCACCGAAAACCTTCTCGTCGTTCTTCCCATGCGCGGCGATATACCATTTCCGAATTTCGGCATCATCAGTACGCCTGATATCCTGATACCACGTAACCCATTTCGATGCAGCACCCCGGAGGCCAAATAACAAAACTCCGATGAAGATGTACATGACAGCGATGTAAATGGCCGAATCGTTCCCGGCAAATGTTGTAATGACCGGTGAAACGAAGAGAATCGGGATACAGGCGAAGATGACCTTACGACCGGAGAGGAAGGAGCTGTTCGGATAACTGAAACTGGCCAGTGATGCGAAAGCAGAGAAATAAATCGTCAACGAGATAAGATATAAGTAGAAGACGATTCCTGCGCGAGGGCCCTTCACCCCAGCAATGACAACAAACCCTATTAATCCACCTGCAATGGTGAACGCGATACCAGCGATCAGCCTGATGAGAACGAACATGTTAGCCGCTGCGAAAGCCATGGAGATGAGATAGTAAGGCCCTCCACAGGCAATCCATGTGCCGATTCCACCGGATAACAGGAGAGAAATCATCAGAGCAATAGTGGCACTCTGCTGTTCATCATAAGTCATGAAGGCTGAAAGGTATAGTCCACGCCCAATGATCGTGAGCAAAACTATGTCGATCAGAGCAGGAAAGGCAAAGACACTGAGAAAGGTAAACCGCTGGTATCCAGGCAATGGCTTGACTTTGTCATCTGGGTTGACGTCGATTTGCGCGCCGGCGTATGCTGTTGCCATCTCGGGGGCGCCATTGATCCAATTAGGAAGCTCTTTGTCGGAGTACTGTCTCCGGAAGCGATCCAACAAAAGCTTTCCAAACGCACTAGGCGAGATGTCGAAATAGGCTTCACAGCGGGATCCCAGAGCAAAGGACTCGGCAAAGGCGGCCGCCTGGTCGGATTGGTTGTTGAACAGTGGATTTCGGTCAGTCACCTCGGTGTAGATTTCATCTAACGCACCTTTCCTGGCCGCACAGAATAGTGAAAGGACCATCATATCTATATAGGCATCAACCTGGCCCGCCTGAAGTAGATTTCCGAGGGCTTGAGATATGGAAGCAAGCTCGGTTTCACGGCGTTCCTTCAAGATCTGTGTCAAGATAATATCGGTCTCTTGGAATAAAGCAAGACATGTTGAAATAGCAGGATGTGGGCATCCCTGTTGGCGATACCAGTCGACGCGCGTCTTAACCACATCGCTGGAAGTGATCGATCCATCCAGGTAAGAAACGGTGTTGAGCTCCTTCAGGTGGCCTAGTGATGGCATATCGATAAGCTGTTGTCGAATGTATGAAGTGATGGTCTCGGACATTTCGCTCGTTGCGTCTGTCAGTGACAAATGTTGCAGCAGAAGTAGTCGCTCCTCTGGGCTCAACAAATCAATATCCTGAATGACTCGCCGGGGCAGATCGGTGCCCTCAGCGACATTTTTGGACCACCTCGCGAAAGCGGTCTCTGCCTCAAAGCTCACATGGCGCGGAAAGCCCTTTGCAGATAGGAAAGTATGCAACACAGTTCCAGCAAGGCCTTGAGCATTCTTTGACACAAACACCTCCAGACCGTCTGCATCCAATTGATAAACAGCCCAGAAACGCACACCGGTGCTTTTGCGTAATCCAGAGTCGAGACCAAGATTGATCCGGAGTAAATCATTATTTGCCAGGTTTGCCAGCTCTTTGACGGCGGCAGCGAGTTGCTCGGATTCTGCCCAGTGCGAAATCACATAGTTATCGTGGAAGTGCCTGAGGAGCTGACCGATGCTCTGGACCTTAGAGAATGGAACCGGGTGAAGCAAACCCAGGCTTTTCAACCGCTGTTGAGAATGTAGAATCTCTGCAAAAGCGGACGCAGACGTCTCGGATCCTAGGGGAAAACAGCCAAAAGCTTTGTATTCCACACCGGCCAATGATATTGATAGTGGGCTGCCTTGCGATTTCACCTGCGCCACCCAGTCTGGAGGTTCGCGAACGCTAGTGGTCATTTTGTCGGCAACCACCGGGTGGGATTCGGAGGAGGACAAAAAATCTTCTAGGGAGGGAAAAGACTGAAGCATCGTATCCCAGGCATCTGTCTCGACCGCATTGCTGGAAACTTGCAAGTTGGAACGCCACTTATCATGCGCTTTCATGATCTCGGCATCCTTTAACCACCCAAAGGCCGAGAGAGGTTCGTGAACCTTCACATTGAGAGAGGCGTTATGCAGGGCGGACGCGCGACCAATCCAGGGAATCGCGCTGTAAAAGTTGCACCATTGAAGTGATCGCTGAACAACCGCATTAGAAAGAGTTGCATTGTCGTCCACGGTCTCCCATGTCATTACTGCGAAATCTCGCATGCACGACTCAGAGACAAACGCTTTGATGGTGGACTGCATGTCGGCCATTTGGAAATAGTCCCGCTTTTGACCCTGGGGCATGATGCTGGCATTTCGGATGACCAGCCCGGCAATCGCGGTTGACTGCAGGGACTTGCGGTCCTTTAGGAAGTGAGGAGGTCCAGTCTCCAGATACACTTCCAAGCCCAGACTGTGAATAATCTCACAAAGTCGGATCCAGATACGGGGACTGAGCTTGTCCTCCCAATTTGCCAGAATAATGCCATTGAACCCTGCACCGTCAAAAGACGCAGCGATCGAACTCTCGATCTTGCCCAGCGCTGACAGAGGTGAGTCGTTGTTTGCAAGTACGAGGTCGAGGTCGACCCTCCCGAGAACTTTCCGTCTTCGACTATGCAAAAGGGCGTTGGCGACACCAGGCTGGGACGGGTCGAGGACTAATATATCCCATTGGCCCAGAATCCGGGATTCGTCCTCGCTCGGGGGCGAACTGAAAGTTCCAAGGTATACACCAAACGAGGCTGGCTTCCGCTTGGTGATGACAGCATTTGTTAAATCAAGCTCTCGATTGGAGAGCTGTTCCAGTCGTCGGGACACACTTGCAGGTATGGTCTCTAACCGCGGTTTTGACTAAGAATACGGCGCAAGTCGCTGATTAGAAATGCCAGAGGATTTAAGGCCGAATGGTGTTCATACCTTATAATATCTCCACAGCCGACGTCCCGCGGAGAATAAAATGTAGGTCCCACCAAGCCCGATGCTTGCTAGGAGGATCCCGATAAGAACCTGAAAATGTCAGTCAGTCACCCGCTGGAAGAGTATTCAAGAAGTCCCATACAAATTGCCACCAGTGTTTGGTCATGCCATCCCACCCAACGGGCGAGACTGGGAGGATTTCCACCATTGCAGCAGGTGATGATTAAAAATAAAGACGGAAATAGAGGAAAGATGAGACGGGTATAAAAAGAGTGGAGCGAAAAGATTATAGGGCTATAGGATGCCCGGACGGCATATAGCGCAGGAACAACAAGGTCGGTATCATGAGACCATAGTCATCAATGCAGGTTTCTGCCAGATCAGGTCGCGATGCACAATCTGACCTGACAGGCCAATCCAACCTGGGGGGGGGGCAGTAATGTAGGAAAGAAACACGGTAGATGACAGGGACAACAACTGTCCAATATGTACGAGGTAAAGGGCTGACGGGGGAAACTAAGTCTCAAGGGCATCGGACGATCATCTGTCGATATACAATTTGCCTTTGGCTCTATAATCCAAAGCGATGGTTCGCTCAGCCTCAGAAATCTGCAAGGTTCGGCCCAAATGCTACATTCCAGTAGGATTATGAGGCGAGAAGCAGGCGAAAAAATGAACAAAAATATCAAAAATCAAAAGGGAAAACGGCGCTCACAAATATAGAAACACTGGAGAGCACAAAGAAATAAAAACCTAATTCAATAAAGAATTGAAAAATAAGGGAACCATGTTTCAGAACGCTCTGGACTGATGCAGCTCCAGTGTTAGCCGACGACGCCGGCTATACTGGACCAGGACATCTCGGGCGTCGAGAGTTGGGACAAAAATAGCTAAGAGAAACCGCTCAAATCAGCCCGGCGCTAGAAAATCTGGGATTGATACTACCACAGGAAGTCACCCCAAATCAGATTGATCGTTCACCGCAGGGAGTAAGGGTCCAACCATCTCGAGCCATGAAGGTGGCGACAGCACGCCTGGTAGCGTGGCTGCCATCGAGATGCTGGTCAACCATCAACCCTGTCCGCTTGCTCTACCGGGTGAGATGGATGTTGGAAGAAACACCATCCTGCACTACTACCGGTAGATGGTTGTAGCACCGGCATCACTCGAGTAGAAGCCGACCCTCTCTACCCTGTTTCAGGGTACACTCGGAAGGGGATTCAGCATTTGAGGTCATGTCATGTTCCCGATGTCATGGGACAAATACAGGCAAGATCGTCAGATTATCTCATGATCCACCAGAAAGACTTTAATGCTAGGAATGCCCCCGAACGAGAGAGGTCAATAAGATGTGCAAAAATAGGCAAAGAATTTGATTGTGGTGGCATCCCTGGGCTCTGATTGGTGGTAGAATATTATAACGCCCGTCAGACTCTTGACTTTCGAGGTGACCGGGGGGATCCATGGCGAGTCCCCGAGGAAGAAAAGGTACATGCAGAGAGAGAGAGCGAGAAGCGAACAAGCGAAGTCCAAAGCATCTGAAACCTGCAGATGTAATATTGGTATACATGTGGATGGTTGGTTATACGGTTGGATGGTTATACGGTATCGTATAGTTCCGAAAATCAACTTTTGCAATTTGACATGTAAAATACACACTGGGAAACGTTACACCCTGTGATACGAGAATATCACCTCATCTCATCCCGTCATCTCTTGACTTCTCTCTCTCTGTCTTGTGCATTTACTATTCTTCTCTTCTTGTCGTCCGCCCCCCCTGTTCAACTCTCGATTTAGTCTCATTCTATACCGATACTCCTAGTCTCATCCCAAATTCTCAACCCAGACATTAGATTCCGCCGACCCTGGTCCTCCCTTCCTGTTGACTTAAATACCAAAACACCACTGGGTGGCGTCTGTCCCACCGCATCAAATTCTTTTGTTCCCTACTAAGTCAAGCTCGTCTATTTTGCCTTCTTTGAATTGACTAATGCGGGTTCCATTCCCGTATGGCAAGACATTGGACTTGTCTATTGGGACCAACTCATCTTCATCAAATTCCACTCGCGCAACCCGTCAACATGGATCACAACCCCTGCCATCTGATTTCGGCTATCTAAATAGACATGGACACAATCCTCCGGCACAATGTTTCCCCCCACCTGACGAGGTTGGGGTCGGGCGATGGATCAATGTCTTGCCTGTCCAGTGGCCGAGGGTTGGGCCTACCAAAAGACCCGCCCTTCACGCCTCCAGTTATGCCCGCAAAACTCCGTAGCGGTGGTAGGAAAGCGCCTCCTCTGATCGAACACGATGAAATAAGTCTCGTCGAGGTCTCACTTCTACTATTTGGTTATTAGCTAGTGTATATTCAACCAACGGGAGACAGACAATTGGATCTAGGATCCCCGACTCGATTTTAATACCCTACATAAACGTGATCGTGCTCGCCCGCTGGATGGGCTGTCCATCTCCGACTGTCTGCGTCTGTGCCTGCATGTCCACAGCCTGAGCTCTAGCCCCACCATCAGTCGTTCCTATTCGTTGGAGTTCCTGCATTCCGTAACCAGTCACTTTTTTCTTCTGTCAGGTCCGCCTTCCCCTTGGGCCGTATTGCAATGATTCCCGTCTGGATCATCCAGGTCGGTTGTTACTTTGGCCTTATAACATGCAACACTCCCCCCGGAATATTTCCTGATGGATCTCCAACTGTGATCCGTCCCGTGCCTCCTCCTCGGACTACTGCAACGGCGGGAACCACAGACACAGCTTCTCATAGTGTGACTTCAACGTCCACCCCCTCTTCGACAACCAGCAGTTCTTCCACTACTTCTTTCACCACTTTCGTTTCCCAAACTCCAAGCTCCTCTGTGAGCGCGTCGACCACTATGTCGTTCAGCTCTTCGAGCATGATTCCCAGTCTGACCCCCTCTGCTTCGCCTATCGGCCAAGGGTCCGTGGCAGCCAACATCCTGGTTATTGCGAGAGACTCTGCTGCAGTTGGTGTAGCCACATCTGGTCTCAATGGCTATGGCATCCCGTTCACATCGCTGGTAGTCCCCCAGGCTGGTGTCAATCTGCCGGCCTTGAATGACAGCGCCGGGGGAAACTTCGGTGGCATTGTCGTGGCCGGTGAAGTCAGCTATGACTATGGGGCTGGTCAAGGTTTCCAAAGTGCCCTGACGGCCGACCAGTGGAATCAGCTGTATGCTTACCAGATGGCCTATGGTGTGCGCATGGTGCAGTACGATGTCTTTCCCGGGCCGAAATTCGGCGCTGCTGCTTCGGGTGATGGGTGCTGCGAGAACGGCGTGGAGCAGTTGTTCTCGTTCTCCGACATCAGCGATTTTCCGTCGTCTGGACTTCGGACGGACGCTGGGGTCAGTACGCAGGGTCTCTGGCATTATCCGGCGACGATTAGCAACACGACCACCACGAAGGAAATCGCCCAGTTTGCCGCTGGTGGAGGTTCGTCTGGCACCACGACTGCGGCCGTCATCAATAACTTTGATGGACGGCAGCAAATGGCATTTTTCATTGGATTTGACACCGTTTGGAGTGCCACCTCTAATTACGTGCAGCACGCATGGATTACGTGGCTCACTCGGGGTCTCTACCCGGGCTATCGGCGGGTCAAGCTGAGCACACAGATCGACGATATGTTCCTGGAGACCGAGATCTACAAGCCCAGTGGCACCAACTATCGCGTCAACACCGCTGATATGGACGGCATTGCTAGCTGGATCCCCTCTATCGTTGATAAGATGAACCCGGGCAGCAGCTATTTCCCCGAAGTCGGTCACAATGGCAACGGCAATGTGGAAGCGTCGTCCACCACGGAGAGCGGGGAGCGCAGCTGCAACGGAGGCGGCATCGAGTACGACTCCCCCCCGGATACCGCCTTGGAGTTCCAGAAGCCACTGGGCACCGGTACCGACCTGTGGCCCCCGGTCCCGAAGAACTACACCTGGTCGACGGAATGCACCAAGTTGGATCCGCTTCTGCTCTGGTGGACCGCCGAGGAGAACCGAGACCTATTCGGCCATATCTCCCACACGTTCAGCCACGAGGAGCAGAACAATGCCACTTACGCGGACGTGAACAAGGAGATCTCTTTCAACCAGGCCTGGCTGAGACAGGTCGGCCTCACCGACGCCAAGTACTTCACGTCGAACGGAATCATTCCCCCGGCCATCACGGGTCTGCACAACGGCGATGCGCTGCGGGCTTGGTACGACAACGGTATCCGCAACTGCGTGGGGGACAATACGCGCCCGCCGCTGGTCAACCAGCAGAACGGCATGTGGCCGTACTTCACCAAGTCGTCGACGGACGGGTTTGACGGTATGCAGGTGGACCCCCGCTGGGCCACGCGGATTTACTACAACTGCGACACCCCTGACTGCACGGTGCAGGAGTGGATCGATACGTCGGCCGGCAGCGGCGACTTCAACGACCTCCTGGAGATCGAGAAGGCGGAGACGATGCGCCACCTGTTCTCGCTGCACCACGGCGGGTACATGTTCCACCAGGCCAACCTGCGCAACGCAGACGTCGACCCCGTCACGGTCAACGGTGAGACAGACCAGTGGTCCATCTTCCAGGCGTGGGTTGAGGTGCAGGTGCAGGAGTTTGTGCGTCTGGTGGATTGGCCTCTGGTGACCGAGAAGCACCAGGACGTGAGTTCCCCCCAACACCACCACACTATAGTACCCCGCTAACAAACACAATAGATGTCCGATTCGTTCCTCGCTCGCTACACTCGCGACGCCTGCCAGTACTCTCTGCGCTACGCAGTCTCCGGCGGCCAGATCACCGGCGTAACGGTGTCGGCCAAGGATAACACCTGCAAGCGGCCAATCCCGGTGACGTTCGCCGTGGAGCCGACCAGCACGCAGGGGTTCAAGACGGAGCAGCTGGGCAGCGACCCGCTGACGGTGTGGGTGCAACTGTCGGGGTCGCCTGTGACGTTTACGCTGTCGACTCCGATTGACCTGTAGTAGGATAGCACAGCTCATGGCGGGGGATCTACTTCGATGGTCACCGACTTATGGTGATGACTAGCTATCTAGACGATAGTAATTAATCAATGCGTGTTACTCTTTGCATTACAGATCTTCTATCCTGAACAAAAGGAGGATAGTAAAAGAGTAGCCCAGACCAATTCCACCAAACCAGCCCAAGCACAACCAGAACCCCAACACCTTGCACCACCGCAAGAAGTAGTTATCGTAATAGCATGGGATATCAGCTGTACCAGCCCAAACCCGAACAAATGCCGATTCGGGGTTTCTATCCTAGTGCATCGGCTGAGGTAGCCTGGTCTACACTTTGTAATACCGCCAATATCTCAGGCACAAATCAGTAGTATCCGGATGACCGCTCCATAGGCGCTGTGCCTACCCACTGGTCCTCCTGCCTAGGCCGTGGTTGTGGTCTGTGGTCGGAGGCAGCAGAAAGGCCGAATGCATGGGCGTACTTGGTACCTACTTCGCAACATCCATGGCCCACATTATTGGATTATCCAAGCAAGCATGTTTCATCGTTCGTATTCGGTGAGAGGGGGCCTGGCTGGGCAGTTGTGGTATTGGGCTGGTTTTATTTTTTTTCCTTTTTATTTTGTTTTATTCTTTTCTTTTGAACATATATGTGTAGTTGATATAACAGTGATTCAGGCAAGTAAGCATCCATCTAGATCTCGAACTCAATCTCTATATCCGTACAATAAAGAAAGTCAAATAGAGTAGTTGTATACAGGTTTATATTACAGTACCATCAGCCACCGGCAATCAGCCGAGGACGACCCGTCACCAATAAATAGTATTTAATACATACTCTATACACAACATATCACATCACAACACAAGTCCATAAATCCAAAATAGAAAAAAAGTTCGAAGCGACTTTTCTCCCTCAAATCAAGCAGCCACTTCGCATCATTCTCATCCACTCGCCATGTTGACGGTGTGGGTAGGGTGATTAAGGCCTGGCAAGGCTATGAGACGAGTGTGTTGGCAGAGAATGACTGGTCATATTTTTCCCTGTCCCTTTTTTTTTTTACTTCCTCTCATCACTGATTGGGTTGGTATTTTCCGTCACTGGCTCTGGAGATGTCGATCTCCTACCTAGTTAGGTAGGTAGGTAGTATAATATGGGTTGAAGCAAACAGTGTTGAAAAAACAACGTGGCAGTGGAGAGACAGGAATGGACTATTGACAATGTCTTAAAACGGTGGTTAGTGGCGGAAGAGGGAACCGACGAGTCATGATTTATTTATTGATACACACTAATTTATGGTGTTAGTTGGAGGGTCAGTATGTATTATAAAGAAGGACCTTGTATGGTAATTTACACCCCAGGCATGGATGTCGTTTTGCAATACTGACACGAATGAGCAGCGTATGATTGGAAGGGTTCCAGTTGACGAGAACTCTTTCTTTCTCTGTATCACTTGTTCTCCCCTGTTGAATTGGTGGAAGGGATTGATTCTCCTTCATTCCCACCTGTGGCTATTCTAGTTGACAGTCTATGATCCAGGGTGATGAATGAATCAAGAAAGAAAGAAAGGAAGGAAGAGTGACTGGCGGTAGTCAAAGAACTAAGCCAGCGCTAATAATATCGCTCCCTCTCTGCCACAGGCTCAGCCATTAGGCTGCTTTATTCTTCTGGTCACCTGAGCATGGGCCTAGATCGGCGGCCAAACATTCTATCTGATCGCTGATCATTGAAGCTACTCCTAACTTTATTTCTTCATATCCATCGCTCTCCGATTTCCCCACCTGATCTTCATCCTGTTTTCCACCCACCAACGAGAAGATAAATAGAAAGAGAATCAATAAGTCAAAAAGAGGAGGAAAATGACAGCTGAGCCCCTGAAAGCCCCCTCAGGCGGCTTCAAAGCCTGGTCCACCAAGAAGAAACTCCTCGTCGCGCTCGGCATCCTCGCCGCAATCATCGCCCTCGCCGTCGGTCTCGGTGTCGGCCTAGGCATAGGCCTCAACAGTGACGACGATGATTCCGACTCTGACTCCTCCGACGACAACGACCACTTCCCACCCGGCCACTCCACACCCGCCAAGTGGCAACCCGCCGTCGGCACAACGTGGCAGATCGAGCTTCTACACCCACTCAAAGATACGTCCGTCGACGCAGACGTATACGACATCGACCTCTTCACGAACCCCAAGTCAACGATAGACGGGCTGCACGACGAGGGCCGCAAAGTCATTTGCTACTTCTCCGCGGGCAGTTACGAGAACTGGCGCCCTGACAAGGGCGACTTTGCGTCGGAGGACCTCGGCGCCGTGATGGACGGGTGGCCGGACGAGAAGTGGGTGAACGTGAGCGGGAAGAGCGTGCGGGACGTCATGTCCAAGCGACTGGATATGGCTGCCGAGAAGGGCTGCGACGGGGTCGACCCGGACAATGTCGACGGGTACGATAATAAAAATGGTGTGGGGTTGACGAAAGCGCAGGCGGCGGACTTTGTCAATTGGTTGGCGGACGAGGCACACGCGCGCAATATGTCGGTGGGGTTGAAGAATGCGGCCGCTATCATTCCGGCTGTGATTGATAATATGCAGTGGAGTGTTAACGAGCAGTGTGCGCAGTATGAGGAGTGTGATACGTACGCGGCGTTCGTCGAGAAGGACAAGCCCGTCTTTCACATCGAGTATCCCAAGGGCGATACAACGAACAATAATTTCCGGGTGTCGCAGACCAAGGTGGACAAGGCGTGTGATTTCCAGGAGTCGGGGAATTTCTCCACTGTCATTAAGAACATGAATCTGGACGATTGGATTCAGCATTGCTAGGTAGTTTCGTCTATCTGCTTGGATAGTTTTTTGTATACTGTTTCAATTCTCGAGTGTACTAATTCCATTTAGTTTCATTCAACCCCGTCTGTATCTTGCCTGCTCACATCCTGTAATCATAGCATCGAGAAATCAAGGATAAAGCCACCGTTGTAACTCCACCAAGTCCAATCACGGAACAACCCAAACAACAAAGACCAACACCAACACGAAACAAAGCATCCAGCTCACCCCCGGTCTCCCCCACCGACCGCCGACACGACACGGACATCGGCGAGTCCGTCCGCCCTAACGACCCAAAAGCAGACCTCCAAGCCGAGTCGGCGGCAGACAGCCTGAGCGCTGGTAGACACCTTCAGGTAGTATACATGACTGAAACAGTGAAATCACTGCAAGTAAGCACAGTGGGGCCCGTTCGGGCCAGATCTATAATAGTGGGGATGGATATAGATGCTATCCGACCGACTAAGGTTCGGGATATGGGTCTGCCCCATTTGAGGTAGTATCGAGTATCCGTATCGATTACCGCAGTATAGATACTCAAAATTTATGCGATACATCAGAGAAATGTACAGAAAGTAAAAATGGTATTTGCAATCAGATACAAAACGAGACAATCCCCGAAGTGAGCAATGCATAAAATACCAACAATGGACTGGTACCTACCTCGATCTTAACCGCCACATTTTGTCGACGATATTCTCCGTGTGCACTGAGCCCAGCAAGGATCGAGTCAGTGCGCTCGTTTATGCGGGTGTTCCTGATATTTCCATCTTACAGTCAGCCATCGGACCGAGGCCAGCAACAATTCCATATACCGTCTATCGAAGCAAAATAGATACGGAGTACACCGTCCACGGTAGGGTATGTACAAATTTAGGCCCTCTGAAGAAAAAAATGCACTGGATGTAAATATTTTCCTTCCATTCAGGCAGGCAAGAATGAGACATTTCAGGTCTGATTTGAAATCTCAGACGATTGGCGCCTTGGCTGCGTTGTTAGTACTTGCTGGGCTGGTACTTTAGTTTCTTCCTGCCCGATTCAGTTCTGTAAGGCTTTAGGGCTTGTCGGGTCACGGATTACGCCTGCAATACGAATCTTACACGTATCAACTAGCTATAATGATAACTATAATCCGTAATATCGGTAACGATAGTGTACAGATATATAAATCGATCATCCGTCGATCCGGTACACTGCCGATCGTAACACCGGTTAATCAATAGGTTGTTGTTCGTTCGTTCGTTTGTATTTTGCATCTCTGGCGGCGAACAGGTAGGTAGGTCAGCACTCACTCACCCACTAAACCAGAGCCAAGCCAGGCATCGAACGCACAGAACTTGTTGGGCCGAACGGGTAAAACGGAGATAGGATGACCAGTTATCTCCAGTAGGACAAACAGGATCGAATTCAATCCCGAAGCGAGCTTTGTACCCGTCTGTCCACCCACCCGGTCAGAAGTGACATGTTACATGGTGACAGACCGGAGAACTGGTACAAACTACTACCTACCTAACGAGATAATTACCTATCTGTGACCTACCTACTATGCATAACCCTGCCCCCCCCCCGCAACGAAACTTAGCCCTAACTTGCTCCGCGGAGAGAGCCCAACACTTGCGTGGAGTCTGGTTGAATTACTCCGATGCTACACATCTGATTTACTTTCTTTTTCTTTTTTCTCCGATGGGTGGTCGTCCTACAGTCATCTTTTGATTTCTTTCATAAGATGACGGGGTATAGTATCCTAGGTTTTGTTTTCTACCTCGCTTCTATGCCATCTATCTCCCCATCTACCTACTCACCTACACAATACAAGAATAGATAGATAATTAGATACATACGGATGTAAACATGTACATACATGCATGTCTTACCCCAAACCCCCAAAAAAAAAGAAAACACAAGTAAAAATAATGCCAAAAATAATTGACCTGCACGTAGTACACCCCCATTGTCCATGTTTTAGTTCTCCTCCCCCTCCCCCAATGTAGCATGTCATACAGGCCCCATCCTCCCACCTCTCTTCCCCCCCCCTTCGTCCTTCTTGCTCTTCTCCTCTCATTTCGTACTCCTTATCATAGCTTACTATACATTGAAAATCAACATCCGTATACCGATGTATTTATGTATATAAAGCAAGACTGGTCAGGTTTGACATACCCGATGGGAGGGTTACATTACATCTGTTGTTGTTTGGGCCACGGGCGTCATTCATTCTTTCCTTCTTTCTTTATTCCCTCCTTCCTTTGTTTCTACGTTCTTTCCCCCCCTTTCGGGCTAGAGAGTTAGGTGCCCTTGTTAGGGCTGGCTGGCGGGTTGGCTGCGACTTCTTTTTTTTGCCACTCGCAACGTGGACCATATCGCATTGGCGGGTGAGTTAGGGCTAGCAGGGAGGTCGAATTTTACAGCGTTATTTGAAAATTACACCCCATCATGTATTTCAATAAATATAAACTGATGAATCGGCCACTACCTATAAAAATCTATATCAGATATAGCATCCAGCCCAAGACAGCAATGCACCCCACCATCCAATCAAACTCTCGTCCAGGTAAAACACTCATATGAATCATAATTACAAATCATCAGCCCAGTCGGAGAAATGCAGCTCTCAAACCGATCAGAGCCCTCAAAGCGCCATCACACTCACAAACTCACTCCATCTGTCCCCAAAGCTAGCGTAGTAGTCCGTGGATAGATGCGTGATGAACACCTCGTCTGCAACTCGTCGGACTTGCTTCACTAGCCCTCGCAGCTTGGACCCTTCCACGCTGTCTGGGACCGAGTGGATCACCGCGCACAGCTGGCCGCGCCGGCTGTTCGGGATGGCTTCAAATAGCTTAGCGCCGTGACGCTCCTGGAAAGTGGCGTACGATGCCTCAAAAACGACAGTCGAGTCGGCTGATGGCAGGTAGCGAGAGTCGGGAATCACCCCTGGGTTATGGACAACCTGCAGAGGTATTATTAGCACTGATAGCACCGTATAATGCATGTCATATAGGTAAATGGAGGGATCAAGGAAGCAAAAGAAGGCGAGAGAAAGAGAAAGAACAGTAATGAATAGCAGGTGGAACCAAAATATACGATGACATACATAGTTGTCCGGACCAAGCTCCGGTGTGGTCTTGACGAAGTCCGTCAGATTTTGCAAGTAAGCTAATGCCTTGTCGCTGTACTGCTGGGGCGTCTCGTCGAAAAATATGCCTCGAACAGCGAGATCTGGGTTGGAGCTTTTTTCCGGCCAAGCTGCGTAGGTCTCGATATCCTTACGCACCAAAGAGGCGTCGCGGGTCGCGTATGTGGTCGCAACGTAGCCCAGCAGGCGCACGTTGTCGTGGGCGGCGAGTTTGGGGACCTCCCGGGTATAATTGCCATCTGGCAGGGCATTGGGACCTGGGCCGCTGCCGGGATTAATCACCACGGTGAAGTTGACTTCGGGGTGAGTCGAGATCCTGTGGCGTTCAGCTGCGTTCGTCTAACAGTGAGGCTTACAGGGTAGACACATAAATGAGTAGATAAAGAAAGTAAAAGAAGCGAAAACATAACCGGAAAAGGGGATCTTATTCGAACGAATGACTCAGACTTACACTTTTTCCAGAGGCGCCCAGGCCTCCGCCGCAGGGTACACATAGAGAGGTACGAAGACGCTGGATTTAGGTCCCATGCTGTTTTTCTTGCGTAAGGTCACCACGACAGCCGGTGGAATGATGACAGCGAGAAGAGCGATAGAGGCAAGGATAGCCAGAATAATTTTAGATCGTCGACGCTGGAGACAGCGCCGACTCACGTGTTTTTCCGGCTCCATGGCAGACAACGATTCAGCGGGTTACAATGCAGCCCAACTTGCTTGGGACAATTTCCGGACGAACGAAGGCGAGAAAGAAAAGAACAACGTCTAGTATGTTAAATAGGACTAGTCAGATCAAAAGGATCCACGGGTTTAGTGAACAGGAGTGATGGCAGAGAATTTGGGCTTTGAACAAACCCAGTCACAATGCTGGCACTCTGAACCGCTCTATCTGTAAACTTTAGTTAGTTAGATCTCTGTGCCTAAAATAGAGCGGGGCTGGAAGAGAGAAGTCGATACAGCCCAGAAGCAAGTCAATGGTTCTCTTTTGTCGCATCGGAACTGCAGGTTGATGTCGTATTTGTCGTGGTTCGGTCGAACAGACCCATTCTCAGCAAGCCCTAACTCCTCTATTCTTACTATTCTCGGCCACTTCCATTTCTTACACCCAAGATATTCTCCCTGTATCTTTCCATCTTACCTCAGGTCAGTAGAGGCGCCTGGAGTTCGCTCAATATTGCCCCATCTTGTTCCATAAGCGGCAAATCTCAATTTGAAATCATCAGGAGCGTCTAGATCTGTCTTCCGACAAGAAGGCTGGCAGGATTGGCTTGAACTTTCTTCCCTCGGTTCCGTTTTTATTATTTTTCTGCTGATGTTTTTTTTTGTTTATTCTGTTTTTTCCTAACTCCCCCTCGCGTTGGCAGTTCGTGATGTTTCTCATTTCCCTTGCAACCATTCGTTTTTGATGCCTGTTTTCTCCTTGTAAATAAGCCAGTCACCAATCACGATATATTCTTCTGATCTGACTGTTAGATACAGCGGTTACATCGGCGAGCCAGTCAGGGCGCGTGCTTGTCCTTCAAGGAGTATAAAATTTGTGAGCTCCTTTCTTCAAGATCCAGCGGGGGGTCACTTGCTCTCGATCCTCTTCTTCCTCCCTTCTTCTTGCATTCTGTTGCAGTATTCTTTTTTGGCCTGTAACGCGTTGGACTCGCCCCCCCCCTCTCTCATATTCTTTCTTTCATTGACCGCAAACCATACCCGGGAAACTTGTACCTCCGACGATGGAAAGTCCTCGATTGTCTGACACAGGTACTCCGGGGGAGCTTTATTCTCCGGTATGCGTGGACACGCCGGCTACGCAATCATCTGTTCTGTTCGATGGAAACCTGGAGGAACTATTGCGCAACTTTCCTTTGGATCAGTACATCCTAGTCACCGGAGGACTGGGGTTCATTGGAAGTCACACAACATTGGAGCTTTTGAAGGCCAATTACAATGTAGTGGTGATCGACAACCTTAGTAACTCCTTTCGAGAGGTCTTGGACCGCATCTCCCTACTAGCGTTCAAGCACCACGAACTGCACGGCACCAAAATGCCCGAGCTGCATCTGCATGCCCACGATTTTCGGGACACTGTCGCGCTTAAGGGCCTGCTGGAACAATACCAGGTGAAGTCACGGTGGGGGACACCCAAGTCCAAGATATCGGGCGTCATTCACTTCGCAGCCTATAAAGCCGTCGAGGAGAGTATCCGGAGTCCCTTGAAATATTACGCCAACAACGTGAGCGGTTTAATCGACTTCGCCTCCACGCTGGGCGACTTCGGCATCAAGACTTTCATCTTCTCCTCGTCTGCTACGGTGTACGGTACATTAGCAACTTCTGGCCTCCCACTGAGGGAAGAGCTGTGCGTCCACAAGAAAGAAGCCTTTCATGATGACGACGGCTCTGAGCGTGCCATCCAGTCAGGATGCACGGGCATCACCAACCCCTATGGACGCACCAAGTGGATGTGTGAGGCCATTCTGGCTGATCTAGCCGCGTCGGACCCGGAATGGACCATCGTCGCTCTGCGATACTTCAACCCCATCGGCTGTGACGAGTCGGGTCTTCTAGGCGAGGACCCCCGCCAGGTCCCGACGAATCTTCTTCCAGTCGTCGTCAAAGTTATGACAGGCCAGTACAGCGAGCTACAGATGTTCGGCACCGACTGGGAAACGGCGGATGGGACCGCCGTCCGCGACTTTATTCATGTCACCGACCTGGCTCGAGGTCATATCGCCGCCCTGAGTACCGCCAATGAGGGTAAACTTGTCGAGAACTTCCGCACCTTCAACCTTGGGACGGGTCGGGGTCATTCGGTAATGGAGGTGGTAGACACTATGGAAAGGGTGTCATCAAAGCGCATCCCAACGAAGGCCGCCAGCCGCCGTGCGGGGGACGTTGGATCCTGCGTCGCCGTGGCTTCCAGGTCCCAAGCGGAGCTCCAGTGGCAGACAGAGAAGACACTGACCGACGCATGTGTCAATCTTTGCAGTTTCTTAGATGTCAGCGGTCTCTCTTCGTGAGAGTTATGCATTTAATACGTTGGTTATGGATTCATGGGTGGCGCCCGGTGGTACTTGAATTTTCCTTTTGTCTTTTCTTTACCTTCTCAGACACTTCACTTGGCCCACTGCATCACAAGACTCCAATATTTTTATAGTTTCTATAACCTGTTACACCATTGACGACAACCTTGTTATTCGTCCTATCCTGTAAATTTTGTCATGTTAATGTATTGTCTCTTGACTGTGGGAGAAGGATTAGGATTAATACTTGTTCATAGAGGTATTTACTCCTGTAACCTCGACTCTGGCAACCTTCCTACACAGCGCAGAACCATATTAGTAGAAGTTGATGGTCAATTTGCCTTCTTTTAGATTGTTTAAAAAGTCTCGAGGTATACCCGGAGTTTGGACCGGACACTTGGGTTGTGCTTATACCTTAGAAAGAAGAAAAGTGGCGCACCCATTGTCTAGAGGTTCCTGTTGGATGTGTAAATAACACTTACCATTCACCTACTTTCTGCACACAATATCCACAATATTCTCTTTCCTGGAGCAAGGGCCTCGTATGCTCTAGCTGTTAACGCTTATCAGGTAAACGGACAAATGGCTCCCTTCGCCGGCACATGGGCAGCAAAAGAACCTAGTGGTCCTTTTTGTACCTGGGATAATTGATCATACCTCATCCCAGTACCCGTTTGGCGTACTTGGGGTCATCATTCCGGAGTGTTGCTAGTCTACTTCAACATAGTTCTAATGAGGGACGAATAAATCAGCATTTTCTTCGTCATATCACATACCTACTCATCAGTAGTGGTGACAGGATCACTCGTATATAGCCAGGTTGAGAGAACGCTGACTCCCGCAGGCGTTTCGTGCAACTATGCCACGACCGATGATCAAAGCATGACCACACAGTACTTATATTATTCTTTCCACTTTCACATACAGCACTTGAGATGAGTTTTCCAGCTTCAAACGACATGTTCTATCAGTCAAATCATGTCGAGTCATTGGGAGCAGTGGAATAATAGCATGATGAGTTCAGACATGAAAGATTTGTAAGCCTTGACCCCTATTGATACACTTGGGGTGTTCTTTTGCGCGTTGCGTTGTCAAGGGGGAAAGATTCAATGGCAGAAGTAGAAAAACTTTGAATTGAATTTACTGAAAGGTGGATGGCCTAATCAGACAGCTACGCCTCCACGTAAAGCTTCTTTCCTAATTGGGTAATGCTGGTAGATGCCGGCGGACTCGACCTTGGACCTTAAAGTCAAGCCCACCTCTGTTACTGATTAGATCCTGAAAATCTGACACTATTTGAGGTGTTGTCATGTCGGTATTATATTCATCAAAGATGTTCTGCTGTTATCCACTTGAAGTGCCTCTGCATGAAGCTCAAGTCATCCCGAGACTGGAGGATTTGGGGCAACCCATTTTTCCTAGATCAACTTCGATATCAATAGTACTGAGTTATATTAATAGTACTGAATTGAAGTAGGCTCGCCATCGTAGTTATGGTTGTCCCTTCTGATAGCTCAAGGTCTTCGAAGCTTTTATTCTGTGGTCTTAACTTCATCTCAGTAGATCATTCACAAGGTTTATATTACTTCGACAAAGAAATATCAAGCATCAGAGGACCATGACTATACGTGTACTGTTTTATTTGAACAACTTGGCTCGCCATGGGTGAGGTGATCAATTTGAAGGCCGCATCGGAGGTATTTTATCCCTTCTATCCCAAGCAGTAGCCATACTTCAAAACAACTATTCCTGGCAAATAGGGCCTCGATATGTGTCTCGGAGTATTCAAGGTAACAGGATAGGCCCTATTCCACCATTGTATACAATGCTAACATCACGCCGACATATTAATCTCAAATCACAGGATTTTTTCTCAAATTCAATGCAATATCAAGAAATTGATACCATAAAACCCATCATCACCTCGAACGGGAAACTCAGACAGCGGGTGTTGCTCAGCATCTTGCCTCTTTCCATATCTACTTCCATGCGACACTTTTCCAGAAATAAAAACCACACCAGTGCAACCTAACATACTCACATTATAGATCAAATGACGTATCTTCTCAATGTAAGGCATCAGTGCATGGCCAAAAAGCATTGACAATAAGAAACAAATCCTCCATTGTGACATCCGCTGATCCCAATCATGACAACATTCAGACACAGACCTCGAGTAGACTCATGTATCCTTGAGTCACAGTAGTACCAAAACCAACTATCAGCCCACTCGTCAGAGAAAAACCTAAAGTCCAAACAGTGCACCGCACTGTATCTGCCAGCTGGCACATCACCACATAGTACTCCATCCACACTATCCAACCAGATATCCTCCGTAAGGCGGGGACCAACATCAAGTCTCAAAACCAACACTCCCCTCCCCTCCCGAGAGACGGCTCGGCTTCGCGCAGATGTACACGCACGGCTCAAATAGTATCACCAGCCTCAAACAAAGAGTCCCATCCTACTGGATCACCGAGCAGAGCATAGGAGCCCAAAGCCCAACTACCCGTTGTCATCTCATCTCATCTGCCTTACACACAAAACAAGGCAAAAGAAGGATCTGCACGGCAGATAACAAAAGAAAGGATACCCCAGAACACATGAAACAAGGCCGAAGCAAAAAGGTTGATTGATCTTCATCCATTCCCCACCCACCATCACCACTACACCATCTATCAGAATGGAAAATATCCGAGCCCGTCAAGCCGGTAACCAACTGCCCGACAAGGCAACGCACCTACCAGGCTAGCTGGTTCGCCTGATGTATATTACTGGCTAGTGTTGATGGGCTTCTAGATGGAGGCTGCATATGCAGGGATGAATTGGGCATAGGATAAAGTTTGAGTTTTCCACACGAATATTGAAAGGAGGGAATGAATGTATGGATGGTGGGGGGTAAGGCAAGATGTGCTGTCTATGCGGGTCTTAGATGAAGGTTTTGGCTATGTATGTAGTATGTATGTATGATTCATGTGTGTATGTATCTACTGTGCATGGAGACGAGGCAGATGCAGATGCAAGATCCTGGTCAGCGAACAAGGCCAGAGATGATGTGATTATACGGGGACCGTGTCTTGAGACAGATGATACCTGTCTGCTGGGTACCGACTACCTCCCTACCGGGTGTCTCTACCTATAGGTGGGTATCGGGGCATGGACTATGAGCACTGACGCCAACGCACCACAGCAGTGGAACACTCTGAGACAAGAACGACGCTGACGATGACCAGCGGTGTCAAGAGACCCGACTCACCGTCGCCGGAAAAGTAAAACACGCTCCCAAATCACACCGAGGAAACAAGGAAAAGAAAAAAAAAAAGATAAGATAAGAATGGAAAGGGGATCGAAATCTCCGACCCCTTTTCTGATCAACTCCATCCAGCCTATCAACACGTTAGCCTGCTTTAACAGATCGTCTGGCGTGGATCCCAGCGACGAGGACGGTAACTATCGACATAGGGCTAGTCGAGCGGAGCAAGGGCTTGACTGCGGGTGGGTAATGTTATATAAGACCGCTGGGGTTACTAACTTACTGTCAGCCCGCGCGAATAAACTCAAAGGTGGAGACTGACAGGGTCGTGTGGGACCGAGTCTACGAGGTCTCCGCGGAGGGTTTATCTCGCAGGGATACTACCTCGTCTGCGGTGCTCAGGCTGGTGTTCCCTGTTGTCAGTGGTTAATTCCAACTGCTGCGACGATCGACTAATGATAGATGATTATGATGTAGTTATCTCATCTGCCTGTTGCACATCGACAGATGTATGTGTCATGCCATGCACGTGAAATAGACCAAATCGAACCGAAAAATGTTCAGGTTGGAGACGGCGCACTGGCTGGACACTGGACAGAGCTCTTCCACCCTGCGTGTCGGGTCCAGATTAGCGGTGTAATCAACCCGTCAATGCGAGCGGAAAACTCTATCATTGGACAGATTGATTAAGGGGCTCCATAGAGTCGGGTTATTCACCATGGATACTAACCTACTAACCTAGTGGAAGAGGAAGGAGATCCCAGTCTCACCGGACATTCACTCAATGAACGCCCGCTACTTCTCCTCCAGCAGGAGGGTTGAGGGGGTTTTCCCCTTGTTCCCACTATTTCCCACTTTTTAATCTAAGTTGTGGGATTGGTGTTTCTTTGCAAGCGCCGGATTCGTGGTCTATCTTGATTCTTGGCAGACGAATGCCACCTCCGCAGTTGACCTGTCACTTCGGATGAATATCAGTAGAGTAAGATATAGACTTTTTCTGATTAGGGCGGAGGCTAGCGCGCGAGACCAGCCCTTGCGCTAGATAACTCCATGTCGAACATTTTTTTTTTTTTTTTTCATTTTTTCTTTCCTTATATTATTTGGTTTTATTCGGTTTTATTGAACTAATCGATGGTTACTCTTTCCTTTTCGGAAGGATATAATCCTCTCAATTCTTGGCTTTCTGGTGGAAAATGCTTTCTATCATGTCGTTCCTGGGGAGATGGGTTAGGGCTACTACGTCATGTGGCGCTTGTCTTTCTTCCACCTGAGATGGGATAAAATAACACCAATAGAACTGGTTTGGAATTTAGACTCGGACGCTCTTCAGATCATGTCGAAAAGCATAAGGCCGGGTATCGCCATTCGGCACGAAAAACAGAGGATACGCCAAGAAATGAGAAATACACTGATCAGCGGCAGGCAGCGGGGCCAGAAACAGGTAAATCCCCCGGACCCTGATAAGGTTCAGCTACACAGTCCTGTTCAGGCCGAAAGATGGACCAGTGCAGATGGTTCCCAAAGTGGGAAACGGTCTGAACCTGCTGGTGCATTGGCAAGTAACGGTGACATTCCATTTTGATGAGGGAAAAAGGAAAGAAGGGGATAAATGAAGAGAAAGAGAAAGAAATTAGAAAGAAAAGAAAGAACAAAAGAAAGATGAAGGGTTTGGTCGGACGCTGACAGGGGTTTTTCTCCGTCCCGACATTGTGGCACAGATGGCGGCTGCTCTCGTCAGTCTAGGGCTCTAAAAAGAAATAGGCTGGAAACCAAAAAAATGAAACAAAAGAAAGATAAAAAAAAAAATAACTGATAAATAAGTAAAAAAGGAAATAGCATGAACGATACTGGGACTGTCATACTGCAGGGATCCACCTACTGGACGAGTTGGCGCCGTGGGCGGGGACGGCGATACCAAATCCACCGGCTTTGCGGTGGGATGGGATCAGAGTGAACCGCGCCCGATTGAAAATGTAATACCGCCCTGCAGGAATGCATGCTGGGATGCTTGTGAGTCTAGAGCAGACATTCCCCACCCCGAAGCAAGTCAATGGGGAGTTGCATCCATCTTGTCCAGTTGGTGGGAGAGCGAGATGCTAGCCACTGACCGGTAAGCGCCGCTAGCTGCTAGCCATCATGACGGTCCCTTTAGATCGATGATCTATTCCTAGTAATCTCCAGCAAACATTCTCCTCTTCAGCAGGATCCGTCTCTTTTCCCTGTACCTCGAAGATCAGGCTCAGGTTCAGGGTCAGGTTCAGTCCTGAGGGGAATGGTGTGCCCGTTCAACGTCATTTGCAACCAGTCACATCAGAGTAATTCGGACGGTCTTCTCCGGAGGTTGGCTGCATAAACGGTTTCTTCTTTTTTCTTTTCTTACCTCTCCTATTATAATTTTTCCCCTTATTTGATTTCAAAATCGATTTTTTTTGTTCATTCATCTGCTTTGTTGTGAAGGTCCCACAGACGGGGGTCAGCTGTACAGGGGTTGAACACGTCTCGACGCCGTGCAACAAGGGTCAGGAATCAATCTTATTCGGTGAGATGCAAGTGCTTGTCATCAACGGGAGCATCCGAGAGCAATATGGGTCTTTCTCTGACCGCGACATGACATGTTGGCCGTGCTGTATGGATGTCTGTCTGTCTGCCTGTCTGCCTGTATGTACGTGTGATTGTGTTCTTTGGATGCATTGAACCAGGTCAATCAGCCTAGCTGGGTAAGAAATCGATCGATCGACCCTAGGATGAAGATCTCCCGATAGTGTTTGCAAGAGGGTCCCTCTCCATCCACTGGTCCCTCCACTGGTCTTTCCACCCATCGGTCCCTTCCACCCACCGGTCCCTTCCCTCTCCCCCTCCTTCCCTCCTCTCCTGGCGGAGCTATATAAAGTCAGTGTCGGTTGCTCCGTCCGGTAGCAATTAAGCTCAACGGTTTAACGAGACGTGCGCGGAACCATTGAAGCCACAAGGCCATAAAGTTCAACCCGTCTACGATCTTTGATCTCATTTGCGACCATTGCTTGACCCTGTCTTTATTTTATCCTGAACATCCTCTTTTCCGTTATACCTTTGTCGCATTTGCCCACCATGCCTGTGAGACGCCCTTCCCATACTGTATCCCCCCAAATAGTGCTAATGGAGTTGTTAAACCAGATGCCCGGAGTTCGTTGTCCCACCTGTCAAGGGGAGGGGAAGGAGATCTGGGTGATCCCAGGGAAGGACTGCCACGTCTGTGGCACCGCATGCACATGATTTCCCACCGTACGTACTTCTATCAAAGAAAGGCCCTTCTTGTCTGTGCGTCACGCTGACTTGACATTTTCTCCGACAGAGGAATGCGCCTCGCAATTTACTATGCGACAATTGGACCTCCGACTCTTGATTGAGATAGATTAACACACCGCCATCCCAAACCGATGACAGTGACATCCTGTCGCGATCTCTATATCTCCAACGTTCTATGCAATGAGGGGTGGGGGGAAGAAATATATGGTGCAATTGAGGCGTTGGGAGTGGCTTATTCCGAGCCTGACGCTGACAAGCTGGGTTGTGTTGGGATCGACATGACGCGGGAGATGGAAATGGTAAATGGCGACAAGAATTGTACGATATTAACGGCAGAAAGAAGAAAAGAAAGAAACAAAGGGTTAAAATTGGTCAGTGCTTTCATTGAATTGCGTCGATTTTGCTTTTGTTTTAAGGAAGAGGTGTGTGCGTTGCACGGACATTAGTGACATTAGTGGAGTGGGCGATTATTTTGTTGGTGCCAGCCTCGTATCCGTGCGGGTGTTCGCAGACAACTCGACTATATTGTAGATATTATATGTTCTCATTACTGTGGAGTTAATTGATAGATCGAATATATCACCTAATCAATCACGTAGCACCCAACATTAGTATACCTTCAGCAATCTATCACCGAACCAGCAACAACTCCAGTCACCTCAATCCCGAGGTAAACCAAACAACGCTAGTAACATGCAGCAAGCAATAGACGATGCCAGAGTAATGACCAGTGCTAAACGCTACTAGCTAAAATAATCTAAAGCAAAGCACAGCTCACAAATCGCCTCTCTCCCCAATGAGCCAATCTAATCCAACACCACTGCAGCAGATGCAGGTCATCGTCATGTGACTAGGTACATTCGTACATCCCCAACGACGTCATCGATACCCCACACATTCCCCCTCATCGTCCTTCTTCTCCATTACCCACCTTTACAGACGTCATCTATCTGAACTAATGGAAGTTAACTCCTATTCCCATGCTTCATTCCATCCGTCGATCAAAGAACACGCCACCACACTTACGATACGCATCCACCGGACGGGTAGGGGGTCGAGAGAAAATGGCAGAGACGTACCCGATTGGCACGCGCAGCGAGTGCGAGCGTCTTGTGCGGGACTGGGGGTTTAGGAATGTGTTTACGTGGTCGGATGGAAGGTGTGTCTTTTACCTATACATGTAAGAGAAATTGGTTTTCTTATCTAATTTGTGGTTGGCTGCAGTAACGCCCACTACCCCCCACACAGACACGGCGGGCTCACGACCCATCTCATCATCCGGGGGAGCATGACTGTCACGTATCCCGAGGATAATGCTTCGCTGCATGGCGGGGAGCTGAAGAAGGAGACGCATGGTGTTGGCGCTAGGGTGGATGTGCCGGCGGGTAAGTTGCATGAGGTGTGGATGGGGGATGACGGGTGTGAGTATGTTATTGGGGAGTAGGTTACTTTGTGCTGTGTATGATGGGATGATTTATCTTGGGATACGCTTAATGTTTTTAGGGAATGGAATGGCACTACTTGCTCTGGCTGTGTTGCTTGTCTTACTAGGTAGTTGGTTGTATATTTTAATGGTCTGTATATATTTTAGTGCTCGACCCAAGCCGGCTGGGTCTGGTGCTAGCGATGTTCCATGGCTAGTGGATGAATCGGAAGTCAAGTCTGGGTTTATGTTAGTTGACATGCTCCTAGGTAAAGCAATATAGACGCGACATACCGTTTATTTCCTTTGTCTTTGTTTGCAGCCAAATAAGCCTCTCGCTCGGCGCTGGTCATCGGATCCCAGATGGCAGCTTTTTGTCTAGGTGCACTGTTAGCATGATGCGCAGAAAATGATGTTTATGAAGACATACTTGTTACGCCAGGCATAATAATACTTGCACACAACAAACAAGAGCAGACTGTACACGGTAATCGCGATTAGGACCTTGTTGCCAGTCCGGTAGTAAGGCTTGTCATTTTCGCGATAGATCTGGAATTATGGTCAGTACAGCACCATACTATGCATAATACGTGCACACTCACGTTGTTGGCAATAATATTAGACGCCTGGACCGTCATATTATACAGCGCAGTGGCGACCGTTCTCGTCCGCACAGAGCCCGCATTTCTGGACGTCAGGGCCACCACCACGGCGTGGATATACGGAGCGCCAATCAGCAGGACGTTGATGATCCAGCGGGCCCACGGGCTGGCATCATCTGGTAAAACCACCAGGGCGATCAGCAGCACCAAGCACCACACTTCAGATACGATACCCAGAAGAAAGCGCTGCTGGAAGCGCTCTGACACCCACGTCCAGAAGAGCAAGTTGATGATAAAGATGACGTAGCTCGGGATGGTCAAGAGGTTTGTCTCGAAGGTGGAAAACCCGAGCGCCTTCAGATTCAGCGTGATGTAGGTCGTCGCGGGCGTGTTGGGGATCATCCAGCTCAGGCCCAGCAGGTAGATGAGCCACAAGTCGTAGTCGCAAAGGGCGTTCCAGAGCATCTTGGGCGTTACGGCTTGGCGGTTGTGCATTCCTCCTTTGCTGGGGTCGTCACGTATGACACGGTTGACGAGGATCTTCTCTTCGTGTTCGCTGAACCAGCCGTTCTTGCCGCGAAAACCGCCCTTGGTTTGTGTCGGGGACGCGGGCATCCAGAATGCTGCGACGATGGCGATGATGCCCGTTATGAGACCCTCGTAAGCGAATAGGTATCGCCATCCACCTTTCCCGTCGTCGTCGCGGATGTGGAGAAACCCAAACGCAAGGAAAGCACCGATAATGGCCGTTCCCTGGTATGACACCCAGAAATAACTGAGCCGTATGGGAAGTTCCTTCGATTTGTACCAGAAGGAGAGGAAAAGAATTGTATCCGGGATACTGTTGGTGGTCAGCTTCCAATCACACCAAAATCATCAAAAAGTCCCGAACAACTTACAATCCGCCCTCGAAGAGGCCCAAAAGCGCGCGGCATGCAAAATAGCTCGCCTTGTTTTTCAGGAATGCCTGCATCGCGGCGATCAAACTCCAGCAAAACATCTGGATAGGGATCCACCGGTCCGGGCCGAGCCATTTGGAGATAAGCTGAGACGGCAACTCGGCAAACAGGAACACCACGAAGAAGATGGTCTGGCCGGTGTTGTAGTCGTTGGTATCCATGCCCAAGTCTCCCAGCATGTTGTCGGACATGGCCTGGACGACATTTCCTCGGTCCAGCTGGAGTGCAAAAAAAGTGATGCAAGCAAACGTGCACACTCGGAGATCAATCTGGTACCAAATCAGCATTCTATCAGTCGGACCAGATCGGCTGATACACTCGTATCAGCACGTACCTTTCGGATCAGGCGTTTCTCCTCCTCTGGGGTCCAGTCAAAATGGGGGTCCCATCGGTGAATCCCCTCGTATGTTGAGATGGGCTTATAGAAACGAGGATCTTCTGTCATGTCAAAAGCGCATTCTTCTACACTCTTAATTTGTCCCTCCGCCGCGTCGACAGAAGACGACGACCCAGACTGCATCTTTGCGTCGCCATCTTGTTTGACGGGCGCAACATGAGTCGCTGGCCCTTTGCCATCTTCGGAGCTCATCTTGTCAGGATGATGGAAAATGTATAGTTTGGACAAGGATGGGGAGCTTGCATCATATTTCTAGGATTTCGCCGGGCGCGCTCCAATTATAAGGCCATTACTCCGTATGTTCCTGCGCCATGTGCGCCTATCTCAGGATAAGAAAAAAAAAAACCATCACGCAATTCCCAAGGCAACTTAGTGCAAGGCAGTAAGGGATGCGCTCCAGCCCGCACGCGATGCAGACGCCAATACCGAGAGCCAATGAATCCAACAGATGAGATCGTTGGACATCCATGTTTCGGGCTTTTGGAGAAAGGTATCGATAGCTGAGCACGCACCATGTGTGGATCTGCGGACAGCATCCGGGAATGTAACTCTTCCACGAGATCATATCCTGGATAGTATGGGAAGTATGACCGTCAATCGAGACATAAGATACCAATAGCGGAGATATCGTCATCATCTGGTTCAAACACGACACCGAGGCGACAAAGGTCCATGCAAAACTCTCGCAACTGAAGGGTATCACGCAAGTTCGACGATGGTGACGCTATAAAAAACGAGTCAAGAGAGCGGAGGATAGCCGGGGTCTGCCTTAGGCTCCGTTAGCGGTTACTTAGAATAACTCGAGCTCCCTCCTCGTCCTGCCAATCACACCTGCCTCGTCTCTAACATCCTTCCCATTTCACCATCGCTTTGGCTTATGGTATAATTCACCATCATTGTCACAGCATGAGCTCTAAAGATTCATCCTGTCATGTATCGTATCGCTTTCCCCGTTGAATCCCTGACACTAACCTTGCACGAGGGCAGATAGTGACAGGGTGTGCGGTGACAGGAACACAGCATGCCCCTGCTACGGCATTTGGGAAGCCAAACGTCAACATATACCTGGAATCTTCAAAGCTTGGACGCTCATATTCGACCGAAATAATCCCGGCTTTCTTTGGTTCCCACATGGAAATCCCTTGGTATACGCTTGCTTAGTGGCGCGAATGGGAGACACTATCACGCCATCCTTGGCCCACCCACACGACATCTCCCCCCTCCTCTGGAAACAGGTTGACGGAGTGAAACACGGCCCAGGAATCACGCCTGCTATGTCGGTCTTCTTAGTATGAACAGGAGCGGCATAACGCAGAAGATCACTGCAGCCGTTGAATATAGTGCTTTCGTCGGGTGCAGGCTAGAACCGTCGGAATTTCCCCTGCTGCAAATCAGCGCCCCTCTATGTACCTATATGACCACATACATGGTGTTTAGCACGCCATACGCCAAACGGCGGATATCTCATCCATTGCCGGGGCTATAGTGACGCCAGCGTCTAGTGATTCGTAAAACACGTTCTATTCATACCAACCCCGCGGCGGCCTGAGGCGCCCCTCCACTCCAATACAGGAATTCGCATGATTATTTACGCATACCCCGCGGTTATTGCGCGATCTAGAACGGATAATCGGAAAGAAGTTCGGGTCTCTGGGGGTATATCTGGGGGAGTGGTCCCAGTCTGGACTTCCGCACCTGAATCGAGAGGAATAACTTGTCCATTGGGAACAATCGGGAACACTGACACAATATGGCTCCTTCGTTGACTGAGACTACGACCTCCCTGTTGCGTTCTGCGCCTGTCGCGACTCTCAAGACCGATGGTGGTTTTAATAAGGAGAACGTCATCGGCTACGGGGACGCATACAAACACGAAAACGAAATTCAGGGCACGGCGAAGCAGCCTCCTGCTAAATATCCCCACTACCTTCCTGTATGGGACAATGAGACAGAAAGGTATGGTAGATAGCTAGCTTAACAAGAACTGATCACTACTGACACGGCTGCAGATACCCACAGCTTGAACCCTTCGAGCACTATGACCACGGAAAGGACGCCGATCCAAGCTTTCCGGACCTCTTTCCCAAGGACAAAGCCGTCATTGACGAACTAAGCCCGGCAATCGGTAGCGAGGTACATGGTGTCCAGCTGAGCCAACTGACCAAGGAAGGCAAAGACCAGCTAGCGCTCTATGTGGCCCAGAGGAAGGTTGTCGGTATGTCAGCACCATTCCAACTTGCCCATCATCCCATCGCTGTCCAGAAAGCCCACACCTCCCCTCCTTTTAGAGTATCGCCATTAATGCATTGCAGCCTTCCGCGACCAGGACTTTGCGTCCATCCCTATCGAGAAGGCTCTGGAATTCGGTCGCTACTTTGGTCCACAACATATTCATCAAACGTCTGGTGCCCCCAAGGGCTTCCCAGAAATCCACCTGGTGCACCGAGGCGCCGACGACCAAACGGGACAGAAGTTGTTGTCGGCACGCACCAACTCGATCACCTGGCACTCCGATGTGACTTTCGAAAGGCAGCCGCCAGGCACAACCTTCCTATATCTGCTGGACGGCCCGACCACTGGCGGTGACACGCTCTTCGCCAACACGGCCAAGGCCTACCGTCGGCTGTCGCCCGAGTTCCGGAAGAGACTGCACGGCCTGCGCGCAGTGCATTCGGGTTTCGAACAGGCCAATAACAGTCTGAACAATGGCGGCATCTCCCGTCGTGATCCCATCACCACTGAGCATCCGATTGTGCGAACTCACCCTGTAACTGGCGAGAAAGCGATCTACGTCAACCCCCAGTGTGAGTACCCCGGCTACCGTTTTCTCGGGAAGAACAAGTGATTAACCCTGCAATAGTCACCCGCTACATCGTCGGTTACAAGAAGGAAGAATCCGACTTCCTCCTCAAGTTCCTCTACGACCATATTGCCCTGTCGCAAGATCTGCAAACCCGCATCCGCTGGAGACCTAACACTGTCGTTGTCTGGGATGTGAGTTTTCCTTATCTTGGATTGAATAACCAGGGTCTAACTCGTACAGAACCGAGTAGCGGCCCACAGCGCCCTCTTCGACTGGGAAGACGGCCAAAGACGCCATCTGGCACGTGTCACGCCCCAGGCTGAAGCTCCGTATGAGACGCCCTTTGAGGGCTAATAAGCAACCTCGATGATATTACAGTTGTAACGGTTTTACGATGATGTGAGAATGTGTCAATTTATGCTTGATTTGGAATCCGAAACTCAAATGAACAAAAAAAGATAATCATATTGACAACATATTGACCACATAACCCTGTCATCCAGCCGTAGTGTCGATGATACAGAAACTCCATCAGTAGAACTCCATCACATAGCCATCCAAATCCGATCGTGAAGTCACCCAAGAAATGTATGATTAAAAGCGCGGTTGAGAAAGACGACAACAGAAAGTCAAGAACGTAAGCAACATGAGAATTTAACAAAACAAGTTGTCTCTCACTACGGCCGACCATCAAATGATACCATTCAGCTCAAGCAGGCGCAATTCTCTGCGCAGCATCTTAAACATAAACAGCAACCACAATAACCACATGAGAAACACAGCAACGACGTGTATGAACAGTCCCTTGAGCGGCATGTCCATCAAGATTTCCAGGGCTGAAACTGGTTCTGCATTGTGGGGAGTAGATGATGCCGAGAATGGCTTGTCGTAGACAAGTTCGTCGTCTTCTTCATAGATGCTGGGGGAGGAGACATCTTCCAGGTGTTCCCAGGTGATTTCATTGTCGGAGTCGATTGGACCTGAGTATTGAGACGTGGGGGTTGAGGCGTCTTCATAGTATTCCCAGGTTATTTCGTTATTGGGTGTGATGGGATATGAGCTTGGGGGGGTGGAAGGGGAGGGGGCGTCTTCGAGGTGTTCCCAGGTGATTTTGTTGTCCGGGTCGATTAGTCCTGAGCTTTGGGAGATGGGGGTGGAGACGTCTTCCAGGTGTTCCCAAGTGACTGTGTCGTCAGGATCGGTTGGACCTGAGCCTTGACGGATGAGAGTTGAGATGGCCATTGGGTCGTCTTTGTCTTTCTTTTGATGAAGTTTAAGGAGTGGGTAGCTATCTGTGTAGTGTTAAAAGTAGAGTTAGTTTCAGTCTGATGTATAGCATGGTGCAGTTGGTGACTCGGCTGAGTACATACTGATTTTTTATGATGGAAGCTGATGAAAGCAGTGGTTTGTGAAGATGCACGAAGTCGATCGAGATGGATGAAGATGACCAAGATGGATGTCTCGGATAGGGTGTCAAGAAGGCTTGAGAAGCAGTGACAAAGCTAATAAGAAATTCCAAATTTCGAAAGCTTGTCCACCAATGCAGCGAAATCATCGAGTGAATGACAGCATTTCATACTTCATCGTAGATCACGAGACGCCCTTTTCTGTAGATGTCCCGAACAGGGAAAGCGTACTTGGTGACTACCAGTTTGCACTCAATGTCACCCATGCTACTTTGCCCGATCAAAGCGGTTCAAGATCCCCACCTGCCACTCGCGAAAGATCCTCCCTGATCCTGGGAGCATGCTGTTACTGCTGAGCAGCGCCTTCGTCATGGCTAAGAACACGCCTGACGGCAGTCGCAGTTCCTCTAGAGATAGGGACGAGATCTTGCCCTGCGCGGGATGCAGTACTGCATCGACGTCATCAACAGACTGGAAGAAGACTTTCATTCCCTGCTGTGCGGCTATACTGTGATCGGGACTGGAGTTGGAATAGTGCAGGTCGGGATTGAAGACCCAAAGCTGGTAGGTTTTTTCTTGTCAAAAGATGGTCGAACAAGCTACAGAAAAGGAGGGTGTACATACCAAGAGCCCATCCTTCTGTCCACAGTGGACGACGAATCGACGAGCGCTTTCCCGTTCGATTAGCTCCAGGAGCTGGGCAGCGACTACCGTTTCCACGGATTGGGTCTCCCAGACCATGCCGTTTGGGTTGTCGGGGTCCCGTTTGCTGGCTGATATGTTTGTTTTGAAGAGTCTCCATCCTTGAGAGACTGTGTCTTCGACGCCGATCAGCGCATTGCAGTTTTCGCATACGATTGTCTCGGGCTCTGGTTTAGAGTCCCCGTCGGTATTCTCCCGTTCGGCCTAGAAGGTCGTCTATCAGCAATTGCGTACGGGTACAACGAGAGTTTATGAAACATTGAAAATCTAGGGATAACGCATGATCATGCCATTTGGAATCGATCGATCTACACACTATTTTCAACGGTAAAACTGTGCTACAGATGTGATATGATCTGCTCGTCGGTATGTACCTCGCTAAATCACGTCGACCCCATCGCTCTGGGAATTCGAATCAACGATGAAAGACGCAAGGCGAAGTCTCGACCCCAAGCGCGAGGGCTGGAAGTCGAACATGATAGCAACGGGAAGGCGAGAGCGAAATCCATCTGCGAAACAGAGGATAACTGCACCCGACTGTCCCGCCACGCACATGAACGGCTTCCTTCATGCCCATTGCGCCGTCAGATCGAAACCCAGTAGCTATAGGGCAATTGTATCGAAGGCAGATTCATGGTCGAGAAAGGCCTCCTTCTTGTTGCCCACTGTTACACGGCCGGGATAGGATGGGGTAGAACTTTCAAAAAAAAAAAAAGGAACCAGGGAAGAAAAACACAGTAGAGACGTTACCTTTCTCAGCCCTCTACAATCCGCCTGCGCGACCAAAAACGTCGCCACGTCCACGAGGACTGTACCCTCCGACGCAAGGACCTGATTCGCCGCGCCATACCCCTTGACGTCGGTCTGTTTCTCCGCATCATTAGTATCCCGGTCTGAAGGATGCGTATCTGGTTTATGGCAATGCCAGAAATCCATCATCTCCGCCCAGTTCCCACTAGGCAGATCCTTCCACACCCAGCCGGCCAAATCACGTCCCTTCTCAACCTCACTAGAAGACGGAGACAGAGACGGCTCTAGAAAGACACTGGGGCACCCACGACACCGCACTCTTGTCCGCGGGCCCATATCTCTCGCCGTCCACGGAACAAACCCATCCAGACATTCGACCTGCGACGGTCTGGACAGCCCATCATCCTCGCTCTCGACCTGCATCCGGAACGAGTACTCCCGCATCCCATGCTCAACCCGCCCGTTGTTCGGCGCGTCTGTCCCAGCTGCTAGCACGCGTCGCGACCCCTCGGTGACGCGGGCGGGGAGCTTCAGCGTGTCTGTTACATCACCCGATGTCCCCGGGACAGACACGGAGACGGTGACAGCTTTGCGGGAGGATGATAGCGAGATCTGGGGGTGGGCTTGTTCTGCGGGGGTGCTGGCAGGGATGGAGACGTAGAGGGTGATGTGTCGGATGTTGGGGAGGAGCTCCGCGTGGAGGTAGAGAGGAGTAGCTTTGCACTCGGCTGTCGGCATTTTAGGATATTTCTTGAAGTTGTTACGACATTAAATCTCTCTTTGTGGCATCAACATCACTACAGGCGGAACTGGAAATCGAACAAACATGACGCGAGAATATCTGGAGCTGCGCACAAACACTGCAAACCCAGCACCTAAGCACCTGCACGTGATACTGAATATATTAATGCCTCAGGCAATAACTTCATCAGATCGATCTATACAAGTACATTCACATTCACAATTACACGCAGATATAATAGACTACCAAAATTAAATGTAATATGCAAATATAAGCTGAAAACGCCACAGACCTACGCCGCCAAACCCTTCACAACCCGCACCGCAGCCCTCAAATAGAGCCCATCAGCATCCCCCCAAGTCCCCGCCGCCTCCTTGAGCGCAAGGACACTTTGCGCGGAGAGCGCGTCTACACGCGGGCCCTGCACACACCGCGCAGCAGCCCACCCCCAGTTGCGACCGTCCAGGTCATGCTCCTCCTCTTGCACACTGACACGGCTCAAGAGCTCCGGACGCCCCTGCGCAACGTAGACCCGCAGCGTGAGCAGCCACCACTGCCGGAGGAGGCGCTCGTGGAAGCGGCCCGGGATGAGTGGGATGAGGACTCGGACAGCGTGGGCGGCGACGAGGATGTTAAGGATGGATGGGGTGTCGGGCGATGACGGGCTAGGACTGGACGCAGCGAGGGAGGCGGCTACGTCGAGCGCTTCGCGGAGCTGTGCGTCTGCGTTTTGGGAGTCAAGGGTCCAGGCGTGGTAGTGGTCTAGGAGGATGGATTCTGCGTCTTCGTCGTTCGTGGGGGTGGCGGTGGAGAAGCGCTTGTCTTTGTGGGCGGTGGTGAGAATCTCTTGGAAGGAGGTCGAGTGGTAGGTTGGCTGTTGGGGATGGGTGTGTCTTAGGGTTGGGGGGTCGGTGTTGGCTGTTGTGGTCATTGTTGACGCTGCTAGGGCGAGAGTCTCCATTGCTACTTCCCTGCTGGAGAGGACGAATGCCGTGGAGAGGTGGAGGGCTGTGTGGCCGACTGGAGTGTTGTCAGCATCATATCGCTCTTGCTATGGCTTGTGAAGAGCCCATGTGGTAGAGACATACGTCCTGAGCATAACGCTTTGAAAAGCGGCTCCTGTCCAGTAAATAAGTAGTCCGAGACGAGCTTTCTCCAATCATAGGCGTAATTAACGACGAGCTGGTCTTCGAAGAAATCAAGAAAAGCGCGTTGGTATCTACCAAGAGTTAGTCAATCAAGCTACCTCCAGTCGGAAAATGCAATACATACTCTCTCTTCCCTAAAAAGTCCCTCCAGTCATACGTGCTGATCTCCGCCGGAGAATCAACCCACGGCTCAAGGGCCTTCGACTCCGCTTCCCAGGCGCGATCCAAAGCATTCGCATCAGCGCCGAGGAGGAAATACGCACCCAACACCTAAGACGGCTCAATTAGCCAGCGATCACACAGATAGAGTCAGCAGAGTAGGGCAACAAACATGAGGCATTTGGTTGCGGTGGGCGCCATCAGACCGCAGCAGGCTGTAGTTGGCATGGTTCAGCTTCAGCATGTGTTTTACCGCGCGGGCGGGTCTCTCTTGCGCTGTATCGATTTCGTGGGTCTGCATCGGAGGAGTGGTGAAGGGTGTGCGGTCGCGCCATGGGATTAGGTTGCTGAGGGATGGTATTGAGATTGAGATCATCGTTGTGTCGTATCTGATGTTATTGTATTCGATGTTCACTGCTAGATTATGCCGCTACTTTTGTTGGGCCGAGGCGTTGGGATCGTTGTACGGCGTGCTTTAGTGATATAATTGCATGGATGGTGCACTGGACTAGAGAGTGCGCGCTATATCTTTGAGTGTACTTATGCGCCGAATTGAGCTCTGTATGAATGTGTTCAAGATTGGCTGTCGAAGCTCAACAAAATGTGGGGAAGACGCGGATGTTGTTGAGGTTGGATGGGACCATGGCCTGAGGTGTCTATGATGTCACGCCACTCCATCCATACAGTAATCAAAATACAAAAACAGTCTACTTCTATAACTCTTCCTGATATTCATCTACTCATTTCAGATTGATACCGTATTTGAATCCCAACCACCGAATCTAAATCCCAAATTACTTCTCTTCCGATTTCCCCTGCTCCTGTCTACTAGAGTCATCGAGCGTATCTCCACCGGCAGAAAGCTCGCCCGAGATGACATCCACGTCGATGCGAGGCCCAACAAAGTTCTTACGACCGTCGACGAACCATTGGATGCCGGACACAATCAGGATAATTCCAAATGCAACCACGCAGTAGTCTGCAGATTATGTTAGCGTAAATTCCAAATTCAGGGATGCATCAGACTTACTCATGCCGCTACCTGTGACTGGCAGGCTAGGCGGGAAGAGGAAGAGCACAGTGGTGATGGAGATGTAGCAAATGGCAACCTTTGACACATGTCAGTGACTGAGATGTCTCGTTGTTCGATGTCAGACATACCATGTTGGCAATCCAGCCAAACAGCTTGGGAAGAACAAAATGCCGTTCAGGCAGCATGTTCCGGCCACGAATGCAGTTGATCGCGATTGGCATAACGTAGGAGATGTCGAGCATGACCACTGACGAGGACACGATGGCATTGAATGCACTGAATGGAGTCAGCGGCTGGTGGTGCACTCCCGGGGAGAAGCTTACCTCGAGGAGCCCAGGAAGATGCAGCCGAAGATGATCACCAAGGATATCGTTAAGTACAGAGCATTCAACGGCACCTTGAGCTTCGGGTGTACCCGGCTGAAAAATGGAGAAGCTGGGAGACCACCGTCTCTGTTTCTTCATTAGCAAACCTAAGCTTTGGTAGACACATTTGCAACCGCGCACTTACCTCGCGAACGCATAGATCATGCGACTGCTGGTTGCCATGATGGTAGTGGCAGCGAAGAGGATACAAACAAGAGGGAACCTGGACACGAGTCAGTGGCCTGAACCAACGCGCTGTCTACTGAGACCTACATGAGAAGGCAGATAGATCCCGCATTGCTTCCTGTCGCATTCTTAAAGATTTGCACGAGCGGGCCGGCGGCAGACTCGATCACTTCCTCAATGTTGCCAGCAACAAAGAGAAGCACGACCAGGAAGATTGATCCGGTCACTGTCCCAATTCCAACACAACCGATCATGATCTTGGGTCCAGTGGAAGAGGCATTGGGGATTTCTAGAAGCGTCAGTGGGATGCGGCCCGAAAGATGCCACACTAAAGCATACCTTCAATCATGTGTGCCACACCATCCTGTCTAGTGGTCAGTCTCTAATCAATCACAGCCGAGTGATCGGGACTCACGAATCCTGTAAGACCAAGGCCTCCTTGCAGCAACTTTTATCGGTCAGAATAGTCTTAGCTTTATACAAGATGTCAAACATACCCCAAGCAGCCAAGCAACACCATCCGGCCCTATATCTGTTAGAGGTGGAACGCGAATTTGAAGATAAATCTAGTATGACGTACAGTTTGTTTGATTGATAAAATCTCCGAACACGAACCTCCCAATGTCAGCATGCGCTTGCTCCACGTGTACCATAAAAAACATGACTTACTTTCCAGAGTTATAGTTCGGAGAGGAGCAAGCAAGAACAGTAATAGAGATGATAGCAAAACCGCTCAAAGACCAAATGACTGTGGCCGTCAGCACTCCTCTCGGCAGATCTTAAGCCACAATAACTCACAAGCACCCTTGGTGACTTTCGGAAGAACCGAGTTCATCAGGGAGTTGATAACGAAGGCGATGATGTTGTACCCAATATAGAGCAGGAACTGGTGCCAGCGCTGCGGCTCGAATTCCTACAGGACTCAGCGACGAAGTGCAATAGTTCAGTAGACTAGCGACTTACCGGATGCATCAGGGAGATAATACCCATAATCAGCTCGCTTCCCAGGAGGCCACCAGTGGCAGTTAAAGCGAGCTAATCTGTCAGCAGGCGAGTATAGTTGTAGGGCAGAAAACACTCACCCAGCCCGAAACATTCGCCCAGCCGGTGATCCATGATAGGATCGGGATCCAGTTCTTCCACGATACTTTGCACTGTTAGAGTTGTTCGAGCCGAGGATAGGAAGCACACATACTAACTACAAGACAAGTCAATTAGCTTCTAACACTCTATTCCCGAAGATTCAACGTGACACTTACCTGCAACCCAATGGTACTGTCCACCAGCCCTAACTTATCATTAGAACGAGACCACCAATATACTCCGTCTTGAATGCTCACGTAGGATACGCAGACAAAAACTCCGCCAGGGAGCAAGCCATGCACAAATTGCATACACCAGCGGTAATCAGACCTGCAGACGGTAGATCAGCAACCCTATTCTCGACCACAGAATACCCAATTCACCCACCCCAGACAACACTAGCACAACCCCCCGACGGCAAACTGAGCGATAAGCTGGCCGATAAAGCCGTCCAAGACTGCGAGACGTAATCAGCGATCAGAATCCTAGCGTGCCCTAGTTACGGCCCTGGGCCACGGCCCGCGGGACAAGCAGTCCAATGGGCGGGGGCTGTTCCTGCCGCGGCGCCGACGTACATTTAAAATCGCAAAGGCCAATCCCAACATGGATCTAACATAGGTAGTATATGTCAGTCTCTGGGCATTTCTTGGGGCCAATCCTGGAGCACGCACAGCATGGAGAAATTTCGATTTAATTCAGCCTTATGGCCCATGGCCGCCAGCTGCGCGTCATCATCTCCGCGCAAGTCCTTCGTCGTGGACATGTTGAAGGTCGACTGCAAGAAACTCCAATTGTCACAATGGCTACAAACAGAGAAAAGAAGAAGTAACAAAGCAAAACACAGGACAGGAAAGAAGAAGAAAAACAAAGCTGCATAAAAACAAGTAGTTAAAAAAGACAGCCAGGTAGACGGAAAAAAAAAAACAGACTAAAAAAGCAGCACCAATGTGGCCAGCCATCCTAACGCGTTCCTCCTTCACACGCTCACTTGCTCTACCCTTCCAGTTTCCTATCATTTTCCTCCACCTCCCACCCCATCCGGGGGGCGACGGCCATGGTCTCAGTTACCCGAAAATGGCGTCAATCGTTCCTCGGACAAGCAATCCGGCCCACCAGGCATTGCGGGGAAGAAGCCCCAACTTACCCCTTACATAACAGAGATGATGTAACAGTCCCCTTGATAAGACTACCCCCGTCCCCCAAAGCCGACACTATTCGTCTCAGGCATTTCAGCAGTAGCATCCACGATGGGTGGGAATCGATGCTACCGATTCAGGCGAAGATAATCGCAGTGGACGGTGATTTGTGGAAAGCCCCGAACCGCAAGGCACCGAGAACCAGTCAGGAATCACCGATCAGCACTTGCCTCCCCGATTGCCGATTCCGAATTCAGTCGGTCGGTGGATTCTGGCTCGTCTCGTTGTCCCCGAGTCTGAGCGCGCCGGCTTGGACGAAGCTTAGCCTTCTTTTTTTATATGAGGGAAAAAAAAGTATTATATACATGTTTTCCGCCCGTCCCACGCGTCGCATATTGTTGGCACGGGAAACGGGGGCGGAAAAGCTTATACATACTTGGGTGGCTTTGGGTTATCCACTTGGGGTAGGTATATAGTATGGATATAATGTTTTGTCTACAGCGGTTTGTGTCAGTCAAAGCCATGCTGTCGAACAGGGGGGAGATAGGGCGATAGGTTACCTATCTCGTTAGTATCTACTCTATGAGAGATAATTATGCCATTCTGCGAATAATGATGAATGGTGATAAGACTCCGGGTGGACCAGACTCCAACGACTCCACCCAAGCCGAGTGGAGAAGAGATGGATGGAGAAGATGAATGGAGGAGATGAAATTATCAACATGTGGTCCGCTCGCTTCGGAGGTCGGCCTGAGGCTTGTCTTATCCCCTTTTTATTCTGGTCCCGGTATGATGTATCCAACGATGTCTGGCAACATTTCGCTTTGTTCCTAAATGATGAGGATGAGGATAGAATAGGATAGGATAATTCACAATCGTATGGTATATAGTATTATATACACGGCATCCATGATCTCTCTCTCTCTCTCTCTCTCTCTCGACGGGGCCAATATCTACACAGGTCTATACAAAAGCAGATGGATGAGATCTCCGCTCAACAAAGGAGGAAAAAAAAAAAAAAAACAACGCAATAAACCAGACAAGTAAAGAAGAAGAAAAATACTTCCCCACACCCCGCCTACTTTGAACCCCCCGACTGGGCCAAATGATCAGTCCTCACAACATATTCATCATCCCCATTGACCGCCCCGTCATCATCCTCCTCACCCACATCGTCGTAAGCTCTTCCCGAGTAAGACCCAGACGCACCCCGACTAGACCCCGTGGGGCCCCCCTCCAGCGAAGAGTCGGAATCGCCCGTCCGGATAGAAGTGATAGACTTGTTTTTCCCCTTTCCAAGCGACGGGACGCTGCCGTTCTTGCCCTTCCCCTTGTGGCCCGTCAGGAAGCCCGTCGCGTTGCGCATGATGGACGACCCGATCTTGCCTTTGCCTTTGCCGGAGTTGCTGCCGTTGCTGGTTGGCGTCGCGTGGTCGCCGTTTGTGATGGGCATGGGCCCGTCGATTACCTGGTCGGTTGGTTGGTCGCCTAATTTAAGCGACTCGAGAGCGTCGCCGATGGTTTGTGCGCCGGCGGCGCCTTGCGAGCTGGACTCTTGCTTTTGTTTGTCGACGGATTCGAAGCTCTGTCGGATTCGCTCGAAGTGCTCTAGTTCCTTGGCGCTGTGGGTTTCGTTAGTATGAATAAATGTGTCGGGATGATCCGCGGGTTGAGGGAAAGACTTACCTAACACTGGGGACGAGTTCACCCTGGGCCGCAGTGAAATCTTCCTCCGTGACCATCACAGCCACATCGTCTGGGGTAGACAGATGGTCAAAAAAGTAGGCCGTGCTGACAGATTCACCGGGGATCTGCTTGATTTTCTCATCGACGGCCGTCGCCTTGCGGGTGATGGCCTTGAGCATGGAATCAGAGCAGAGGGCGTAGAGATCCGCACCCGTATACGTCAGGGGCAGTCGGTCGGCCACGCGGCCAAGCGAGAGATCGGGGTCCAGGTTGAATTTCCTGGTGAGCGCTTCCAGAATCGTCGCCTGTTTCTCGTGCGTGTCGGAGATACCGAGGTAGAGCATCTTGTCGAACCGACCGGGACGCAGAAGGGCCGTATCCAGCAGATCGGGACGGTTCGTGGCACCGATAACGAAGACACCGCCGCTGTTCTCTTCGCCGCCGTTCATGCCATCCAACTCGGCAAGCAGCTGACTGACAATGCGGTCCATGACACCGCCGCTGTCACCCTGGTTGCCTCGCTTGGGCGCCACGGAGTCCAGCTCGTCGAAGAAGACGACGCACGGCCGAGCGTCGCGCGCCTTTTGGAAGACTCGTCGGACGTTGGCTTCTGACTCACCAATGTACATGTTCAGAAGCTCGGGACCCTTGACGGAGAAGAAGTTCAGGGAGAATTCAGTGGCAATGGCCTTGGCCAGCAGGGTCTTGCCCGTACCCGGCGGACCGTAGAACAGGATACCGCTGCGCTTCTTCATCCCCTTGGCGAAGAGTTCGGGCCGCTCGAGTGGAAGCTGAATGGTCTCGGTGAGAGCGTCCTTGACGGTGCTCAGGCCACCGACGTCGTCCCAGGCGACGTTCGGGATCTTAGGCGCACCGATCGAGTCGGCGAAGTTCTTCCTCGCGGCCTCAACGGCGGCGTCAAAATCGGCCTTGGTAACTCCCCGTGCGGCATCGCCTCCGGCCAGGAGAATATCCCGAATGGTGACCATCGCGCCCGGGGTCTGTTTGTTGGCATTGTCCACCAATTTTTCTAGGCGAGCCATCCGCACAGCCGCCGCCCGTTCGACAACGTCTACCAGATCCCCGGCCACCAAAGCAGCGGTCTTCAGCGCAACGGTGCCGAGATCCACGTCAGGGGATGTCTTGATGCTCCGGTCAGAGACTGCGTTACGCAAGATGCCCTCACGATCCTTCTCCTCGGGTGCCGTCATCTCGAACTCGTGCGTGAACATGCTGCGGATGCCTTCCGGAATCTGCTCGACATCCGTCGTGGTCGCGATGACAACTCGGGAATCAGCCAGGATGTCGGTCATCGCGGAGACGATGCGATCCGCAGTCAAAACCTCGATGTGCTTGATAAGGAGCGCCGTGCATTCAGATCCACAGTGGAAAGCGCGTTCTGCTCTCGCTTTCAGGTAGGCTTCAGTCTTGACATCGCCACCGTTGGCGCCACCTTCCGTCAAGATATCGTAGGCATCGATGGGGAACGTATGGAGGCCGATGTCTGCGCAGGCACGGGTGGCCACCATGGCCTTGCCAATGTGCCGTTGCTGCGACCGCAACAAGATCACCACGGGCTTCATGCCGAGCTGAATCGCGCGAGGACTCGTAGCAACTGACATCAGATCTCTGATACGCTGCTGCAGCGGGGGGATGAACGTCTGTGGCGGTTCGGTGATTAAACCGTGCGCATTTTGAGAGTCCCCAAGCGACTTCGGGATCGTCTTCGCGCCAAACCAGTACTCCCAGCCATTGTTCAAAGTGCCAGGAACGCGGCTCACGTCGCTCCCTGCTTGCACCATCCTCGTAGTGGTGGGATCAATGATGGCAACGCCTCCCCATTGTTCTTCGCCGATCTCATCCTGGTCCTCGGGAAGCGTCGGGACAACCTGGCCTACGCGGAACCAAGCCACGCCAATCTTCCTCGAACCAGCCTGGTCGCTTTCGGCCACTTGACCTAGTCGAGTGGTGAGGTCCTCGTCTTGGGCCGCCCCGTCATTTGTAGCAGACCCGGCGAAAACGGCCCGCCCAAGTCCCTCGTCGACGGCAATTCCCACCAGGTCATCACTCTTGAGGAGGCGCCGTTTGGACTCGAAGTACTGCTTCAGTCCGGAGAACAAAGCCGGTTGCAGGACGCGGTCCATGGAGAGGGGAGTGGAGATCTTGAGCAAGGTGACCTCCTTGGCCAGGGGTGGGCTTCTAACGGACCCTGCCTTCATCTGATGCAACAGGCCGCCGGCCTTGGAGCCTCCATTGGCCCCTCCGAACGACAAAGCAGACAGACGAAGATATTTAGGGTTGTCAAGATTGTTCAGGAGTAGAGGAGGCAGGAACACGGACGGGGTGAGGCGCGTAGCAGGGCGCTGGGAGAAACTCGACCTTCTTCCCTCCGACTGGTTGATGGAGTATCGCGGCTTCGCGGACGGGAGGCCCGACAGGCCAAAGATCCGGGCCGCGCGCCATTCGCCCGAGTCTTCTTCCTGTTCATTGAAGCTTCCCATCTTAATGGAGGCGAAGATGTTCGGCTGCGGCTCCTCGGTGGGTTCGATCCTCACCCAGTCGCCGGAGAAGCAGCCGATCTTCGCCAGAGTGCTAATATCTACGAAAACGTAAGACTCCGAATCATCGTCCTCCCGGGGTTTGGGATGCAGGAGTTCGTTCGGGATGGCCCGCAGAAGCCCCTCCGCCTTGAACACCTTGCCGGCACCGGCCCCGCGTCCAGGACGCATGGTTGTGGAAGTCAGGTTGGATACCACGGATCCTGGCGTACGAACACCATCCGACCGGCGGCCTATGGCCCGTGGTGTGGCTGTGGACATGCCTGACATAACACCGGATGGCGGTTGGGGGAGTTGAGGGGCCGAGAGAGAGATCATATCTTCCAGGGAGTCATCCGAGGTGTCGCTGGCATTCCCTCCCGAGCCCTCGGTCTCCGAATCATCTGACGTTGTAGCACCTTCCATCTCGGTGCTGCTTTCCGTGGGCTTATCCTCCGCGGCGGAGTAAAACTGCTCGTTGGAGGTCTCGTCTGCCTCATCTTCTGCGACTTGCTTGAGCAAACCGGAATTGGTCCGTAGACTCCGTTGGGAACGGTGACCGTGGGGCCGGGCTTGGATGACCACGACCTTCGTCGTCGGCATCAACAGACCCTGCGACACCGGCTCGCAAAACGTGATATGGGCGGGAGGCGGAGGCGCGTAAGTGATTGGGTGCGGAGGCAACGGCAGCGGCAGCACATCACCAGTATGCACCACCCTCTGCGAACCCAGCGCCTCACGAACGGCAGCCGTGAGTCGCTCCTCAACCTCCGCGGCCGCCTTCTTCGTATATTTCTTCACTTCCGGCCCCTTGCCGGGTCTTGCGCGAAGCCCATTGGGGCTCTGTAGATTGGTCGTAAATCCACCGCCGAACTTGCTCTGTACGTCATCGTGGTTCCGGAGTAAGTTTCGCTCGACTGTCACATAGACCGTGTCCAGGTGCAACGGCGCCACGTCCAAGACGCGAATCTCCACCGCCCGCTGCGACTGGCGGGTGGGGTCCAGCTTGCTGAGCGCCTGATAGAACGGCTGCAGCGAATCGGCCGACTCTGGGAAAATGACCGTCGAATGAGGGAGCGGAGCTTCATAAGAGCGATTCTGATTCTGCGTCTGAACGGGAATAATGGTCCAGGAGAGGTCCTCCGCGGCGCTGTTACCGGGGAGAAATGGCGAGATCGCGACATAGCGGATTGCGTGTCTCTCGCGGTCTTGCTCCTCTAGATTGTCCAAGACGCGCGCATGTTAGTTTCGCATATCGCCTCTCTCCTTCCTTCCATGCATGGTCGGTCACTCACCGGTTAACTGGAAAAGATCGTTGGCTAGGTCATCCGACACCACACCGACCGACCCCCGTAGCTGGTTGTCTAGGGAGAGACGCGCCGAGATGGGAGCTCTGTTGCGCAAGCGTCTCCGGGCGACATTCCGTCTCCGTCGCTTAGGCTGTTCAGAGGGAGGATCATGTCGTTCGAAGTCCATGTTGGGGGAGGTTGGATTGCCGGTCGGTCGGGCGGGGAACTATCACAAGACTGCGTGTTGCTAGCAGAGAAGGATGCTGAGTCAAAGCAGGAGGGGGTTAATGCAGGGTATCATAAATCAACAAGTCATGTTCCTGCAGATGACAGAGACTAGAAAAGCAAGAATACAAAGGAGAAGGCAGATCCCGTGGAGTGAGTGAATGAGTTGAGTGAAACCCAAGACCGCCAGGATGCTGGAGAAAGTCCGGGGGACCAGTTCGGCACCGCCCGCACTTTCTGCCACATCCCGATGCCGAGGTTCAAGGGCTTCACGAGATCTCGGTCGGCTGAGGCCTTGATTAATCATGGAATCTGGGGTAATAACCTCAGGTTGATGGTTTGCGCCACTATCAACGTGTTCATCAGTTATTACATTGAATTTCTTCAACCACGTAGGGCATCTATGAAACGTCGTTCGAGGGTCGGTGTCAGCCTCTCATGGGCTTCAATGAATCGAATCGGTTATTTTGACTGGCGGATCGGACAGTTGCCCGTGGTCAAGCCGCATGTTTGCCGACGGGGGTATGCCAGAAGATGTCTTTCAGTGGCCATATAAGAAGTAATGAAGAGCTGGGAGGTGACCAGTAGCTTAAATATTTTTGTCAATCCTTTTTCCATTTTTTTCTCATTATTAGCTATTTAAAGATCCCTTGTTGGATATGTGATAGATGTGATGCGGTTGTGTATATATATATTGACCACCCTTGGCTGATCGATACTCTTTTGCAACTACCTTTACAAGTAAATGAAAATGGACTTCATTGTGACGCAAATTGATTATAACAGACCATGTCATCCTTTTCTTTCAGAGACATCTGACCTCAACTCAATATATGATTAATCACGACGCCATAGCCCGAGGAAGAAAGCTAAAGTGGTTTCCTGGCCCATCAATTGATCTCCCGGATTGTCAAGAAAGGAGCTCAATTTCGGGCAGATAGGAGCCACCGTATTTCCCAAACATCCCAGCACAGGAATGTCATCCTGACCAAACGCTTCAGATGAGAATTCTGAGGTCATCTCTGTGGGAGAACCAATGGACACTACGAAACATTGATGAATCCGTGACGACTTGGTGATGATTCTCAAAGCTATTCCAAAAGCCACCAAGGTTGCAATATTTTTATAGGAAGAGTCAGATATAAAAACAGTATATCTCTGCAAGTCAACTGACCTGCGCAAATTACCTTCACTGATGTTCCACAATCTCAACAAAAACCCAGGTGGATGGTAAAGATCTGACAGAGGATCATTATTTGGCTCTTGTTATAGTCTAGTTGTATGGACTTCAGTCTGTCTTATATTAAAGTATTCATTCATATCACTACAAATTGCTATTTTATGTAGTTTTTTTCGCAAGAGGTTTCCTAACAGATCAGAACATCTCAAGTAGAATAAAATATATCGTTTTACATGACGCTGTATACTGTCAAACATGAGAAGCCCGAGATGGGAGATAGACTACGCAATCTGGTACGCACTGCATACGCAATCGCGAATAAGCAACTCCCCCAGTATCCATGGATCTCCATAATCGATCTCTCCTTTTTGATCACATTTTATTTTCGTTTATTGATTTATCTTTCGACCCATGTCAAGACGAAGCTGCACTAGCATTATGGCAAGGTTTCGTCAAAGTGTCTCGACATTCTCCGACGCAGCTGCCAACGCCAACTATGCAAGAGCACACACTCGGAAAGCGCATAAATGCCGGGCAAGCTCGTGGGCCAATATTCCGTGTGGCAGTGACGGCTTGACCCCTGCCACGCATTGAGGTATTGATCCAGTCTAGTCCACACCCAAGGCTGTCATAGTCAAGTCTGGATCTTTCTTTGGTGACTTGTATGACGCAAGCTACGGATAGAACGTTGGCCGTTTATGGGAATGGGGGGAAAGAAATGGTGTTGCCTTTTGAAGATGAGACTAGGCTGAATATTCCGTCAGATCGACCCCGTTCATGATGGTTGGCGATCCCCTGAGTTGGGATACAAAACTTGGGGCTGTACGGTGTATGTGGTTCCAGTGTAAGGTGGCTGTTCGTGATGGTGGATTTGTTGAGAATTCAAACAAATACGAGATAAAACGCGATCAAAGAGGAAATAGACGATAAGATGATATTATGGGTACTAAGAAATAAACCAAGGAATAAGATAGAAATAAGGTCAACCTAAATGATAGCAAAGCTAAATTGAAACCATAATAAAATCTAGTAAAAAAAACATCAAACTGATCAACGGCATTAGACGGGTTGGACCGGGCCAATATTCGGCCAAACTTTTGGTAAGAGGGTTCGAACTAGATGAGAATGGAATCTTGAATTCTGGATTCAGACACGATGTGGAAACTGAGACACAACGGTTGACGTTGACTTGACCGACCGAAGGTGGCTGTGCAGGTGGTATGATTGGACAGACCCCGACGATGAGCGGTCAACGACAGCGCCTTGGCCTTCCCACTCAACTTGAGGCTCATGGCGAAGACGCGCATACGACGACAAGGCGCAGACTCGGTGGACTTGATCTGACAGAATCTCTAGGAAGGAATGGAAGGGCTTGACTGGTTCAATATGATTCTCTGAAACTCATGCTGACGTGGAGTATGGCGATGAGAACGGGACCTGTTCTGGCTCTTCTGTTCCTGTTCGAGAATACGGTAAGAAAACACTGGTATTATTGCCCCAGACATCTGTACCTCGACTTAACCCCTCCATGTATTAATATTGATACTCTGTAAAAAGAATTGAGTTCTTCGGGTTCCGTGGTTTCAGAGCCGTCTCAAAGATACACACGGCTCCTCGGTCCGGTACCGTGGGTGATTATACTATAAACGAAGGACAACAAAGAAGTCAGTGACATCCGTCGACAATCAGTCGTTCAGTTCTGGGACACCCAATCAGAGATATCCATTGTAGACTCAGGCGTTGGTTTGTCACTATTTTAGGAATAACGATAGAAGCGACAAGAAGTGGACGATGGAAGTTATTATTGGGTCAATGGGTGGACAGAGGTGGGTCTGATCGGGAACCTTCCACTTGTTCAAAGTGGTATGGACAGAGTAAATACCGCCCAGACTAAGAGATCATTAAGCCATCATGGGTAATTGGGGTGTAAGGGATAAATACACACGCCAGAGTGGAGTGATCGATAATCACTACGCCCAATAGTAACCAATCCTAAACATCACTATACCGTATCAGGCATAGATCCATTCGTCTATCAGGCAGACATCGAGCCAACGTCGTCTCAGCCTCCTTTGGTCATCAACAGCGAGAGGGGAAAAGGGTTCTTGTCTCTTCTCCTCCTTCCTTCTTCCTCATCTCCCCATCGCTTGATTCTTTCCATCCTCCACTTTTCTGACATCTGTCTTTTGGCCTTGGTTTATATAGCTCACCTCCATCGGTTATCGTGAGCCTGTTGCCTGGATTTCGAGATCTCTACCTAGATTAGTCCCTTCCCTCAGATAGGAATCACCATCCGGCTTATCAAATCGAATCGATCAACTTGTCTGTTTCTGGTGAATCTGGAGAGACAGCCACACTACAACCCGTGGGTCGTTTGAACCATCCTCGCCGTACAGCCGTTTTCAAAGTCAAGTAGGTGACGGTGACTCAACACCAACTCGATCTCCGTCGACCCCGGAAGGCTAATTAGCATACAATTACACAGTAGACCGATATAGGTGTAATTCCGCCGTCATGTCTTCAGATACCACGACGACAATGCATCGTCATCCTCGCCGTCGGGCCCTACAGACCCCTCCGCCCTCCCTCCTCAACTCTTCCCTACCCGACTCGCAACCACCTTCGAACCGCCGCTTGAAAAGAGGGGAAACATTCCACCCACGAAACACTTCTTCGTCGGAACGTGATCCGATCGTCAGTTTTCAGAAGCTACCTCGACGCTCTCCCACTTGTCCCAAGACGTTGGAAGCGATCGCAGCCGGACAGGATCGCATGAGCAAGATCCTCAGCCAGTTCGAGAACGACATCCCTCAAAAACACACCCAGAACCACCTCCAGAACGACCTTCCAATTCCTCGCGCCTACTTGCAGCGTCACAGCGACCATCGTGCCCCAGAGGTCCGCAAAGTCTCTGATTCCCCATCGTCCCAGACGAAACCTCAAAAAGTCCTCCATACCCACTGCCACGCTTCGGACAGTGGTCTCGGCACATCTATCTGCAGTAACGAAGAGAACGCTTCCACCAGAGCAAAGAGTACGCTTGGTCATCTGCTTCCTCTTGTCTTTCTATCTTATACTGACTCCCCTCCAGTGGATCTCGTTGATGGGCGAACCATCAAGGATTCGGTCCGCGGGCTCAGCCAGCGCGCCCGCATTGAGGTGGAGAAGTGGGTCTTTATACCGCTTCTCAAACAACATTCGCTCCACCCATATCGCTCGATAGTGCAGGAGGTCCGCGAGCAGGTCGAAAACGATAACCTGCGCAATTTGCGTGATATCGAGAAGTCGATCACCAATTTGGCTCCCGTAAGTGATCACTAGCGAACCCCCCCGAAACTGCCAGCATAACTAACCTTCGCGCAGGGTGTCGATGGAGTTACCCTCTCGACGTATGAATCATTCTGTTATCTTACCGTGGAGTGTCTGAGCGCGACCGTGTCCCATCTCAGTCCGCGAGACCTCCACACGCCTGGAGACAAGGCCTACAGCAGCAGTTACTTTGCCGATCTCATTGATGAAATCAGACGGTACAAGGTGATTCGTGACGAGGCGTCCCGAAACCCTACGGGGGAAACCCCTCGACTCACGTTGGAAGGTGGCCTGTCCCAGACCGGACACCCTGCCCAGTTTGTTGTCCACCAGGGCGAGAAGTCGACTTCCCTGCGCACCGGGGAGCCCTACAGTGCCGCCCCCATTCCGACGTTCAAGCGGACCTTGAGCCTGGGCAGTGCCGACGAAGGTGCCGAGCGATCCATGGCTCGACGCAAGAAGGACGCTCCCCCGATGAACATCAACCAGAAGTGCAAGCAATGTGACAAGGTGTTTAAGCGACACTGTGATCTCTCGTAAGTCTCCACATTTTGACACCGTCTCCCATATTGGCGACTAACCCTAGGCAGGAAACATGAGAAGACCCACGAGCGGCCGCACAAGTGCCCCGACGCCACTTGCAAGTACTACAAGATTGGCTGGCCTACCTCGAAAGAGAACGAGAGGCACTGGAACGACAAGCATAGCCCGAACCCCACCTTCTACCAGTGCGAGTTCGAAGATTGCGCCTACGTCTCCCGGCGACACAGCAACGTGAAGCAGCACATGGAAAAGACTCACGGGTGGACCTACACGAGGACCAAGAACAACGGGCGGAAGAAGGACAACAAGGTGTCGGAAAGCCCCCAGTCGACGACCACCACCTTCTCGACCCCCATGTCCAATCCTCTCCCCGAGCCCATGATCGACTTCTCCCAGCCGCCCCCGATGCCCGCGATGGGCTACTCGACTTCGCCAGAGATGGAAATGTTCCCCAACAACGCCATGATGCCACCTGTTGGGGACATCGAACTCTTCAGCAACGACGCCTTCGCTACCTGCGATACAACTTTCTTCAATGACGCCTTGGCCATGTACGATCCTAATGTGTTCAACGTCAACGCGGGCGTTTTCACCCATGGGGATTTCATGAATCACGGGGATCTCCTCAACTATGGGGACCTCGGCATGTCAGACTTTCTGGAGTTCCCCTAGGGACTACAATCATCCGATAAGAGAGATTGACGGTGGTTTTAATGAGCATATGCTTGCTTCTTTCCCTTCTTTTTAATACGTTTTCATTTTTCATACCCATATCCCCACACTTTACAGAATGACAGCGCTGTTTGTATGTTATAGCGATATACGACCTTTTATTTCCACTCTAGCCAGTCATAATTTATCATGATCATTTAAATAAAAAAAAATGAATAATATATATATACAAAAAAAACGCCTTCTCTATAGCAAGTAACAGCAGCTAAACAAATATTATAACCTAACACCTACAAAAGAAAAACCCAACCAATCCACTAGAATGCTTCCAACAACAAATTCCAAATCCCAGACTATAGGTACCCAAGATCTAACTCCGATATCCCCAAAAGGTAACTATCAGCCAGCATAGCGCTCACTGCTCGTAAGCACGCCCATATCCGGCAAAGTCGAGCATCGTATCCATCCCGTCGAAGGAATAGAATGGCGGCAGCCGAGATTGAAGTCGATAATAAGCTCGGGGCACTGATGACGAGAAGACGCTGGTTCCTTTAGACCCTATATACTGTACATACACCGTATGAGAGTTCATTCCATGAATTATTCTGGATCTCTCCCCAAATCCCATTCTTTGAAACAAATACGCCTAGGTCCCGTCGTGAATGGGAAAGTCGGCTGTGTTCAGCAGAGGTCAACTGGACTGTTTGGCAAGGCTCACGACCAGTGATGATTTCAAGTAATTATTACTATCTGGATGGATCTGAATGTATTTGAGCTGGTGTTGTCGAAGTATGCTCCACGTGGTGCCTGCCGGTCGTGGGTGTAAGAAAGCAACCATGATTTATCGCATTCGATATGTTGTGTTGAAACCAGGCTATTCTCGTGTGAGACTAAGCCATTCGGTATGAAGAGACCCACCTGAACCGTGACTTCCGAGCCGTTGCTTGCAATCTCTCTATTGATTGGGTTTTGGGGCCATCCAGGCCAGTGACGCCATTCAAGAGACAGATCCTGCTGGTATATTATGTTCAATACTGGGAGCCATAGCATGGAGCTGTTCGCATCATGCGGGCCTGGCATTTACACAAAAAGACCAGTGGTAATATGGAGACCTGCAGACGATAACAGCAACAAATGTCCACAGGGTGATTGGCTGGAATGAACAGAGCAAGATATCTGAAGAGCACTGCCGACAGAGCACAGAAGCTTTAACGCCTATTATGCTTGGTCTAACCATGGTTCTTTATAGCAGTACGCAAGCAAAGAATGCGCCGTATTTTGCTTCGATGAGTATGTCTAGAGTCTCTCTTGAATACATCGACTCTTCTGCTGCGTCCCCCGCAGCCGTCTCGAAACGTTCCTCCTCGACGAGGGGGGGGGTCCTCGTCCTCGGGTTTGGTGGGGGGAGGGGGGGTCCTAAAATATTCCATATAAATAAGTAGGTATAGACAAAGAAGAAATCAACCTACCGGTTTCCCCTACCCGCATGGCCATAATGCCATGTATCTCTCGCGCGGACTCAGCCTGCCGAGTGGCTGAGAACTCCAGCGCGGGCATTCTATACAAGGTTAATCAGTATCTATATCACGTATACATTATATGATGTATGACTGTGGACTGACTTAGCCCGAAGAAAGAACCATAGCCACAACAAAACCGCCGAGGTGATAAACAACAGGGCGGCCGTGATGATAGGTGTCGCCAATGGGACCCACCAGGGTCCATTCGCGGCGGCGGGGCTGGTTTGCGATGCTCGGAAATGGTTGGTAACCGACCCAGTCTCCAAGAACGCCTGTTTGGCGACGGCCCGGTTGACATACACTGAATCGCCGAGGATTCGACGCAGAAACATCCACCAGCTGGGTGAGTAGGACATTTTGAAGCCCACATAGATTCGTGCAGTTGTCTGTGGTGATTGCCGTCAAATATCTATTGAACTCTGGATTGTTCAATATATGGGCTGCTTGCTGCATAGGTGGTCGACGCACTGAGTCCCGGCGGGAACAGCACATAGACCTTGCCGTTCATGGAGCAAGAGTCTTCAAAAGGCACGTCGACACTGGCCCTGAAATTTTCCAAGGACGTACGGATATGATTCATGCACCACAGGTGCTGAGCGGGACCCAAACGGCGAGTGTTGACAAGTGGAAAATGGCAGCGTGTGCAAACGAGGCGCTGTTGAGCCCCTCTGCGGGCTCTAGCACTCCCCTTACGCATCCAGCGGAAGAAAGGGGAGAAGAAGCTTATCTTTTTATTCTCCGGCCGGTGTCCGGCTAAGCTAAATACATACTGACTGCAAATGGAAGGCACGAGGAGCCAACAGGCGCCCTGTATTGGTGAAGCAGACGACCCCTGCTTCCTCCCGGCCTGTGGCCCGAACACACCGCAGGCAGGGAAAGGGGTCGTTCTCCGGGGGCAACCGCAGGGGCGGACTCGGCGGGGGTAGATACATCTCAGATGGACATGCCCGCCGGTGGTAGGTCGCCTGAAACACCGCATCGGGCTAGGGTTTGATGCTCGCGGGCAATCTATACCTCGTTTAATCGAGCCCTGTGCCATCGTAGCGTCACCAGTGAAGATGTAGTAATCTTTGGAGACATCAAATCAGGTCCTACCATGGGCGTACGCAACTGGTGGTTTTCTGACAGGCACCCGACCCTGATTTAGATTTCCGTTGGCATCGAAATCTGCCAGGTATCCTTCGAATCATTCCTTGATGCGTAGGAATTCCACAGCAAGATAGACCCAGTAATCACATAGGCGGACATTCGCAGGAGGCCAGGTCATTGTTCGTGCAAAGGGACCCATCCATGTGATATCGTTCATAGAAGTTGGGACACTTTCCTTCAAATTGAAGACAACCATCGGTGAACCGAGGCGGATAGCCCAAGGACGACAGATATGGGCTGCTTCCACTGATTTTGCGTCCATTGGCTTGGCGCCGGCTGGTAATTCAGACTGGTGTGTCTAACGCCCAGCTCAGTTGATTATTCGTGCAAGGCTCGTTGCAAGACATTGAGTTTTTGTCTCTATTCTGGGGTTGGCTTGACCAGGTCCATGGTAGTGTGCGCTCCACTAAACCAGAAGTATATCATACCCGGACGCACGAATGTCCCATGTTCTGGCAGTGCATACAGTCAGATTTTGAACACGCCGCTGATGGTTTCTTCCAGATATGTCTGTTCACTGCCTCTTCCGGTTTCGGAGAGAGCCGCAGGCACGGTGGGCGAGGCGATGGCGAGTGTTATGGCTAGATGGGCGTCTGTTGGCTAGTTAGATATATACTGTGCTTGGAAGGTCTGTGTATCCTAACTTAAGATTGATGCTTTTTCTGGTGGGTGATTGTTGAAGACTGTATATATTGGCTGGAGGGGATATAAACTAAATCCGGTTTGATGGATATGTGTATATAAATCTTCGAGGTTTGAGATTGAAAGTTATATAGTAGAAGTAGTAAGAAGGTTACGAAGTGGTGCAAAAAAAATATCCATGATAGAAGAATAAATTAGAGGAAGTAGAAGAGAAGGGGAGAAAGGGGTATAAATATTCATCAAGGAAGCCATTGCTACTGAATGCTTGCTGGCTTATTTGTTGTTCTGAAACCAGCCAGGAGGTTGTTTGATATTCATGGTGTGCAGCGAAAGGCCCAGTGAATGATTGATTCCATATGAAGATTGAATTGCTCTGGACTATAGGCACGTGTTACATGTTGACAGAAATCATCTAGGATCATTCTTGTCATGGTCATTGTCGATAGCTGGAAGATGGTCCTTGGACAAAAAAGAACATTGTTACTTGGAATGATACATATGTACGAACCGTATGTAGTAAACATGGCGTAGGCTGTCATAGTAAAACTGCCAAGCTAGTAAGATCATGAAGGCATTGATAAACCACGATTCTATTCAGGTCACCCTTGCTTTTGTAATTACTCATCATAATATACCACGGCTTTTCTATCCTCGCAACGACCCGCCAAAATTACCTCGACAGGGCAATGTCGTCAATTCTCATAATCATCTTTACCGTCTCGGCCGCCAGCTCGATGGAGCTGGTGCTGACCAGGAGGGGCTGCAGGATGTTCTCCTCGGTGATGTCGTCCTTCACACCGCCGCTGCGGATGCTCACGCCGGCGTTGTGCTGGCCCTGCGCGTGACGGTGGCGCAGGTCGGTGACCACCTTGATCGAGTTGAGACCGGCGTTCTCGGCCAGCGTCGTGGGGATGACCTCCATGGCGTCGGCGAAGGCCTTGAAGCAGATGGCCTCGGTGCCCGTCAGCTCGCGGGAGCGCATGGCCAGGGCGTGGGCGACCTGGATCTCAGGAGCGCCACCACCGGCAATGAGGGCGCGCTTCTTCACCAGGCAGCGAATCACGCAGAGGGCGTCGTGCAAGGAACGCTCGGCCTCGTCCAGAATGAGGCTGTTGGCGCCGCGAACGACGAGGGACACGGTCTGGTTGACGGGGACGAGTGGGGCCTTGATACCCGTGATCTTCACGTAGCGGGCACCGGAGGCCTGGACCTCCTCAATCAGATCCGCAGTGCCCAGCTTATCTTCCGTGAACGAGTCGATGTTGGCCACGGGCTTGCAGCCGAGGCTCTTGGACAGGAACTCGATCTCATCACGCTCGACGTCCTTGACCACAGCGATCTTCAGACGAGAAAGGAAGTGGAGGGAAAGGTCGTTGACGGCGTCGCGGAGGATGGACTTTTGGATCAGGAGGACATTGCACTTGGTCTTCTGGATCTTCTTCACCATGTTGAGCAGGTACTGGCGCTCTTCCTTGAGGATCTTGTCCATTTGACGGTAGTCGTTCACGACAATCTGGTTTTCCATCTGCATTTCAATCGTGTTAGTGACGAGCAGACCGTAAATTCCAGAGTAGAGGTTTACGCACATCAGGCTTCGGGGGGCTGAGCTGGAACTGGATCAGACCTATCCGGGCCTTCTCGACTCGTGTGGGACCACCGCTGCTCTTGATGACCTGCTGGTTCAGGACCAGACCGTCCACCATCTCACTGTCCTCGATCGTTCCGCCGACCTTCTTGACAATACGAATGTTTCGCAGATCGACGTTCTCCGCGGTCTTGGGGTCGACAACCTTCAGCACCGAGTCAACGGCCATGGGGCCCAGGAGGTTGGAATGCTGCGACACGATCTTCGAGGAAAGCGAGGTGGAGGCGGCCTGGAGCAGGACGGTACGGTCCATCAAGTTGATCGGACGGGACATGCTGTGGAGGATCTCAACGGCGGCACCGGCAGCTCTCTGGAAGGATTCGGCGATGACGGTGGGGTGAAGGCCCTTGGCCAGGAGCCGCTCGGCGGCACCCAACAAGCTGCCCGCAATGACGACGACCGACGTTGTTCCATCACCAGCCTCAACATCCTGAGCGGCACTCAGATCAACCAGCATGCGCGCGGCGGGGTGCATGACGCTCATATCCTTCAGCATTGTGTTTCCATCGTTCGTCTGCGGAGGGGTGAAAGAGGGGTTAGCGGACGAGTGTGTAGGGTCAGATTTGCGGAGTCCGTACGATGATAGTGTTGCCCTTTGGCGTTTGGATCTACTGTCGCGTTAGCATCGAGTCAATTGATAGGGGAGACGACCATCCTACCATCTTATCCATGCCTCTGGGTCCCAACGACTGTTTGGTGGGTTAGCCCCTCATTTGACCATGCCGTACATGGACACGCATACCGTTCTGATGGCATCGGCAACAGCTGAATCACATTAGTATGATACTATGCAAGGGTCCATTGAGATACATACCCCTCGCAGCGAGAATATTCGAGGCGCGCACCGCCATGGGCTTCTCCTTATCCTGTCCGGCCATTAAAAACGGCCCACACGTTATTTCTCTCCGCCAAGAAACGCACCTTGAAGGAGTTATTTCCAGGGACACCCTGGGTGGCTGCGGTCGCCATAATGAAGGAATGGAAATTAAATTGGAAAGAAACAAGAAGAGTTAAAAGAAGAGAACAAAAAGGGGAATGGCAGAGGGAGATGATAATCGAGAACCTGAGGGGGAAGACAGAGCGGCACTTGGAATTTCATCGAAGTTCAATGTTCAGGCCGCAAGGCGGTGAAGCCAGCTCCAGCTGCTGACTGAGAGCGGCAACTCAAAGAAGCTCTCGACCACATCATCATATCATATCATACCCCCAGCTTCATCTTGTCACTCCATCGTCCTACTCTTATCTTGATTATCCCCACGGTTCTTGTACATCTTTGATTGTGATTATAAAATTCTTGGTGTCCCATCGAACCCCGTCGATCTGACTGATTGTCAACTCTCACCATGCCTAGCGCCACGGGAGAGAACTGGGAGAAGTACAAGAAGACCTACGCCGATGATGAAGAGCCCGAGAAGAAGATCGCACCATTGACAGACAGGTATGAGAATGGAATGGCAGAGATGGGGGATATGACGGTGATATGGTGTGGATAATACTAACCGGACTAGTGATATCCAAGTACTGAAAACATACGGCGCCGCGCCCTACGCCAACGCATTAAAGAGGCTGGAGAAACAAATCAAGGACAAACAATCAAGCGTCAATGAGAAGATCGGCGTCAAGGTATTTTCTATCTTGGAATCCCCGTGGGATGGATGGAATCTGACGAGTTTAGGAATCCGATACCGGTCTCGCACCGCCACACCTTTGGGATGTCGCTGCGGACCGACAACGTATGGCGGAGGAGCAGCCGTTGCAGGTGGCTCGGTGCACAAAGATCATCCAGGATGAGAAGGACTCGGACAAGAGCAAATATGTGATCAACGTGAAGCAGATTGCCAAGTTCGTTGTCAATCTAGGGGAGCGCGTGAGTCCTACGGATATCGAGGAAGGGATGCGAGTTGGGTATGTCTACTATATTGTCCTATCCATGGATTTCTTCCCCTGTCTCTTTCAACGGCTGATCGGTTTAGTGTCGACCGCAACAAGTACCAGATCATGCTCCCTCTCCCCCCCAAGATCGACCCCAGCGTGACGATGATGACCGTGGAAGACAAGCCCGACGTAACATACGGAGATGTTGGTGGTTGCAAAGATCAAATCGAGAAGCTGCGAGAAGTGGTCGAGATGCCACTGCTCTCCCCCGAGCGCTTCGTGAATCTCGGTATCGACCCGCCCAAGGGTGCGCTGTTGTACGGTCCTCCCGGTACCGGTAAGACGCTGTGTGCTCGAGCCGTCGCCAACCGAACAGACGCCACGTTCATCCGTGTCATCGGTAGCGAGTTGGTTCAGAAGTATGTCGGTGAAGGTGCCAGGATGGTCCGGGAGCTCTTCGAGATGGCACGGACCAAGAAGGCCTGCATCATCTTCTTCGACGAGATTGATGCCGTCGGTGGAGCCCGTTTCGACGATGGCGCTGGTGGTGACAACGAGGTGCAGCGGACGATGCTGGAACTGATCACCCAACTGGATGGGTTCGACGCCCGTGGAAACATCAAGGTGATGTTCGCCACCAACCGACCGTCCATCTTGGACCCCGCCCTCATGCGTCCGGGTCGTATTGACCGTAAGATCGAGTTCTCCCTCCCCGACGTGGAGGGCCGTGCCAACATCCTCCGCATCCACGCCAAGAGCATGTCGGTGGAGCGGGACATCCGATGGGAGCTGATCTCGCGACTGTGCCCGAACTCCACGGGTGCGGAGCTCCGGAGTGTGGCCACGGAGGCGGGTATGTTTGCCATCCGGGCCCGCCGCAAGGTGGCCACGGAGAAGGACTTCCTGGCGGCGGTGGACAAGGTGATCAAGGGCAACCTGAAGTTCAACTCGACGGCGACGTACATGCAGTACAATTAATTTCCCTGGGGTTGTGGCGTCGGAGGGATGTTGTACGACCAATCATATTTATTACATGACATTGGGAGTTATCTACTCGTGCAATACTGAGAAGTAATTGGTGATTTAATTCGATGCGGAGTACGGAGTAGTTCCATAGAGCTATGGTAGATCTTGTGGTACTACCTCACGGCCGTTGGTACATCAGAGTGGCCCGGAATCATGACGCCGTTTCTCCGATCCGCGGCATCGTCGGCTGCGACGGGGTCACATGACCATGTCACTTTCACAACTGACACCATGTCCTACCTGATCTGAACGACGTAGAAGAGATCTTAGACAGTAGTACCTAGACAGCGACTCGAGGGCCAGTGCCCCTAAGTACCCCACAGCCGACAGACGACGCCTCAGGTGTCTGCCGTCTTGCTCCGAGACTTCGCGCACTCCGGGTTAAAAGGAACCCCGACCACGTGCCGGGCCCGCTCTGCACCAATCAGATCCCGCCGGCCGCCCGAGGTGCTTACCACTGCCCGGGATGTGATTGGCTGGCTCGGCCCCGGTCTTCCCCGTCGGCAGTATGCCGTGGATTATGTCAGCCAGACTCTGCTTCCAACAGAAACGTCGATCTGAAAGTGCTGCTTGCGAGCACCATCTCAGCCCTTCTTCTGCTGCCCTCCCCCCTCTCCACTCTTGTGATATCTCCTTCTTGGAATCATTGGAAAAGTGTCTCCTCTTTTCTTCTGATCCGCAATCATGAGCTCCCTGAGCTTGCGGAGCCTGGCTCCTGCGCACAAGGTAGGCCGGCAATTCCCACGATCCTGCGATGCGCCCTTCTCCTGGAACTGCACTGACACGCCGTGTTATAGATCTCCCGCGCCCTCCGGGATCAGAGACGTCTCTTCTCCTCGTCGCGTCCGGCTGGTATGCACTCTCTATATGAATACTACCAGGTTGCCGTGGTGCTAACTCAATTCCTCCGCCAGCCCGCATCTTCGGCAATGGACCCATGCGCGCCAAGGAGGCCAATGGCTACATCTCCGACAAGTACCCCGTGATTGTAAGCGATATCGCAGAGTGTTTGCCCCAGTGTACATGAGGTCTGACTTTGGTAGGATCACGAGTACGATGCCGTCGTTGTCGGTGCCGGTGGTGCCGGTCTGCGTGCCGCCTTCGGTCTTGCCGAGGCCGGCTTCAACACTGCCTGTGTTTCCAAGCTGTTCCCTACGAGAAGTCACACGGTCGCTGCTCAGGGTGGCATCAACGCCGCCCTTGGAAAGTAGGTTTACCTTGCGGTTTTCAATGGCTTTATTTTAACGGTCTTCCCCCCCAACAGCATGCACCCCGACGACTGGAAGTGGCACATGTACGATACCGTCAAGGGCTCTGATTGGCTGGGTGACCAGGACGCCATCCACTACATGACCCGTGAAGCCCCCGCCAGTATCCGTGAGCTCGAGGGTTACGGATGCCCCTTCTCGCGTACCGAGGACGGTCTGATCTACCAGCGTGCCTTCGGTGGTCAGTCCAAGGAGTTCGGCAAGGGTGGCCAGGCCTACCGTTGCTGCGCCGTCGCGGACCGAACCGGCCACGCGCTGCTGCACACCCTCTACGGCCAGTCGCTGCGTCACAACACCAACTACTTCATCGAATACTTCGCCCTCGATCTCCTGATGGAGGACGGTGAGTGCCGCGGTATCATCGCCTACAACCAGGAGGACGGCACCCTGCACCGCTTCAAGGCCCACCACACCGTCCTGGCCACCGGTGGCTACGGCCGTGCCTACTTCAGCTGCACGTCCGCCCACACCTGCACGGGTGACGGTATGGCCATGGTGGCCCGTGCCGGTCTCCCCAACCAGGATCTGGAGTTCGTCCAGTTCCACCCCACCGGTATCTACGGTGCCGGCTGCCTGATCACCGAGGGTGCCCGTGGTGAGGGTGGCTACCTGCTCAACTCCGAGGGTGAGCGTTTCATGGAGCGGTACGCCCCGACCGCCAAGGATCTGGCCTCGCGTGACGTCGTGTCGCGTTCGATGACCCTGGAGATCCGCGAGGGCCGCGGTGTCGGTCCCGAGAAGGACCACATCTACCTGCAGCTGAGCCACCTGCCCGCCGAGCTGCTGCACGAGCGTCTGCCCGGTATCTCCGAGACCGCCTCTATCTTCGCCGGTGTCGACGTCACCAAGCAGCCCATCCCCGTGCTGCCCACCGTCCACTACAACATGGGTGGTATCCCCACCAAGTACACCGGCGAGGTCGTGACCGTCGACGAGCAGGGCAAGGATCAGGTCGTCCCCGGTCTGTACGCCTGCGGTGAGGCCGCGTGCGTGTCGGTGCACGGTGCCAACCGTCTGGGTGCCAACTCCCTGCTGGATCTGGTCGTCTTCGGCCGTGCCGTGTCTCACCGCGTCCGCGACATCGCCACCCCCGGCCAGCCCCATAAGGAGCTGAGCTCCGACGCCGGTGCGCAGTCGATCAAGGACCTGGACTTCGTCCGCAACGCCGAAGGCCCCAAGTCGACCCACGACATCCGCAACGCCATGCAGAAGTCCATGCAGACTGACGTGTCCGTGTTCCGCACGCAGGCCAGTCTGGACGAGGGCGTCGAGAAGGTTACCGAGGTCGACTCCTGGTTCGACCAGGTCGGCACCAAGGACCGCAGCATGATCTGGAACTCTGATCTGGTTGAGACTCTCGAGCTCCGCAACCTGCTGACTTGCGCGTACGTTTCATCCTAGTTCCATTTTCCTCCCCCCTCCCTCTTTGATATATAACTAACGAATATAGTTCCCAAACCGCCATCGCCGCCGCCAACCGCAAGGAGTCCCGTGGCGCCCACGCGCGCGAAGACTTCCCCGAGCGTGACGACGCGAACTGGATGAAGCACACCTTGACGTGGCAGAAGGAGCCCCACGGCAAGGTGGACCTGAAGTACCGTGCGGTGGAGGCCAACACGCTGGACGAGGCGGAGTGCAAGCCCGTGCCGCCTTTCAAGCGTGTGTACTAAGCTGGCAGCAGAAGAGGCTTGAAGAAAATCGGTGTTTATTTTCCTGTGTTTATATGTATATCCTTGACTCACTTTTTTTGATAGCCACACAATGGAGTTCGGTATATCTAATCGTATTGTAGTCTTTAAACAGTAGTATATCAGATAGCATCACCACAGAATACGGTGTAAATTTGGATGACGGAAAAGACCCCGAGTGTGCGTGGCTTTTGGAGGGAATATCGTGGTATTTTCACCTGGTGCTCGAAACTCCACGGCGGTAGTGTAGCTGAACTTGGGCCTCGCGGACTTCAGTACATGCACCTACACAAGGACGGTCCCAGCACGTAAATCATACGGCTAATGTATAGATGAGTCTTGAATCATCTTTTCCATCTCCGACTGCCATGCGATAATGATCGAAGCCATCAACCGACACAAAGTAAGACTCATCAGCGAGCTTCTGAATCGCGGCTTACCCATGGATCCACTCTACGCGCTGGAAGCCGTCGGAGTGAAAGGGAAGGATGCCCTGGAAGTTTTCAGATGTGTCTTTACAATTACCCAGAGCTCCCTAAGCGTAGTAACCATACTTGCTTCTTCCAAGACTTACAATACAAGTGAAAACCCCCAAAATCGCAACCCCCAATCCCAGACCCAATAGGTAAGGCAAGGTAAGATAGCTAAACCCGACACAACCTCCCATCCCATTCCTCCATAACCCACGCCTCACTCCCCACACCGGTCGCAGCGTACAAGACCCCCCGCGGATCATACTTGTTCTTGATAGTCAATAAACGGGGATAGTTACTCCCGTAGAAAACACTCTGCCAGTGTGGTTCGCGGAAGTTGGCTTCGTTGAGGTAGGCGGCGGGGGTGGTGGACAGACGGTCGAGAGCGGGGAGAAAACTGTTCGTCAAGAGTGATTGGTGCGCGAGGTTGGTGGATTGGGAGGTGTAGTTGAAAGGTCTTAATCTTATTATTATCGTTGTTGCCTTCCAGAGCATAGGAGGCGGGGATAGAGGAAGAAAGGGCATACAAAGCAACAACAATATTAGCAGCAGCCATTCTCCAAGCGGGTAGAACTGCATTTTCAATCCTTTTATGGCCGTTGTTGTCAGGCAGAGTAGCATTAACAGTAATACCAGAAATGAGGCCCCCCTGGCGGAGGATATCCCACAGGGTATCCGTGAAAGCGGAAGCATTGAACTCGACAACTGAGCGCGGGATGAGTCGTCCGCCGATGTTGTACTCTGTTATATTAAGGGGGGGACTCATGGTGTTGAAGCTTTCGTGGTAGGTGGGGAAGTCGTTTATGCAGTATGCTTTTTTGGTTAGTTATTATGTATGACCACCACGTTGTAATAGAAAGGGAAGGGCAAAAAGGAAGGAAAAGGAGATATACAATATGAAATATTCTCCCTCTCCAGCGTCTCAACCACACCCCCCATCAACCGCCCTAACACCTCCTTGTCTCCCCCAGGCAGCGTCACCGGCGTGACAGAGAACAACCCATCCGCCAATAGCCAGACAACAACAGCGCGCTCATCCAACAAGCGCGGCAACGCCTTGATAAAAGCATCCACCCCACGGCGGAAGCCCACCCCACCTCCCACGAAAGACAGATTCGCAGATGCAGTCCGCAGCTCCGGGTGAGCCTTGGCAGTCATAGAGACGACGATGGCATAGACACCCCCTCCACCACCGCAGAGAGCCCAGTAGAGGTCTGCGTAGGGTCCAATCGGCGCAGCCGTGACGAGCTGGCCGGTCTCGGGGAGGACGACCTCCCAATGCAGGACCTGGTCAGCGGCGAGGCCGAACGTCGAAGTTAGCTGGCTGTGGCCGCCTCCTTGGGAGTATCCGCCTGCGAGGCCGGCTGTCACGGCGTTGGCGCCCACTATGACGAGGTTATGTGCTTGGGCGGCTTCTGCGGCTGCGTAGACTTGCACGCCTGCGCCGACTGTGAGAGCTGGGCCGGTGTATCTGCCCGAGTGGTAGGTAGGGTGGACGGTTATGTTGGATAGGTGGTGCGTCCAGATGGCGAGGGCGCCTGCGCCGGTGGACTTACCTAGGTAGTCGTGGCCGGTGTTGCGAATGACGAGGCGGATGTTGTGGGTGCGTGCAAAGGCTAGGGTTGCTTTGATAGTGGACGAGGACGAGACGCGGACGGCGTAGGCGACGTAGGTGCCGAGGATGCAGCGGGAGGAGGCGGGGAGGAAAGGGTCGCAGGATTGATTGGCGAAGAAGGGGGCCATTATTGAAGAGGAGGAGGTGTAGTGCGTGCTTGGGAGAGGCCAGTTGTTGCGGATGGTGGCGCATTGGACGGTGTTGTAAGGGGTGAAAGGGGAGTGGGAGTGGCAGGGACTGGCGAGGGGAATGGTGGCGATGAGAGCGCCGGCGATAGTGTGGTTGAATTGGGTCCATTGTTTAGGGGAGGGCCAGCAGGGGTCGTGGGGGAGGCAGTAACAGGATGAGTTGGAGTTGGGGATGGGATTGGGGAGGGATGGGTTGGGGATGGAGGCAGTTAGGGCTAGGATAGGGAGGGAGAAGAGGAGGAGCATTGTCATGGTGTATAGATTTAAGTATGCTATAGATGTAAGGATAGAAAGAGAGGGATATAGATATAGGTGTAGGGATAGGCAGATATAGATATATGCAGGGAATTGTCATGGATATAGGTAGAGTTGAGGGTTCAGGTATCAGTACAGGTGTAGGTCGGATCGACGTAGATATAGCAATATGGACCAGAGAGATACATATGGAGAGAATAATGCAGTCAGCGGTGCAGTCCCACCCATATATCCCTACATCCTAAAAATAGAATATCATAATCCCCTTGTCAACCAACATGAAGCCATTCCCACCCTATCAAAAACATCACCAAGACCACCATCCCACCGTGAGAATCCCCTCTGCCTCAGCCTTGACCCCCTCAAACAACCCCCCAAGCACCCCCGCCAATTCCCCCGACAACGGTCCCTCCTCTCTAGCATTCAGGTACGTCTCAAGCTGTTCCACCGAGCCAGGCCCAACAGCAATTGCATCCGCACACTCCCCACGCAGCCCTGAATGGAATAACACCCACCGCATCGCAACCTGAGCCATCACCTGCTTCTCCTCCCCACCGTCCAACAAACCCTCAGCAGCAACAATCTCCCTCATCTTCCTGACAGCCCCATGAAACATGTCACGATCGTACCACGCGCGGAACAATCCTCCAACCAGATTTCCCTCACCCACCTCAAACCGCGTCCCCACCAACTGAGCCGCTCCCGTCGCAAAGGTCAACTTCCCAGTGAGAAACCCACCCGCGAGAGGCGAGTTCGCTACGAAGCGAATCCCGTGCTGGCGTAACAAGGGGAAGAGACTCGTCTCGTAGCCCCGACACAGCAGGTTATACTGGCCTTGGTAGACAGTGGGAGCGATGAGGTCCTGAGACTGGGAAACAGCGAGCCACTCGGTGAGCTGGGCGGGGGAGTAGTTGCACAGCCCGAGGGAGGTGAACAGGCCCGCGCGGTGGAGGGCGTCGAAGTTGGCGGCTTGTTCGGCGATGGGGGTGGTCGGATCTGGGGCGTGGGCGTAGAGTGTGTTGACCTTCATCTTATTAGCTGGATGGACATTATCAAGGTAGGATAGAGGGGAGGGCGAGGAGAAAGATACCTTAGACACACCCAGTCGGGCTAGACTCGCGCGCAGCGACTGCTCCATCTTGTCGCGTTGGAGACCTCCCGGCTGGAAGAGTATCTTGGTGTCGATGAGGATGTCATCGCGCTGGATCTGGCCCAGCAGTGTTTCGGATTGACCCGGGTTGGTGGCAGGATACAACGCGGCGGTGTCATAGTGGGTGATGCCGGCATCGTCGAGACGGGTGATCAGCTGGGGGAGGGTCGTCTCCGTCCAGGAGGTGCCGAAGTTTTGGGTTCCGAGGATGTAAGTGGGAGGCATGACTGCTATGATAACTGATAGATGGATGGTTGTCGATTGATGGTTGGTGGTTTGGTTTGACCGTTGCCTGTTGGCAGACATAAAATATCCAGATAAAGAGGGGTAAGTTAAGAAAACGATTACAAACGACGTGACACAACTAGCTGAGACCGTCAATAAATGAGAAGGAAATGATGCAATGCTACCTTGTCTTACAATAGGGCCATCCTGGATCGTACGTTTGGTATAGAGTGCATACTCGGCTCTCTGCATCCAACGAGCACAGGTGATCTACACGACCGAAACAACACTCCCATTAGACCGTCACTGACCATCCCTCAGACTATCCACAAACGCCTCCATCCGATCCACCAATCCCCCCGTCCAGCTTAGATGCGGCGAGTGACCCGCCGCCGCACGGTACATGGTGAACGTGCCCCCTGCCTGCGTCTGCAACTCCACCATCTTCTCCTGATACTCACAGGGTAGTGTGCGGTCGTTCTCCAGCACGAGATATGCACACGGCAGTGTCTTGTAAGGATCGTTGGTGAGCGGAGTGGTCATTATCGGGGATGCCGTTAGCGTCGCCGTCCACTTCTGGGCATCGTCGGCGTCGAGATCGTTGAATAGAAAGCGCGGAGCATCCACTATCGTCCCGAGACCTTCAGGACCGTGTTTCTGCATGATCCCGCTTTAGTAATAGACAGAGTCACCCAGTGGAGGGGGAAACAAGAGGAAGACACACATGAAACTCCATAAACGGCGGCGCGATGACTTCCCCACCCGCCGGCTGGAAGAAGCTATGCACCGACTCCCCGACCGGAATGACAAATGCTCCGATATAGAAGATGCCGATCACTCCGTCGGTCTGACCCGCGGTAGCCTGCACCGCGGGGATGGCCGCCTGGCTGGCGACCCAGCCGCCGGAGGAGTGTCCGACGAGTAGCACGCGCTTGCCATCGCGGACCAGCTGTTTGACGAGATCGAGAACGGCATCGACGTCTTCTGTGTCGCTGGGGTAGCCGGTCTCCGGGGGCGGACGATCGAAGTCCGGGTGGTGGAGGTCGGTGCCGACGTTAAGGTTGGCGAGGTCGCAGGTGGGTCGCTGGGGGCAGTAGGCGTCGATACCGCGCGACTGAATAGCGTGGATCAGTGGTTGGTATGGGGCGGGAGAGTGGTACGAGCCGTGACAGATGACGATGGCGAGATTTCTGGACATTTTGTTTGAATAAACCATGGAGATGTGGATTGACCTGGAGGGAGGAGTTGCAGTGGACAGAGAACCAAAGAGAGATGTGGAGGAGCGGGAAGAAGACAAAGAGGGGGAGATGATGGAACCATGGATGCGGATGTCAGTTCCGCTGATGAGTTGGTCCTTAATTAGTCACGTATGCTTACTGGGATTACTATTGAATCATGCGATGGCTACCATGGTTTGTTTTATGCCAGTGGTCACTGGGGAGTGTCGATGTCGATCTAGAATTAGCCCTAACTTCGACGCATCTCGACTCCTCTTGTCTTTCTTTATCCTTTCAGCCAGAAGTTTATTCTTCGCTGCTTTCTTTGTTGCTTTATTGCTGGATTATATTGTCTATTATTCTGCTATATTGTTGAATATTTATGATGTGTCTATTATGTCACTATCTACCTTTTCTGTATTTTATTCCAACTTGTATACGTTTCGCCTCCACATCCCCAGGGAGATCTCCGCGCGTTGATCAGAGTACCACGCGGGGAAATCAGTTTCTGACCACCTATTTAATAACCCCGACCATCTCAAAATAACCGACCAAACAAACCCAGTAAAATCCCGGCATGAGGATACTCCCCGACACCCAGCACGACAGGCTGGCCGTCGACCAATGTTGATCGCGGCATAGCGAGAGGCATGCCGTGGAACCCTACCACGAGAACTCTGGACTGCACACGAGACGATTCTGTTCAAAAGCAGGTTCAGTCGATTCTCCCATCCTCATATTCATACCTCGACCAGTCTATCTTGACCATTGGATTTCTTCTCCATCTTCATACATTCGATCAACGATGTTTAGTACGCGCGGTATCGCCTTGATCATCTCGACGCCGATCCTTCTGGCTATCAGCACATTATGCTTTCTCCTGCGCATTGTGGGAATCTACATGCGAAAGCGAGGGTGGAGATCGCATGATTATTTTGCGGGCTTGTCTCTAGTGAGTTTTTTCTCATACGTAGAGTCAAACTATAAACTAACCTGATAGTTCTGCCTCACGGGATACGTCTGCGATGTCATCGTCGGTATCTACAACCCACTATAATTCCCTCCTAACCCTATACTAACCAATGAATAGGAGTGGCCGCAGGTGGATACGGCGCCCACGTCCGCACCGTCCCATACAACAAGCTCGTCATCTCACTGAAAGTCTTCTTCGCCTCAGAATGGTTCTGGGCAACATCAGTCGCCTCCTTCCGCATCGCCATCCTCCTCCTCTACGTCGACATCTTCCGCAAGCGCGCCTTCTTCTGGGCGGCTATCAGCACGGGTCTATTAGTCGTGCTCTACTGGGCTGCCTCCATCCTCACCATCGCGCTCCTCTGCCGCCCCATCAACGTCAACTGGAACCGCACCATCACAGGCACATGCGGCAATCTCCGCAAGACCGAGTTCGCCTCGGCGGGGTTCAACATGGGTATTGATCTACTGGTGGTGCTCCTCCCGATGCCAGTCGTCTGGAAATTGCAAATGTCCAAGGAGAAGAAGTTTGGCGTGACGGCAGCTTTCACTTTGGGAATGATGTACCTTTCCCCTATCTCCTCCCACCCACTCCTTCCATCCACACATCCCCATAAACAGCAATTAATAAACAAACCAGAACAGCAGCCGTCAACCTCGGCCGCCTCATTCAAACTAGTTTCTGCTCATCCGCCGACCTCACCTACTGCGCCATTGACAGCTCCATCCTCGTCACAGCCGAGATGTCGTCAGGGATTCTAGTAGCATGTGTCCCCACGCTAGGGCCCATACTATTCCGCACGCGAGCGCGGAACCTCGCCCCGCAACCCCGTCGCAAACTCCCCACCATCGGATCGCTGCGGAACTGGTCGCGCCGTCACAGACAGTCTCCAGATACATTGCTTGATTCGCACGATAGCGACTACGACTGGAACCGGTCGAAGTCGCTTACAGCTGTTCATGAGGGCGCTAATACGGGGACTGGGTCTGCGATGCATTCTGTGGATGCAGAGGGACTTGCTCCTCCTGCGGCTGCCGTTTTGCGAGGGGAGGGGAATGGGGCGAGGATTGAGTCGAGGGTGGAGAGGGGGGATGATGGATATGGGGTTGTATGATTGTTGCTTAGTTGGATACGGGGACTGTTAGTTGTACGGGTTATTGATTTTATGGGCTGTATACTTATGGGCTATACATTTTGGACTATACTTGATGACTCTATACTTGATGGACACTGATACCCTCATTCCACACCATCTCATAGCCCAACAGCATCAATAGAACCTGTAGCAGCACAGGATACAACCCGATTGTAACAGACGGACCCAACCCCAATATCAAAGCAGTCGACTCGAACAAGACACCGTCCTCCCACCCAAGCCAGATGTCTACTATCTAATTGGACCAAATACCCAACACACCAGTCGCACAGGTACCACCACGGCGACATCAAATCAAAGAACACAATAGATCGACGCACAGTCACTGCGCTGCATCTGCACTACCAACCAGGGTCCTACCAACCTGTCATCCGTCCGCACTGCACGTATCCGCCCTCTGACCGTCAGCTCATCTCGAGGTCATGATCCGAGCGTCTAGACTGCTGATGGTGATGGTGACGCGGGTATCATGGCTGCATATCATTCACTATCACAGTCTGAATAGTAACACACCATGTCAGCATTGCGATATTCTCTCAAGAGAGGGGTAAATCGTCGGCCAAGTAGGTCTTTTTGGGAAGGTTATCGTCCGAGAATCCCGAGGGAGCCCGAGGGAGGCTTAAGATGTGTCTTGTGTCTTTGGTTGATATTTTCTGACGATATTCAAGTAGTATATGGGCTCAAGAATTGACGAATCAAATCGAGGAAATGGTTGATATCTATGGTCAGAATATGGCTCGTGATGAGGATGAAGCAAGACGGTATGCTCTCTCTCTCAATACTTCTATTGACAAATTGAGCTTGCCCTACTTATTATGAATCATGTATATGAAGAAAAAGCTAACAATACCAGACTAGACGAGCAATTCGACCTCTTAACCGAGTATCCTCCTTCCCTATCTATCTAACATACACTATAGTATACTAAGGTATACAGAAACATAGGCTACCTAATCCACCCAACCATCCACCCCCACCTCCCCCCAAACGCGCACATCGCAGACCTCGCAACAGGCACAGCCCTCTTCCTCCAACGCCTCGCAAGCACAAACCCAGCCTACACCCTCCACGGAAGCGACATCTCACCAGCCCTCTTCCCTCCCGCCTCCACTCTCCCCCAAAACATAACTCTCACGACCCTCGACATCCGCCAACCTCCCCCATCCCACCTCATCCGGAAATACGACCTCGTCCACGTCCGACAACTCTCCGCCGGCCTCGAAGCAAGCGACTGGCCCGCCGCAATCGCCCACGCCGCAGCGCTAGTACGACCAGGCGGGGCGCTACAATGGGAAGAATGTGACTTCCTAAGCGTGCGGCACTTGCGCGGGGGGGTTGAAAATAGTGTGAGCGCTGCAGGTCACATGGGAGATGTGTTTAAAAATGCGTTGAGGGAGAGGTTTGCGCATGGGTGGAATTGCTTGGAGACGGGGATGAGGGAGGCGGGGTTGGTTGGGGTGGAAAGGGAGGTTGTTTCTTCCGATAGGGTGTTTGAGACGAGGGAAGCACTTACGAGAAATGGGTTGGGGGTTATTGAGGCTTGGATGAGGAGGGTTGTGGGGAGGGGTGGTGCGCTGGGGGTGGATGGGTTGGGTAGAATGGAGGAAGTGGAGGAGTTGGCCAGGAGGGCGGAGGAGGATGTTAGGAGGGGTTGTTATGTTCGGTTTGATGTGCATGTTGTTTGGGGCTGGGTTGGTAGGGATTAGACTAGATTATTTATGCCCTTTGGGGATGTTATCTGCTGTGTAGTAAAGTAGAAGGAGAGAAGAAGTATGTATAGGGTACGTATAGAAAGAGTATAGAACTACCGCCTCTCAAACACAATCCAACACTCCCCCGGCTGTGCCGTGAGCTGATCACGCATATTCTTCTCAACAGAGACACCCTCCTCTGTCCCAGGCGCAAATTGCATCTTGTATCGCGAGACCAGCGCCGCCGTGACCAGCCGGATCTGTGCCAGGGCGAGATTCTTGCCGACGCAGCTGGTGTTGCCTACTTTATTAGTGCTCTATACAGAGGAAAGCACCGAATATCAAATCAATGAAAGAGAAGAAGAGGAGTGTATGGAATACCTAGTCCAAATGGCGCAAATGCTCGTCTGTCTTTGATCAGTTGCGGTTGACTGTACCATCTCTCGGGGATGAAGTCATGGGGTTGAACGTAAGCGGAGTCCACTATACATGTCAACCTTTATCCTTAAATTGATAAATGTAGAAAGAATACGTACAGCGCCCTACTGTGAATCTCGGAGCGCAAATCTTAACACACCCCGGAATATACGTTCCCTCAACCCAAAGCCCTTCCGGCGGAGTATCGCGCGTGCCAAACGTCAAGATAGCTGGTAAGAGACGCATGGTCTCGTTGATGACCCCGTTCAGATGCGGCAGCTTAGACAATGCCACCGGATCATGGCTATCGACGGTCACGAGCTCTAGATATATTTGTTCTGCGTGGGACGGGTATCGCGCGAGGAAATAAAGGAGGTGGGTGAGGGCTGGAGCGGTCGTGTCGCTGTTATAAGGGAACTTAATATGATCCAAAAATAAAGACAAGATCAGGCATACCTCCCCGCTACAACCAGCGTCGCTGTATCCCCGCTCAACCAGTGTTTTCTGCTCCCGTCGTCGCTATGGCTTTCGTGGTCTTGAATAAACCACGAGGCTATGTCTCGATCGTCCAGAGTCCTCTTATAATCAAGTAATCAGCAACCCCCATTGAAAGCAGGTAGAGAGGAAAGAAACCTTCATCCGCCTCTCCATACAAGCATCGCAAAACTCCAACATCTCAAACCACCGCCTCAACCTCCACATCCCCGGCATAATCGAAAATCCCAATCGCGGGATCCAAATCGCCGGACTGAACGGCCCCAGCAGTGCCAGGGCAGACCGGAAGAGGTAAATCACGCGGTGCCACTCTTGGTTCCTCAGCATGCCAAAGTCCTCGCTGAACGCGAAGTCACCCATCGAGTCAAAGGCAAACCAGTACATGATGTTGTTAATCAGGACGGGGTGTGTGTCTTGTTTCTCTACGAGCGCTGTCAGGGTTGACACTTTGGTGTGGATGCGTCGGTGGTATTGCCTTAGGGCTGTCTTATGTTAGCTTTGAGGATATGAAGAGGGTGGGGCAGGAAAGTACCAGCACTACTCAAAGCGTGGTTCCATATTTGCCTCCGCTTCAGGTGAAAAACCCTGTCGCGCGTGAAGATGGACGAGATGCGCGGATGCAGCAGGTCGTACCAGTCCGAACGGGTGTTCTGGTTCCCTGTTCCATCCATGGCCTCGTAGATGGCTGGGTGGAAGACGGTGATCTCACTGGGCCCTAGTCCTATTACTTCTTATTCAAGTTGATACCAATCTCTCTGATAGATACCTGTTCGCACAAACGTCCCATACGTCTTGTGCCACTCGTCCACGACCAGGTGGCCACGCGAGTCACGACATTTCCACACATGCCACAGCTTGGTCAGTGCTGCCAGTTTGGGGCCAGGGAAATGGCGTAGTCTGTGAAAGAAAAGACGATAGATGGAGATGCTGAGGAAGAGAGAAGATAGATACAAGAAGATGAGAACTCCTGGACGGTCTCGCACCGCATATAGACACGTGGTCAGGGCTATGTGTGTCATGATAACCGAGGCGCCTCTCAAATGCCATTCACCTTGGATGAACACAACCTGGTGGGCTAGAACCCCTGACAAGATAGCGACAATCTCTGTCGTCAGCATGGTGTCGATATCGGATGGAAGAATGAAATTGGATTGGGTCAGACAGGAAGCGCCCAGATATAGGACACATTCCCCGCTGACGGCGGCCAGAACCTGGTCATGTAGGATTGCAGTTTAAACGGCAGGGATTAACTCCATGCATGTATTGCCCGTTGTCACTGCTCGGTCCGATGGCATCAACCTACTATGGCTACACGACAGAAACGGATAGTGGTGAGATTGAAGCAACGTGAGAATTGTCATTCTAGGCCATATATCGCGTGTGTAGCTGTCTGAGTACACGGACGTATTTAAGATGGCTGCCCACAATATCAACATCAACATCATATCCAACCTCAGACGACAACCCTCATAAGGACCATGAGTCTTTCCAAGGTAACCACCCAAGTTTCACGTTCGAATACCAACTCACAATGACAGAACAAGACTAGCCTCCTCCGCCATGTCATCTATTCCCGGACCCTCCGACTCATACCCACCATGACCACTATCCTCCACTCCATTCACATCCTATATCTCTTCATTGCCAGCGACTTCAAAACAATCATTATTCCCACCACCATTTTCGGCCTCGCCAACTCCCTCGCCGCTCAATGCTACAACCTCCCACCCCCCGTCACACCCGCATCCACCCGCGCCCCCCAAGCCCTAACCTGGACACTCCTCACCCTCATCCCCTTCGCCATAAGCAACCAACTCAGCCCCTCCGCCATCGCCGAAGACACCCTCAACAAACCGTGGCGACCTCTCCCCCAAAACCGCCTCACCCGCACGCAAGCCAAGACCACCATGCTCATCTTCTACGCTCTGTCCCAAGCCCACGCCCTCCTCACCCGTACCGGCCACCGCCAATCTCTCGCCATGATCCCCCTCGGCACCTACTACAACCACCTCGGCGGCGCAGACCATCACCCCCTCACCCGCAACCTCACCAACGCCGCCGGATACCTCTGCTTCACCACCGGCGCCATGGAAGTCGCTCTAGGCTACCCCCTGCCGCTCACCCGCTTGCCCCCTCGTCTCACAGCCTGGCTCCTCCTCCTCGCCGCCGTCGTTTCCTCCACCGTTCACCTACAGGATCTCTATGACCAGAACGGGGACCACCTGCGCGCCCGTCGCACCCTCCCACTTGTCATCGGGGACTCCGCTGCCCGCTGGGCTGCTGCCTTGCCTATGCTGCTCTGGGGCGTCGCATGTCCGGTTTTCTGGCGGGTGGGCCCCGGGTTGACGATTGTGTGTGTGGGTTTGGCGTGGACCGTAGCGGCTAGGGTCCTGCTGGTGAGGAGCGTGCTCGGGGATCGTATTACGTTTCGGTGTTGGAATTGTTGGATGGTGCTGGTTTATTTGTTGCCGGTTTGGGGACGTAGATGATGAGGATGCTGTGAGTTATTATCCTTAATCTTACTGTGAAACTTTATTATACTTTAGGTCATTATGAAACATCCAGTGATTATCTGATGTAAGTTAATGACTGGCTGATAGTATAATCCCGCATGCTATCTTTGGGAATATGTAAGAATAAGGTTAGCCTGCACTAGCTGTACTGTCACTACATGGCACTATGTATGGAAAGACGGTCGCCATAATTGATTTATTATATTAGTCAAAACTGTCGTCGACATTCTCGCCCGATGATTGGAAAGTCCATTCTACGATTTTAAAAAACTAAACTCTAGTGAGGGGCTGTGATGCTTTGAAAATATCTGATCACCACCAAGTTGGGTTAGGTCCTGCATTTGTTCTCCACCAACATACGGAACAAGGCTGTGAGCTCTCGGAGGGCTGTGATGCTTTGAAAATATCTGATCACCACCAAGTTGGGTTAGGTCCTGCATTTGTTCTCCACCAACATACGGAACAAGGCTGTGAGCTCTCGGAGGGCTGTGTCCAGGGTGAAATGGACCCGAATTTGGGCTTGTTCCACTTCATAAATGCCATGATTGCCAGATACCTTCCCTGGTTTGTCCCTTCCGAGCGAGTCGAGGACCGATGAAATGAAGTTCCATCGCAAAAGGTTGGTATTCAGCTCTCTTGAGGCGACTGGCGGGCTATCTGACTGATGAACATTATAGATCATCGAATCTCGAGGATGAGCACTCCCACAGCTCGATTGTACATGATCCGGTATCGAACCCCGGATCGTGCCTTTCCCAGATATTGCCAGGACGCATCCAGCGCAAATTCAAACAGCTCCACGACAGTCAGCGAGAATGGGCTACAGGGGTGTTGCTCTGTGCCTATGGTACCTCCATCATACTGTTCATAAATGTGGTCTTGACGATTATTGCTGCCAGCATGTCATATTCCAAGCATACAGGTCAGAACTATAATTACTCGGGCCTGTATCAAGGGAATTGTTCCACTTCGAAGAACTTGACCCGTGGTTTACATGCGTTGATAAATGTGCTTAGCACGCTCATGCTGGCGGCGAGCAACTACTGCATGCAATGCTTAAGTGCCCCATCTCGTCAGAGCATCGATGAAGCGCATGCTCAGCGGAAGTGGTTGGATATCGGAGTCCCCAGTTTGAAGAATCTCCGATCAATTGGCCGAAAAAGTCAAATATTGTGGGCATTACTATGCATTACTTCTGTGCCAATCCATTTAATGTTAGCGTGACAAGTTCCTCTGTTTTTTTTCGAAAATGACATCTAACCAAGAGACAGATACAACTCCACTGTGTTTTCTACACTTGCTACCCGTGAATATGGTATTTACGTTGCGTCTTCTGATTTCGATCCAAATGATCCGCCAAAAGAGAATTTGGCTTATCCAAATTGTTTCGATGAACACGCAGCTGAGAATATGTCGGATTTTTACACAAATATACGGACATTCGACAAACTTCCTATCTCCAAGTGTCAAGATGCCTATGCGGTTGACTTTAATACAAACCGGGGAACCGTGATCCTTGTGACCAACAACCCGAGAGCGGGCAACACATCACTACTCTACACAGGAACGGGGAATTGGCCAGACCGGGTTGGTAATCCCAAAAATTTGGGCTATAGTTGGATGTGTAATGGTAGTGATTGCTCCAGGAAAATGCTGGAAGAGGACACAAAGTCCGCCCATGGGAAATGGCCTATATCCGCAGAAGTACGCCCGATGCCAGTGATTTCAGCAACCGTCTTTTCCGAGACAACATATACCCTCAATAGCACGACCCTCAAGGATGTTCCAGACATTCAAGTGTCCAGTGACGAACTCGGCGATATCAGACGACTCAAGCGTCGTATGTGGGAACAACCTCCGTATGAAGAGCTACATCGGTTTCTTCATGATCCCAGAGGTTGGAAAAACAGCTCCTGGGCTGAGGCCATCAAAATACATGAATTAGATAATCCCTGCCCCTCTTACAGTTTGTCAGGCTCGTCACTTGACTCCTCGGCTGGAAGCACCCCAAGCTGGCCAATGCAGCTAGACTACTCGCCAACAAGTCGGGTCGTCGAAACCACTGTCCGCCACTGTTTGAGTGAAAAGGTGAACGAGAAATGTCAACTTCTATTTAGCCTACCTCTCTGCCTCGCAGTCATACTATGCAATAGCATCAAAGTTTTGGCGATATTCTTGACAGCCCACGGTAGTAGGAGGGAAGTACTCCTTACCGTTGGAGATGCTATGTCATCATTTCTCTCTAATCCTGATAAAACCACTGAAGGAAATTGTTTGTTGTCGAAATCGAGCATTAAAGCTTCAGAGTCATGGAAGCCGTCATCTGTTAATGCTCACATTCTACAAAAAGGACGCCAAGTCACCCTTTCCAAGAGGCAGAGATGGGTATACTCCGTGAGCCGCAGAGATTGGATACTAACCATCGCTGTGTTAGTACTCCATAACTCCCTCGGACAAGACCGGTATACACATTCTGACTTTTTGCAGAATTACACTTGTTTTCTTGCTTTCTGGTTACCTTCTTTCTTCGGCTATTATTGGTTTAAGTGATTCCAACAAGGATTCCCTTCGGGGAATTTGGAACCTAGGTTTCGGTACTGTCTCGCCGTCTGCCATAATGAGAACCGACGGCCACAGAAGCTACTATCGATTTCTACCGACAGTTTTGCGCGCAAACGCCCCTCAGATAATCGTCTCACTGGCCTATTTCCTCTACAACCATAAACTAACGTCTATGCTTCTTGCTGCCGAGTATGACGGCTATGGCACGGACCGAAAGCCATTACGCGTCTCCTGGCCCAAAGGACCACAACGTTCGACCTACTACCTCAGTCTTCCTTACAGATACAGCATATGTCTCTTGAGTGCCTCTGCAGCACTGCATTGGCTGATTTCTCAGAGTTTGTTTTTTGTGGCGATTATCCCGTATTCCCCAGATGGGAAGCCCACACCGGACTCTGAAAGGGTGACATGTGGATTTTCTCCGCTTGCGATTATCTTCGCTATGTCTCTGGGCGTTCTGATGGTTGGTGCAATCCTGGCCCTGGGAATGAGACGTTTCAAGTCCAACATCCCTCTTGCCGGCAGCTGCAGCGCCGCAATCAGCGCTGCATGCCATCCCCTGTCCGATGACGAGCATGCACTCAAACCCATCATGTGGGGAGAGGTCCAAATACCACGAGCCGAGCCTACGAGCCATTTTCCCGGCACAAATGAGGAGACAGACTTTTCGGATTCTGAACTAGACGCAAGAGGTCGTGCGGTTCGCAGAGACCAGTCGAGCCAAGAAAGCGGCGTAGGCCTGTTAGCCAGGGATGATGTGTCTGATGACAGTGGGGAATCCTACGGACACTGCAGTTTTACTTCCCACGAGGTCATCACTCCCAGTCCGTTGCGTCGGTATGCATGAACTATATGGATCTGATTCGTCGGTTCTCCCATGCTGTCAGTCTCCGTTGATTGTTATCATCAATCCTTGCCATGAAGCAGGCTGCGTGGCAGATGGGTAACGTATTTCTCAAAAGTACCTATTATATATAAACATGTATTTCATATGATAAGATCTCAAAGAGCATAACCTAGACAACTCGTTTCCAAACCCAAGTCACAACTTCAAGTGTGGGCGCTACTGGCTTATATATCTGCAACTTGGGGTGAAACATATATTTCCTCAGCGTGCCTAAGAAAAGTAGATTAACTCTATACTAACATCATTCTATAGGTATTTCACTTCGAAATTCGTAGGCTCCATTAAGTCTTTCAGGTTTACATTGTACTAACTTGTCACCCATTACATCTATAGACAGACACGTGATATGTCTTCCACATTGACCCAACAACCATCTAAGGGAAAGCAAAACAAGAGTCCATGTAACCAACCAACACCAAAAATTCAATAATAGATCATAACAGTAGTGACTGTGACACACAACCTATTAAGAAGAAGAAAAAAAATCAAGTAAGCGTGATCATTAAAAATAACGATCAAATAAAAATCAAAAAAACCTCCCCCTATCCCCTCCCCCGAACACGACCACGACCACGACCACCCACCCGACCCACCTATAATTCCCCCTTTTATGTAAAGGATCCCCCAAACCCAAACCACCACAGTGGTACGACAATCAATACTCTTCCCGTTTAATTCGACACAATGAGGCTGAGGGCCGACCCAGTCCGCCGGGTCTGTCCATCTTTTCCTCCTCCTGTCAGTGCCACTGTCACACGGAAATATCTTCCTACCCCCCCACCGGACGGACGGGGCTACACCACCTTCCTACAATGGTAATGTACACTACTTAGTAAAGCGCTATACACATAGTTACCTGGTGTAGACCCAGAATTCAGGGCAGTAGCCAATGGGTGTAGCTTGCGCGCGCCTAGGACCAGAGTGTCGGGTTGTTGACTTGCATCAGGGGCCTACTTACCTCGTGTTTCTGTCTCTGTGTGGACTACGGAGTAGGTGGTGCTAGTGCTTTATACGGGGTAGGTATGAAGCTGAGACGTGGGTCGATCCTTTTTTGGCACTTCGTTATTGCCAGTTGATTTAAATTCTCTTCTACTACCTTGGGATGTTGGGAGTTATCCTACTGTGTAGGTAGGTAGGTAGGTAAGTCTCTGTATACGAGGTAACTGCCTCCCTTCCCAGGTACTAACAAGTAGTGCCGCCTCTAGCAGCACTAGCCAGCCACATGTACAACAACAACCATCACCCAATTAACTAAAGTAAGCCATGTGTGGTATGGTCTGCAGGTACGGATCCTTTCCCCAGGGTCTAGCCCATACAATAATAAAAATAATAAAAACTATACTTCGAAACTCCGAACGAGGCCTGGAAATCCCCCATCTTGTCCTCAGGGGGAGGGAGACAAAAAACGACCTAAAAAAGAAGAAAGGAGCACTAGCAGCCCCGTGGTGTGGGTCATACACAAACCGATACTGACACCACGTACGGGGTACGGGTACCTGACTAGATAGATAGAGAGATACGTAGCTAGTTAGGGTGGTAGGTAAGTAGCCAGGTGGTAGGTAAATCACCGAGCAAACCCTCAAGCTAATGATTTAGGTAGTGTCAAGTGTGTCATCAGTCGGCCCGTCCGCGTCAACTAACTAATATAATATAACAGCCGTCGTATCAAAGCTGTTTAGCTCCTTTCTAACTGTATAAGGCTAGAGGATGTTAAAATAGGAGCTGGCTGGGCTGGCTGGGGTTATTTGTCATGATGGCCGTGCTAGTTTAACTATTACTTCCCCCAACTTAATCACTGTTGTTTAATATCATAGAGATTATATCGAATACGGGGAGCTTATTAACGTCAATATATGTTCTTTATTTAAATTATAGTAAGGATAGATTAAATTCAATAGTAGGAAGTAATCCGTGCAGTTAATCTACGAGGCTGATCCTGCTGTCTATTCTGATCCATGATTCAAGATTTTGGACCCCACTGGAGGCAGGTACCATGCAGGGCATACCTATCATCGCCATAATAGCATGGTCAAATGACATCAACCCTTATTAAAACCCATATCTTATACGAGAACGAAGGTGTGGCGGTGCACTATGGAGCCTTCGATTTCTTGGGGTCGGAGAGTTTCCCATCGGCTTTTCCGTCTGGTTGGGATTTCTCCGATTGTTTTTCTTTTTCTGCTTTCGTATATCTCACGGTATACTTCTACTTTATCTATATTCTGTCTATCAGATAAGGAGATGACTCTTTTCAGTCAGTTCATCAATCATCTGTACATCCATTCATAGAAATGTCTTCATATATAATTCCAAGTATCAATAAATATTTAATGTCATGTGGTTGATATGATGTATATCTGTCAAGGAACGTAAGGATTGTGGATGCGCTAACAACCGGCTCTGACACCTGCCAAAGCCAAAACCACTAACAAAAGAAACTAATAACGAATGACAAATGATCGTCCATGCGTGAATCATCAGGGATAATGAAAAAAGCAAATAAAATGAAAAACAGAAAGGGTGGTCCCAAGACATAGGAAAAAAAAGAAAATAAACGAGAAAAAAAAAAAAAAGATAATAGAAAAAAATAGAGGAAGAGATGGAAGGAAAAAATGAAAGAGATCACCACGGACTGCGTGTCCCCACCATCCAATCCTCCATGGCTAACCACTCACTCCACCGCGACTCAGCCGTGTGTAGTTCCTCCTCCGTCACGTCGCGGATCGGTCGGAGGAACGGGACCTGCTCGTCGCCCTCGCCGTCGTACGCCGCCTTGGTGGAGGCCCAGCCGCCGCTCTTCGCCGTGAAGAGGTAGTTGATGCGCTCCTGCTGCCAGAGCCGGCCGACGCCGCCGTGCCAGTCGGGCCCGAACAGCATCTGCAGCACGTCGGGGGTATCGTGCGCCGTGGCGATCAGGCGACGCACGTATGGGCGCAGCCCGACGAAACTTTGCGACGCGGGGGGGCGCTGGCAGGGTAGTCGGAAGTTGAGGTAGGCGGCGAGGGCGTGCGCGCCGGGCGCATGCTGCCCGTATTCGAGGAAGTACTGCGTGCTGGCCGTGTAGCGCGCGTGCCAGTCAGGCAGGTTGACCTGCGAGACATCGGGGATGGCGCTGGACGGGGATGCGGCCATCTCGTCGGCGGCTGGGCTTGCGGGCCAGTGCGCTGGGTGTTCGGCGGTGCCCACGGTCACAGGGGACAGAGGCGCGTTGTCGCGTCTGCCGGAGCTGAGTTCAGACTCGAGAGCTGGGTCTGTAGCTTCTATGCGGAGCAAAGAGTGTTAGACTGGGGATGGTTCTTTGGGGGAGGGGTGTAGAGTAGAAGGGAACTTACTGGTGGGGTAGAAGGTGGAGGAGGGATCGTGTGCGTCTGGAGAAGGAGCAGCCCAGCAGTCTCTTCCAGGAGATTGAAAGTTGAAAGTCATTGTTGGCTTGAACATGTGCCGAATGGTATGCGACGGCTGGAAGGTGGAGGGGTGGATAGAAGATGGGTGGAAGAATGTTCAATGCTGATCTAGACAAAGACAGGTTTGATCAAGTGAAGGGGATTGATCGGTCCTTATACCCCAGTCGATCCCCCCTTCGCAGATATACGAAAGGGAGACAGACGGCCAGTCCGAAAGACATACTAGTCGGTGTAAATCCAAGAGCGCCATGGAGGAAAGACCAAGAAGCGGATCATGAAAGGGTTTGAGCGCGGTTCCATATCTCGTAGGGTATCAAAGAACAGGGGTGAGGTGGAGCTATGGGGCCGAGAGGGAGAGGAAAAAGAAAAAAAAAACATGAAAAATTAAGGATAGAAACGCCGATCGGTCGGATTGCACCGCAGAAGAACTGAGGCTATTCCAAGTCCATCAAGGTCTATTGACGAATGGGTTCAAGCCACAGATGAGCAACCAGCCACAGGGGGAAGGTGGTCAAGCCACGGACTTGACCGGAAGTGGGGCGGATCGTGGCTGTGCGCTTGAGGCGTGGCCTGCACACCTCAAGACTAAGGCAGGCAGGGACACCTGATCCACTCCCCCTTTCGGCCTGCTGGCGGATCCGATGAACTCATTCGGACGAACGAACTGGATGAGCTGGACAACCTCCCAACAAATCAACCCCGATCTGGGTTGCGGTTCCGGCAACCTGGACGACCAGTTGGCACTAAACGTGAAGGGGAAAGGAGTGAAAAAAAGATTTGGAAGAGTTGGAGCCACTAGCGATATGATCTTCGCTAGCCATCCTCCCAAAACTTCAGCCAGCCATGCATCACTTTTCTTAAATTTCTTTTTCTTTTTTATTTTTATTTTTTTTCCCCTTCCATGTGTCCGTTTCTGAATAACAGTCCTATATCCAGCCATTACTCTTCCTGTCTAGTGGATGCTCCGTGACACCCGACCAGCTCTTCCAGCTCTAAGGCTCAACGTAGACCGGCCTTCAATAGTCAGGGAACGGCGCCAAATCCCCCCACCCCCAACGAAATGTCTGTCGTAGGAGTAATGTGACAGCTCGTCGGGCGTGTGTCTCCCCACAGCGTCATCATGATGACTGGACAGTGTGCGTCATTGTCACACCTTGCGACATGACAACTGAATTATTTCTCTTGGGGGAAAGAAGAGTACGGCATGGATGCTGTCCGGTCGCATGCCGGGTCGTCGTTACTCAACATATGTATAGATACCGATTCTTGCCTGCACGATGGGATAACGTGGTCAAGGAGGCTGCAACATGACGCTGTTCTCGTCCCAGCGATGCAAGGGGTGGATCGAGGGTGAAAATTCTAGCAAGGGTCGGCCAGCGTCGATCGGATGAGTGATGCCTGATTAATCACGATGGTTCTTACAAATCTTCAATAACTTGTCCATTATTATTATATTATAAGAATATATTATTGTTCACATCATCAACTACTCTGTAAAACCTGATGATCAGGGTTGTGTCGCTCTTCTCCGACGCTTCTCCGAACTATCGGATTAGGGCTGGGCAGGTTAGCGTGCCTGAAGCCAGTGGCGTCGACCGAGTCTGACCGATCTGATTTAATTTCTTTCCTCCAGGAGACTTCAGTTAGTAGTGTCCTAGATTTGCCCTAATTCTGGCCAATTCTTGCAGTCTTAGCGCGGGACTCCGTTGATCGACCTGCACATCTCCCTTCCAGCCATAGTGCAGCTTCCCCTTCCCATAATATTCAATATGATGGTCTCCTCCCCGTCTCGCCCTAACCCCATCCTGAATCCTGGGCCCTGAACTCGCAATGTCTCACTGCCACGCTAGGATACCCATCATCCACGCCAGATGGGTCTGTCAATCCTGTCAATCCAAATCACGACAGAGGGCTAGTGATGTCTTAGGATTAGATCGCGATCGATCGATCCTTGTACCCAGCTGACTGGGATTGTAGATTCCACTAGAAGTTAGCAAAGCTGGGAAAATAAATCAAATTCTAAAAATGAAACCTGAAATCGACCAATCCAATAGGGTGATTAAGGGTTTTCCCACCGCCATGCGCTGAACGACTCCATCTCCACTTTTGTCGGACGAAGTGGCTGGCTAACACCGTGCTGTCGGTATCTTCCTATATAACCTCCTGGGACTCCCATTGTTCTTGAATTATAGATCAAATCAGATCATACGCCTTCAATCTTCATCCATCTCTATCTCTTTAAATCGACTCTTACCTTGACCTCTATCTCTCTCGACTCGACTATCCTCTGCTCTACTCTTCTACTTCAACATGACCTACAGAACCAACTACGAACCATACGTAAGTCCTTCTACACCATCAAACCAGAACAACCACTTACAAAAATCAGACCACCCGTCCCCTCGATACAACCATGAACATCAACACGGGCTTCGACACAGACTCCGAAATGGAACGCACCTCCGAAGAAATCCTCTACCCACTGGGCTCTCTCTACCCCCACGTCGTCGCCCTCCAACTCCAAGCCGACGAGAACCCCTGGTCCAGATCCAAGATCTACGCGGGCTACCACGATTCCAACTACTGGTCGGACATATCGGTGCCGAACTCCCCTTCATCGGAACATTTCAACAAACCTAGCGGTGAGTCTCTCTTTTTTCTGTTGCAAATGCAGATCAACCCCACAATACACACACCTATCACATTTGCTAACGCGGCTGCGAACAGACTCCACAGCTGGCCGGTTCGTTTCCAGAATACGACGATTCCTCAGCCGCGACGATCTGAAACGACGCCAGCGGTCTTGAATCTTTTGACCCTTGACTGAGACATGGGTCTTTCGGATACGTCTCTCACTGTACCATTTTTCTTTCGTTTTCTTTCGTCTTTCTTCTTTGGAGTCTTTCGAACACTTCACTCCATCAATGTTTAATGTCTAAGCCCGCCACACGCGAACAATACCCCTGTTCTGTCAAGATCTCTTTTCATTTGTCTTTTCGTCTGACTCTGTCTGCAACGCATCTTGCAAGCCTTCTCTCTTTGAGCCTTTCTTTTTGTCTTCTTTCATCTCTTTCGTCTGTCTGTTCTGGGTTAGCGAGGAGTCATCATCATCATCATCATCATTCAAGCATCGGCGAACGAGCATCCTGTACATTTATCTCGGTTGATTTTACATATCTGCATGGTTGGTTAGATCGGACTAGCATATCATACATCATATCCTAAATGGAGCACTACTATTATATTACCGAAGGACCATAAACGAGACAATGAATACCTAGTATACGATAAACTCTCGGCCCCAACCCAATCTGTCACCACCCTATCTGATAATCTCCTCAGCAAAGTTTCCCACCTTACAGCCCACCTACCAATTACCCAAAGTAAGCAAGGAAAGTGACCCAGCCATCCTCGAGCCAACCCAAACCAAACCAAACCAAACCCTAAAGTTCAACCCATGAACCCAACCGCACCACCCGCCAACAAAACATATCACCCCCCCAACCTGCAAAACCCCTGCAGAACATGACTCCTCACACTCCCCAGGGGCACAGCACCCCCTTCATGCTTCCTATTCGAGAAAACACCACAAGACACCTCATACGAACCGGCCCGGTCCTTACTCACACCGCCCTTGTACCCGATTTGATTCCGTCCCGTTTAATCGGAGCTATATACTAGACTCTATGTAGAGTGCGGGTACTGCCGTCTTGCTTCTCACGGACCTAGTTTGAGGCCGCAGATGGGCTGTCATATGCGAGTGATGGGGGTGGTGGTGTTGACGGCGCGTGCCTCGGGTTTGCGTGCTGGATAGTATTCATCTGGTTGTTTTTCTCAGGGGTGGGTTGGTTGGACCTGCGTGTGTGGTGTCATATGATATGTTTTGGTTCGCTGTGCTGGAATGGAGCGGGTAGCGCGTGAGGTTATTTTTTTGCTGCTGTTTTGATATCTAACTGTCTTGGTATGCGGTGTTTGCTTGGGGTGGGTTTGATCGTAGATATCTAGATACCTTGGGACTCGGGTTGGTTTTAGTATACAGCTATGGACTTGAGTTTGCGTTTGCGTTTGCGTTTTCTTAGCTATATAGGTACTTGATACACTCTATAGTTCATGTCCAGTCATTTCTTAGTAGTAGACAGTAAGTAGTGTATAGCATGGTGTCTACCTATGTGACGTAAGTAGGCAGTATAAAATCACAAACCCATATTATCCAGGAAAAACCACCCACCCGGCCAAGAATGAAGAGAAAAAGAAAAGAGCACGACCTCACCCTGCAGCATACCGATCATTCGATGATCCCTCCCACCACGACCGTGGCACCATGGTCACCGCCTGTCCAGAGTCCACGAACCGGTTTGCATTGAAACTCAATCAAGAAATTGATCTGATCATCTACTTACTATACTGATATTGATAGCTATATCACATCCACCTAGTCCATAAACACTACATCACATACGTCATATCATATCATATGCAGGCACACAAGACACGCATCGCTAGATAGACACACGTACACTCCACGCACCCCACAAAATACCGCAGGAGGAGGCAGTGGCAGTGGCAGTGGCAGGGTGGTAGTGTGGGGTCACTGGGGTGGAGGAGAGACAGACCGACGATCACGATGGACATTAGTAAATATTAGCCGGCCAAACACCGTGCATGCTTGCTTCTTCAGGAGTAGGAGTAATGCCAATATCGCTATTTACCGGTATATGCTCGGTTAACTAGTTGGGATTTGCATTCGGATATCACACCTATTCCTGCTTCTCCCCTCCCCTGTGCGTGTCTATGCAGGTCGTGCTGCAGGGTGGGTTGATCACGGGAGTTGAGCTGGGCTGGGGTGCATGGTGGGGTTTGCTTTTTCTTGCTTTCTTTCTTTCTTTTCTTTTTTCTCTCTTTTTTTGTTTGTTTGCCTTGATTCATTTGGTTTTGGGTCGTAGGATTGTGGAGTAGATGGGTGGATTATTAGCATACTGCGATACTTGGTGAACGAATACGACTAGATAGTAGATAGTGGGTAGTAGAGTAGGTAGGCGAGTGATCATTAGGAAAGCGTACAGGATGCCGTTGATAGCCGGTTCAATTTTGTCAAGCTAGGATACTGGGGCTCATAAACATAGAACGATAACATTCCTCATGCTAACTCCATGAAATCAAATCAAACTGAACTGTGTACAGTGCGGGGATTGAAACAAAATGGGTATAGAATCCAATGATCGCATATCACCGACCGTGCAAAGGGTAAACATCTGTGCATCTGCATCAAACCAAGAGGGAAACAGAAAAAAGGGAAAGATAGAGAGAAAAAGAGGGAGGGAGAGAGAGAAAACCAGAAAGAAACCATAACTCCATCAGCTCATCAGGAACTTTTCCCGCGTTCCATATCCCAGCATCTCAAATCCGTAGGAAACTGTCAAGGAGTGAAGCACCGTGATCGTAATCCATAATCCATAAAAATAAACCATAACCGTAAACGTCGTAGGAATGATGGGTCGGAAAGGTCAGATCGAAGTCATATCCCCCATTAGCATATCCTGTCAATCTGAACCAGCAGATGTAACTCCATCAACCAGCTCTTTATTATGCAAGAATCCCAGAGCCAGATGTTCCCGACCCCCATCGGAACTGCTTCAGACCACCCCGGACGGCTTCCTGCCCGCAGGCGGCCGACGTCCTGCCGCTCGCGAGGCTACCGTCCCCCATGACGGATCCAACCCCTGTGGCCTCCATCCTCCCCACCTCGCGACCCAGCACGTAGCCGGCGGAAAAGCTGATGGCGGAAAAAAGCACCACGACCCCGGCGCTGATCACCCAGGTCATGATGGTGGGGCTGTTTGTAGGCTCGCTCGTGGCCGTCCGTCGGCCCTTCTTGATGGAGGCACGGTCTTTCGAGGCGGACGACCGGCGTTTCCCTCTGGGGGTGCCCGGTGCCACGGGCTGTGCTTGGGGTGCGGACCGCGGAGCCTGGGCGGCACCTGGAGTTTCGGGGGCGGACGGGGTCTCCTGTTCCATGACTTCCTCGCCCATCGCGACCGACTCAGAGACCATCCGGAAGGATGACGGTTGGCCTCGGCTGCTGGGACCGGTCGGTGTGGGCTGCGTCTCCGGTTTTGGCAGGCCTCGAGCGGCGGCGGCACACGAGAGTAAGGTGGACAGGCTGGCGCGAAGGGCGGCATCGTGGTCGGCCTGATAGGACGGCGAGATCATGTTGTAGGGACTGTGTTGTTGCGACCGGCGTCGGGCGGATTGGCTGCTGGTCTGGGAGCTCCGCCGGATCGCCGTCCGTCGACTGCAGTTTGACACGTCGCTGGGCTGCGAACGGTGCCGGTCTACAGGCCGTGTCCAGGATGGGTCCCGGGTTGCAGGGGGATGCGAGAAGACATTGGGCTGGGGCACAAACGGCGAAGAGCTGATGCGCATTCCGAGGGCGGTCGAGTTGTCATCCTCGTCGCTGGACGGACCGGCGTCATCGGAGGGCGATGAAGACGGCGCCGATCGCGGCTGGGATGGAACGGCAAGAGACCGACGGGGCATCTCTTCGTTGGAACTGCTGAGGACCCGATCTGACTCGCTCTCGCTTTCATCATATTCCTCCTGGCTGCTACTTGCTTCCCGCGAAGAATAATCGACCTCGGCGGCGGTGATGGCAGCCAGGTGCTGCAGACGACGTCGGCGACTGCGCTGGTGGTAGGGTCGGGAACCATCCTGCTCCACCCGAAGGCCCGTCGTGATGATGTCGTCGCTGGTGCCGGCCGAGGAGAGGGAGGACGAAGACGGTTGGGACGCGACTTCAATCCACGAATCTATATAATACCGAAGTGAGTACATGGTGGCGGTGGTACCATCGAAAGTATTTGAACAAGAAGTATAACATCTGCATGCTGGACTGTCTCTGCAGGGGCAAAGGCTTAGGGGAGGGGAGGGATGGGGAGGGGTAGGATATGTATTATCTCCAGAGCGTGGCGTACCTTCAGATCTCGTGGGAGCAACACCCGACGGAGGGCGTGACTGAAGGGGATTCTGATGATGAACGTCGCGCGTCACTGGACCGCCCGGTCGGGACTCTTCCTGCACCTGACCCAGTAGGTCATAGTGATTGGGCTGCATGGCTCTGTAGTGGAGAGGCAACGGCGAGATGGAGACGGTCGAGATGAACAGTCGAGAGCAGAAGCGTCCGTACAATGAAAAAGATGACGAGAAAGAGGGGAAAGGAAAACGATATAGATGGATGAATAGATAAGGGGGATGGAAAAGTAGGCGGGACCAGGCCGTCAATGTATATCAATCAGGCCACCAAACACTGCAAGCCTCCCGGGCTGTACTTCGTAGCGGTCAAGACTGGTGGGTGGCCACGACGCAATGCAACTGGTTCTGGCGGGGGTGGATGTGAGGGGGGCGATAGTCGCACTCTAAATGATTGATTATCTTATCAGGTTCCCCTCCCGTGGTGGAGAGAACGGATCGTCCAATATATGAAGGATGTCCTTCTTTGTCTGGCGGTGTCTTCAGTGTCTTCCCCAGGTTGTGCGATGGTGGCTTTGGGGGTGCGTATTTTCTCTTTCTCTTCTCTGGGACTGGACCAGAACCACAAAGGAGGGGTGACAAGGGAGCAGAGAGGCTAAAAAGGACGGGAGGCTGAGCCAGTCAGCTCTGGGATTCTCTGCTGATGAAGCCACTGGTCAGTAGATCATCCGACAACGGACAGCTGACTTGTCAATCACGGTCGCAGACATTTGCACCAGACCCAGTCAGAGGAAGGGTGGAATGTAGGATGGGATGAACAGGCAGAATGGTGGATGAACAAGAGAGGGGAAGATGAAGAATGATGTCAAGAAAAGTGGGGAGAGTAAGGAGAAAGAGAAGAGGAAGAAAGATCCAAACAATGAGATCCGTCGATGGACCCGCCGGGACCAGAGGATGCCCCAGGTACTCAGGCAGTCAGGCCGCCATCCCCCATCTGTCTCCTTCTCCATCTACAGTCACCTCCTGGGAAAAAAACATCATTATAGCCGTATATTATCAAGAATCTATCAACTAACGACTATAGTAATATAAATAGTAATAGATAAAAATAGGAAAAAGAGAACAAACTTTTTAATAGGCCCAGAACCAGTCAGCAAGAAAAAAAACACCCATACGTAATCCTACAGAATCAACCCGGATATTCGAAACAATTAATGGTCATGACAACGTGAGCGATTAGAAGGTGACCTTGGTGCCCTTGTACTCAGGGATGTTACCCCGAGCCTTGTTGGGAGCACCATCGCGACCGCCGAAGCCGCCACCGAAGCTGCTGCCACCACGGCCACCACCACGGCCACGGCCACCACCACCACGGGGGCCACCGCGGCCGCCACCGCGGCCACCGAAGCTACCACCACGGCCACCACCACCGCCGCCGTTGTTCTGGCGGGGGGTGCTGAAGTCCAGACGGACGGAACGGCCGTTCAGGTCAGCGCCGTTGAGGTCGTTGTAGGCCTGGCGAGCCTCATCCACCGAAGAGTACTGGACGTAGCCGAAGCCCTTGGGGCGGCCCGACTCGGGGTCGGTGGGCAGACGGATACCCAGAACGGTACCCTTGTCACCGAACAGCTCGTGCACGGCATCCTCGTTGGCGCTGAAGGGAAGGTTGCCGACGAACAGAGTGTCGCTCTCGGGGCTGGCCTGGTCACCGAAGCTACGGGCACGGTTCTGCGCACGGTCGTTGCCCTGGCCCTGGTTGTTGGCCGGACGCTGGGTGGCATAGTCCAGGTTGACGGGGCGGCCGTCGATATCTTGGCCCTTCTTGTTCTCAAAGGCCTTGGCGGCATCGACAGCGCTGGTGAACTCGACATAGCCGAATCTGGGGACCGTTAGTATGACAGGATCCATTGTTTTCGGTATGGTGGTTGAACTTACCCGCGGGAGCGACCAGTGTCACGCTCAGTCACGATGCGAGTGCCGGCAATCTCACCGAACTCCTCGAACTCGCGCTGCAGCCACTCCTCGTCCACGTTCCACGACAGGTTGCCGACGAACAGGTTGGCCGACGCGCCAGCGGGGGCCTCCTCGGTCTTGGACTTCTTGGGAGTAGCGGACGACTCATCCTCGGCCTTGCGCTTCTTGGAAGGCTTCTCGCTCTCGGAGGAGTCGGAGGAGTCAGAGTCGGAGTCCGAGTCGGAGTCCGAGTCGGAGTCAGAAGAGTCGGAAGATTCCTGTTGGCCGTTAGTATTACAATCATATATCAAGGGAAGAGATGGTCCATACCTTCGCGGCCTTCTTGGCCTTGGGGGCCTCCTCCTCGCTCTCAGAGTCGGAGGAGTCGGACGAATCAGAGTCGGAGGACTCCTTGGCGGCCTTGGTGGCCTTGGCGGGCTTCTCCTCCTCAGACTCAGAGTCAGAGTCGGAATCAGAGTCGGAAGACTCGGCCTTCTTGGCAGCGGGCTTCTCATCCTCAGACGACTCGTCCGAGGAATCCGAAGACTCGGAAGACTCCTCCTTCTTAGCGGCCTTCTTGTCGGCCTTCTTGGGCTCAGCCTTGGCCTTCTTGGCGGGCTTCTCCTCCTCGCTCTCGCTCTCGCTGCTGGAGGCATCCTCCATGTCCTCATCGGACTCGGAGGAGTCGGAAGAGTCAGAAGACTCAGCCTTCTTGGCGGGCTTCTTCACCTCCTTCTTGGCGGGCTTCTTCTCCTCCTCGCTCTCGCTGCTGGAGCTGGAGCTGGAGTCCATCTCCTCGTCGCTGTCCGACTCGGACGAGCTGCTGGGAGTAGGGGCCTTCTTCTTGCGCTGGGCCTTCTCCTCCTTGGCAGAGAGCTTGCGAGCAATCTCCTTACCCTTGGACTTGGGGGACTCGGAGCTCTTGGAGACACCGGCACCCTTGACCTTGGACAAGGTCTTGTCAACAGGCTTCTCACCACCCTTCTTGGAAACAGACTTGGTCTTGGACATTTTGAATCTATGAAAAAGAGGGTTAGCCAGGAAACAACAAACGGGGTTCAGTGGAAGATATCCTTACCAAGTAATGATAATCAACGGAATAAAACCCACAAAGTTCAGTGCGGCAGAAATAACCCTCAAGCACCCGATTTGATCAAGCTCTGGTCAATACCCACAAGTAACCGACAATGACAATGTTCAAGCCCACGATAGACAGGAGAAATGCAACCGTCTGTGATTTAGAAACCCACGAGATTAACCCAAAGATCCCACAAAGATTGCGATAGCCCACAGCCCTCAGTGTATACAGCCCACAAGGTGTCTGTTGAAGTGTGTAAGTACTAGCTCAGAGGATATCAAACCACTGAGAAGATAAGATAGGTTACTTAGGGAATACTAAGCAAGGGGAAAAGAAGTAAAGATGAGTGAAGGATGAAGGAAGAAGAAAAAAAAAATCCGGAGGAAGGGGAGAATTTAAGAGAAGAGAAGAGCAGGAAAAAAAAGAGGAAAATTTCAGCACTGATAAGATTGACCGCTCGAGCTAAGAAGAAAAAAAAAAAAAAAAAAATGGGGTGGCTGGCAGAACGACTGACCGCTTTCTGCAACCCCCAGGCAGTAAGGCAGTAAGGCAGTAAGGCATCTAGGCACCCAGGCACCGAGGTACCACCCGCTGACTCAGCAGCTGATCAAGTGGGTCTCAGAACAGAGTGTCAACCTTACTATCTACGGAATCATCTCGACTGGACCACAGCGCTACCTCACCTTCTGTCAATCTCAATGGGTCATTCTTGATCTCTTCCACATCATGGCCCCTTCATATCGTCCTCGCAAGAAGAGAAAGTCTCCGACCTCGTTCACCGGTTCCAATAGCTCTCTGATGGTGGAGACCGGAAATGGATCTTCCTCACCGGCCTTTCCTCTCGTCTCCTTCCTGTGGGCAGCTCGGGCAGGGGTCTCGCAATGGCTCGTGCTCCCGCTGATTCTGATGGCGGTAGGTCTGTTCAGATGGGCTGTCAGTCTTTGGGGATACTCGGGTATGTGAATCGAATACAATGGTCGAACATCCCGGTCAGGAGGTCGGTCACTCATGGAACGCAGGCTTTCAGGTCCCTCCGATGCACGGCGATTTCGAGGCGCAAAGACACTGGATGGAGATTACGTTCCATCTGCCCATGTTCAAATGGTACACCTATGACTTGCAGTATTGGGGTCTCGATTACCCGCCATTGACCGCATACCATAGTTGGCTGCTGGGTAAAATGTACGTGGACCCTGGTGGGATTGGGAGCTGTGGGCATGGTTGAAAGTGACTAACGAGGTGTAGCGGCGTAATGTTTGATCCCGCTTGGTTTGCACTCGATGCGTCGCGTGGATTCGAAGACCCCCGGCTGAAGGTTTTCATGCGCGGCACCGTTGTGGTGTCCGAGTACCTGGTATATATCCCGGCTGTCGTCACTTTCCTCCGCCGCTACTCCCGGAGGCAGGATGTCCCCGTTTGGTCCGCCTCAATCGCCCTCGTCGCAGTTCTCCTTCAACCGGCCACCATCCTGATTGATCACGGACACTTCCAATATAACACGGTGATGCTGGGTCTCGTGGTCGCCAGCTTGGATGCCATCATGGCTGGGCGCATGCTCTGGGCCTGCATCTTCTTCGTGGGTGCGCTGGGGTTCAAGCAGATGGCTCTCTATTATGCACCCGTCATGTTCGCCTTTTTGCTGGGCGTCTGTGTGTTCCCCCGGATCCGGATCCTCCGTCTCTTTTGCATCGCGCTCACTACACTGCTCGCGTTTACGGCACTCTTCGCTCCATTGCTTGTCGGTGCAACGAACGGTGAGGCTCGAGCGGCGTTGGCCCAGGCAGAACAGCCCCCTCTATTGCAGGCGCTAGATATCAAGCTTGAAAAGGACTCGCGACTCTACGCCGTCCTCTTCCAACTAACCCAGGTCATCCATCGAGTCCTCCCGTTCGCCCGCGGTCTGTTTGAAGACAAGGTTGCCAACGCCTGGTGTGCCATCCATACTTTCTACAAGCTCCATCGATTCGAGACAACCCTTCTTCAACGCATGTCACTCGGCGCCACGCTGGGATCGATCCTCGTCCCCTGTGCCATCATTTTCCGCCACCCCCGCGCATCTCTCCTTCTCCCGGCCATGTCCAGCGTCGCGTGGGGGTTCTTCTTGTTCTCCTTCCAGGTCCACGAGAAGAGCGTCCTGCTCCCCCTGCTCCCCATGACCCTTCTACTTGCAGGCGACGGCGGCCTGAGCAAGGAGACCCGAGCGTGGGTGGGATGGGCCAACATCCTCGGATCGTGGACGCTCTACCCTCTCCTAAAGCGTGACGGCCTGCAGGTACCCTACTTCGTCATGACCCTCCTGTGGGCCTACCTGCTCGGTCTCCCCCCAGTCTCGCTAGAAACCTACCGCAGCCGACCTTCCCTAGAGGACTCCGCCGCGACTTCGGAGCCCAACCTCGGCACGAAGCTCCTTCACACCTGTTTCTACCTAGCCATGATCGCCTGGCACATTCTGGAGGCCACCGTTCCAGCGCCACCCACCAAACCCGACTTGTGGGTGGTGCTCAACGTCCTCATCGGCGCCGGCGGGTTCGGCATCGCGTACCTGTGGTGCTGCTGGAAACTGATCGGACAGTGCTGGGTGATTGACCGGCGGACGGCGGAGGAACTCCAGAAGAAGAGGCAGTGATGTGGTATCTGAGTATTTCGCTTTATATTTGACCATGTATTATAATGATACCCCGTTCGTTTTCGACTTACTCCATAATTCGACCAGATGAACTCTACATCATGAGCGATGTGTATGGGAGAAAAAAAGCACAATTCTATCTGTGTATCAATACATAGACGCCAACCCCATAAGAAGCAGTAGTTAATGTACAAGGCCAACCCGCAGGAGAGATTGATCCCAACCAACCCATCCAATAATCAAAAAACAATAGTATACACATCAACCGTCACCACTTTCCATCATATATCCCTATACCAACCATCACAGCATGAACCAGGTCAAAACAAAGCAATCAAGCTAAACCTTGAACCCAAACCCAGCCATGCAGCTCTTATACTGATCGATGGTAGACTTGCACTCCTGCGTGGGGTCTTCCGTCTTGGAGAAGAGCATGCAGTCGTCGCGGGTGGCTTTTTCGGTCTTGCAGACGCAGCAGGGCTATACGTGTTGTTAGTGGTGTTGCACCCAATGAAAGTAATGGTGGTAATGTGGTGAGGCGTACCTTGGGCTTGTCGGCTGGTGCGGCGGTTTGGGATTGGGTGGGGGGGTTGGATGCGGGGGCGGATTCTGTGGAGCCTTGAGAGACAGATTGTTAGATTGGTTTAAATTGTTCAAATAGTATTGGGGATGGAGGATAGTATGAAGAATGGTTGATGTTGTATAAATGGGTCTGGTCTGTATGCGGAGGAAGACGGAGGAGAGATCGGAGGGATGATGGATGGGTGGTTGCTTACCGCTGGAGGTGCCGAAGAGGGACATTGTGGATGATTTTGGATGTTTTCCCTTTTTATTCCCGAATGAAGAAGTAAAGAAAGAATGAAGGAAGGAAAAGGTCAAGTAGACAGGATCGAAGGAATGGCATCAGATGTAAAGATAGAGAAAAGGATGGAGTGCTGAGTAATGTTGCGGTCCGGAGGATCGGCGATTTGTGTTCCCGACAGAGACCGTTCATTCCTCTTTCGGCTTTAGTGTCCAGTTGATCTTTTTGCTTCACATTCGCTCAGCGGCGCTTCTTTTCCTTTCTCCTTTCCGTCTTGACTTCTTTCTACTTTGGCAATTGCTTTCTCTGGGCTGAGACGTCGTCTTGGATTTGACTAGACTTACTTTATTTCTACTTTTCTACACCGTTAGACATTCGCATTTCTTTTCGCAAGCCTCTCCCCCTGAAATTACCCCGCCATGGCCCCTCCAAAGGTTTTTTCTCTCGAAGGCAAGGGCCTCAAGCTCGACACCGCTGCGGATACCGAATCCCACATCAAGCCCTTGCTGGAGAGCACCGATTTCACCGAAGTCCGGCTGGGCGGAAACACCCTGGGTGTGCCCGCCTGTCAGCGCCTGGCCGCCGCCCTCTCGACCCAGAAGACCCTCGAAGTCGCCGAACTCGCCGACATCTTCACCGCGCGTCTCATCGAAGAGATCCCCGCTGCCCTCTCCCACCTCCTCGACGCCCTCCTGGAGATCCCCTCCGTGCACACCGTCAACCTGTCCGACAATGCCTTTGGCAAGCGCACCCAGGACCCCCTCATCAAGTTCCTGTCGCAGCACGTACCCCTCCGCCACCTGATCCTGAACAACAACGGCATGGGTCCCGACGCCGGTGCCAACATCGCCAATGCGCTCACCGACCTGGCTGCGCGCAAGGAGGAGGCCCGCAAGGGTGGCAACACCGTGCCCCACCTCGAGAGCATCGTCTGCGGGCGCAATCGGCTGGAGAACGGCAGCATGGCGGCGTGGGCCCGCGCCTACGAGGTCCACGCGCGCGGCATGCGCTCGGTGAAGATGACCCAGAACGGCATCCGTCAGGAGGGCATCTCGCTGCTGCTGAAGGAGGGTCTCCGCCACGCTAGCGGGCTCGAGGTTCTCGATCTGCAGGATAACACCTTCACCGTGACGGGGTCGACCGCGCTGGCCGGTGTGCTGCCTGGCTGGCCCTGGCTGCGGGAGCTCGGTGTCGGCGACTGTCTGCTGGGTGCCCGTGGCGGCGTCAAGGTCGCGCAGGCCCTGGCCGAGGGTAAGAACCAGCGGGTGGAGACGCTGCGTCTGCAGTATAACGATATCACGGCGGAGGGCGTCAAGCAATTCCTCCACGCGACCAAGACGGCACTCCCCGCGCTGCGCCGCATCGAGCTCAACGGCAACAAATTCGAGGAGGATGACAGCAACGTGACCGATCTGCAGGAGGTTCTGGAGGCCCGCAAGGACGAGCACGGCCACGACAGCGATCCGGAGGACATGTGGGGTATGGACGAGCTGGATGAGTTGGAAGAAGAGAGTGAGGCGGAGGAAGAAGAAGAGGAGGAGGAGGAGGAAGAAGAGGAGGCCAAGGCCGAGAAGGAAGTCAAGATCGCGGAGGAGGCCGAAGAGGCGAAGGTTGCGCAGCGGGAAGACAAGGATGTCGACAAGCTGGCCGAGACCTTTGGCAAGACCACGATCTAGATCAGGTCCCTGTCTTGTTTGATTCTCTTCCCCCGCCCTCGCTTTTCGTTGTTATACCCCTCTTGATACAACGGCAGAGTCAAGTTACCCCATGCAGGAGCTCGACACATGGTCATGTCTGATGACGTGGTTTCGCGGCCGACCTGCGTCTCATCTGATCCCGACCTATAAAATAGTCAAGAGAATGGGTCTGCGGCCAGACACTCCTAGTGGCCGGTCTTTCTCGGTCGCTCTGATATCCCATCCCATCCCCTCCACCCCCGAGTCGTGTCCACCGTTGAACAGACCGATACCCTTCGTCTCTGTGTTCGATGCCTGCCATCAGTTCTCGACGATCTGGCATGTCTTTGGACAGTCGGGTTGTCAGGATTGTTGATGATCTTTTTTTACGAATGTACCCAGTTCCCACGATGTATATAATGTTTTAGAAAAAAGAATCCTTCTGATCTGTGTTGCGGTGTGGATTGTTGGGGAAGAGTCGGTGTAGTCAGCTGCATGTCATATGTCTGTTTTATAGAGTCAAAATCGCTCTACGATCTCCTCTAGCATAACGATGGCAGATCGAGTACTCTGGTTGGGATGAAGTTGAGGATCTTTCTCCTCGTAAAATACCAGCGCAATTGGTTTTGACTACAGGAGTTACAATGCAATATATTGATTTACACTAACATATCCAACATATATAACATCTACCAAATATCATCCTGTATAGAAATCCACCTTGAAGTTATCCAGCCAAGCAAACCATTCCCAAACAGGCAATTCGGGCTTGGCGTCCAGAGCAACAAGAATGACCGAAACTCCGTCTTCAACTTCCCACCTCATCATCTTTTTCTTCCCTCATCCTCCCTACCCCTCCACCAGTCGAGCTATCTCCGCGCCGTTTATTCCAGTTCTATTTGACGGATTCGCGTGCCATCCGCTCTTTTCCAGCCTACGCTCCCCACCCCGCGCGACGGATCTCGAGGTCACCCGGGCTGACTCGAGTATGTGAGTGCGCCAACCCCTCTCTCCTTGCTTTGGTTGTTGTCCCCTTCAGTGGTGTTTTTTCTTTGCGTTTTTTGCGCTTCATGCGCTTTGTGCGCTTTGTTGGGTGGGACATATCGGGATTGAGGGTTTGATGAGCTTTATGTGAGGTGTGCCTGAGTTTATGCGACGAGTGGGTTTTGCGGAATCTGCGGCGCATATTCTGGTGGGTGTTTCTTGGGGACAGATTGCGATGGGGTTTCTATTACTTTTGATGCGCTTTTTGTCGGTGTCGTTTGCGCTATTCGATGGATCATTTGTCTTTGCTGTTTCTTTGCTATCTTCTTGCTATTTCTTTGCTACACTACTCATCCTATTAGCCATGTCACCCCGCTAATACCGAATAGAGCCCTTTAGCTCTCTATCGAATCGCCGATTGGCTCCTCTCCCCCGACATCATGCCGATGGACGCAAAGGAAATCGAGGTCAAGTCGAAAGCCTTGGCCAAAGCCACCGCCCAGAATGAGCCACCCTCCACCCTGCTGCAGATTCTGAAAGAGCTTCAGCAAGGCGTGAAGGCGACGGAGGACCTGCTGCGATCCACCCGAGTGGGCATCATCGTCAACAAGCTCAAGCAGAACAAGGCTCCCGAGGTGGCCCGCCTGGCCAGCGAGATCGTCTCCAGATGGCGCAATGAGGTGAACAAGCAGAAGGCGAGCGGATCCCCTGGAGCCAGTCGGCGGTCCAGCGGGTCGCCGCGCCCACCCCAGAACGGAACCGCCTCGCCCGCCGGCACGCCGACCGACAAATTGTCGAAGCTGTCGGTGCCCCCGGAGAAGCGCACCTGGAAGGCCGACGGAGTGGACATCAACCAGACGTCCAACAAGAGCCGCGACAACTGCATCGGCCTGATGTACGACGGCCTGTGTCTCAACTCGACCGAGCCGCCCCGTCATGTGCTCTCTAAAGCCAGCGCAGTCGAAGCGGCCGCCTACTCGGCCTTCGGCCCCGAAACCAAGGAAGGGTACCGCACCAAGATCCGCAGCCTGTTCCAGAACCTCAAGAACAAGTCGAACCCCAAGTTACGGGTGCGGGTGCTCAGCAGCGAAATCGCGCCGGAGGACTTCGTCAAGATGTCGCACGAGGAGCTGCGATCCGTGGAGCAGCGCGAGCAGGACCGCAAGATCCAGAAGGAGAACATGGACAAGGCGATGGTGGCGCAGGCGGAACGCAGCATCAGCACCAGTCTACAGTGCGGCAAGTGTGGCCAGCGCAAGGTGACTTACACTGAAGCGCAGACGCGCAGCGCTGATGAACCGATGACGCTGTTTTGCACTTGTGTGAATTGCGGCAAGTCCTGGCGGCAGTAGCCATTCTTTATCCTCTTATATTTATCAGTTCGGTATACTCATCATGCTCTCTCTCTCTCTCTCTCTCTTTCTCCCTCTCTTTTACACACACTCTCTCTTTTATTCTATTTTTTTTTTTTTTTTTCTCCTTATCCAGGTTGTCACATTACTGACCCCCCAGACCCCCGGCACGGAGTTTCGAGGTTGATTTAAACAAGACGGACAGACGGGCATTTCTTGGGATCCGGATGTCTGGGGGGCTCTTTTTACTTCTTTTTCTTTTTTCTTTTTCTTTTCTATTCTTTCATTGTTTTGGACCGGGGTAGATAGATGACTTAACGATGTATTGGATTTGATTTGATGACACGACGTAGAGACATTGTATTAATAGACGGAGATTCTCGTCGACGATGATAAGTTGTCTTTCTTGCTGGCCTCACTGTAAGAGATTGAGTTGCTGTTTCTGGTTTCTGGTTTATGGTTTATACATGATTGACTCCGCATCGACTCCGCAGAGTAGAGCTGCAATCCTACATACGTCATCACTACAACCTACCTCATATGCAAGCAAGCAAGCATACATCAATCCCATCCCCTCATCAACCCAAACCCAACACACAGTTCAAAGCTCCCCAAAGACAAACCCCAGTCAATCAATCAAAATTCGCACCCAGCAACGACCGTCACCACCGAGCTCAATCAGAAATCATAACCACAGAAAATGGCCCCCCAAACCCCACCCCCAACACGAGCCTCTCTCATCGCACCAGTCCGCACCCTCTGCACAGCCTTCTCCTCGGCCTCTTCCCCAGAAACCCTCGCCTCATCATTCACACGAACCCCCGCACCCCTCGCGCACGAACACGGCCTGCCCGCCCTCGCTCCCTTCCTCGGGCGAGACTTCACCGGCGCAGAGGGCATAAAGCGCTATTTCGCTCTCGTAGCGGGTGAGTTGGCGATTGAAAGGATGGACTTCGATGATGAGAGCGACTGGGTTGTGGATGGGGTGGCTATGGCTGTTGCGTTGAGGGGGAGGGCGCGGTTTGTGTGTAGGGCGAGTGGGGAGGGGTGGGATGAGACTTTTTTCTATAGGGTTGGGGTGGCTTTCGAGCAGGAGGATACTGGGGGGGTTACGAAGGGGGAGTTGAAGGTTAGGGAGTATAGGGTTTGGGCGGATACGGGGGCTGCGTACTTGGCTAGGGTGGGGAGGTTGGGGGGTGTTTTGAGGGGGGAAATTTCTTCTGATGAGGGTTCTTCTTTGAAGAAGGGTGGTGGGCATGATAAGGTTGATTGATTGAGGGGGGATGTATGTGTGTGTATAGCTGGTTTGAAAGAATCATTTGTCGTGTTTGATAGACTGGCTATGTTGATGGATACCCGGTCTGCTGTCGGATATCAACTCTTCGTGGACTCACAATTGCCGTGTGTCTGTATGACTATCGATATCTCGGGACTTCAGAACCGTATGGTGTCTGTCTGGTCCTCTTGATGCAGCAATGGAGTTATACATGGGACTGGGTCGTGGTCAGCGTGAGTCAGGAACGAAGACGTGTCATATTCTGAAGAATAGAGTCTGGAAATGAGAATCACCATAGCGTGAAACTGAGAGCGTGTTGGCCCATCAGTCTGCACGTCCTGTGGAGTCGATGTTGTTCGCCAGATGTTGTTGAATTGTTGTTTCACGATGCCTGAGGGGGGCTGATTTAGAGACATCATCCTGTTCTCTGCGTGGGATTTTCATCGACTGTCTGGACGATGTTGCAGTGGGAGGTGTTTGGCTGGATATGGCCATAACCATGTTTGAGCAAACTTGGAGCGATACGTAGCATTGGCGAGGTAAAGCTACTTTGTTGCTAGGCATAGGACTGCGACAAAAACAAGAGTTTCATGTTTCTCCTTCGAGAAATTCTTCTAGTCAGAACTGTATACCACAGCTTACAGGAATATATATCACCCACACAGCACTTCCTGACTGAATTTCTCCTAGGATTCTCGAAGACTGTCTGCCAAATTAACCCAGAAGCTACCAAACAGAGAATATACGTTCCGAGAGAGTCATATTTCAGCTATTCTGCCCATTCTCACCTCTATGCTAGCCACTTACCCACCGTCCACTTCCACGCGGTTGATCCCGTCTAAGTGATATCTGCCGTGGTGGTGTAAAGTCAACCCCACGTGGAATTAGCAACTGGAGTATATCTGGCAATCTACATAGATCAATTGCTTGAAAAGCTCTCAACTACCAGTCATGTTGAGTCGATGTCATGAGCGAGACAAGATAACGCGTTACAGCCTCGTTGCTGCCTCAGGCAGATTTTGACATCACCCCTCTTCTTGTCAGCTTGATGCTGCCATCTTACACCTCTCAGACATCACCACAATACCTACTTCCACATACATACACACTCCTCATCATGCTACCCACAGACCTCGTAGAAGTCGACTCGCTCGAAGCGCTAGTCATCATCGACAATGAACTCGACCCCCTCTCTCCAGCCGCTCCCCCACCTCCAGATACGGTCCAATTGACCGGCCACATGGGGACGCTGGCCGTCAACTCCCCGCACCATGTCGACAACCGCGGCGAGTGTCATAAGGAGGTACAGATGGAGGATATCTGCTGCTCGGCGCATGGGCTGTCCCTTCTTGTGGTATGTGTGTGCTTGCTGGAAGGTGGAAACCTGTGCTAAGGGCGATCAGACAGCCACCAAGGGCGACAAGAAACATTCGGTTCTTTTCGATGCCGGGCCCGAGGGTGATGCGTGGGAGAGAAATGTTAAGCGTTTGAGGCCGGATTTGTCTTGCGTGGAGGTTGTTCAGTTGTCGCATTGGCATCGGGATCATTCAGGTGCGTTGTCTGACTGATTGTTTGCATAAGCTTGCGAAGCCGTAATTCTATGCTCTGATGGTGTGTTTTGGGCTAAGATTGGACAGGCGGTCTCCCCAGAGCTGTCCAGATGATCACAGACGCCAAAAAAGCCAAAGGTCAAACAGACAAGGTCGTCGTGGACCTCCAGCCAGACCGCCCGGACTACCGAGGCGGTCGAATCGGCGAGACCATCTTTTCATTCCAAGCCGATCCAACATTCGAGGAACTTGAGGCAGCAGGTGGTGAGGTGGAGAAGCACGCCGACGCACACACCGTGTTGGATGACTTCTTCCTGATCTCGGGCAAGATCCCGCGTCGCACGCCGTACGAGGTCGGTCTGAAATCCGGCATGCGGTTCGATCGGGCGGACAACGAATGGGTGTCTGATGAGCTTATTGCCGATGAGAGATTTTTGATGTGCAATCTCAAAGGTATGTACATACCTATCTCGTAGGGATGACCCGTCTACCACCGCCTCTAACTAACTACGACTGCAGACAAAGGAGTCGTTATGTTCACGGCGTGCAGCCACGCAGGCGTGGTCAATTGCGCGCAGCATTCCCTGGACTTCGTCGACAAGTCCGTGCCTCTTCACGCCGTCGTCGGCGGGTTTCATCTCGCCATGGGCGATGCCAGCCTGCTGGACAGCACGGTCAGAGACCTCAAGCGGTTGGACCCGGCTGTGCTTTTGCCTGGGCACTGCTCAGGATGGCGCGCCAAGTTTGAAATCGAGAAAAAGATGCCCGGCACACTTGTGCCTTGCTCGGTGGGCATCAAAATCGCATTCTAATGCCTCTGTCACATGATGAATAGTTTCATCCGTATTGGCTCGGCCATCATGAAAGAGCGGGTGCTTGAACATTAGTTCGTAGCAGATCAAGCTGTGATCGTTCGGTTGTCTCGTTGCAGTCGTTATTCGAGCCGCATGTCTAGCTCGTGTTGAAGCTCGCCGAGTCGAGGTTTCGAGGCTCGAGGCTCGAGGCCTCGAGCATGTGAGATGGTCCATGTGATAGTCGGCGAATGTTTCATATTTATTAAGGATCGCTGCAGCGATGTCTCACGATCGTTGTTGGAGCGGCTATGGCGATCGATCTGCTAGTATATCCGAGGCATTGTTTGTTTGCATGAGCTTGATTGCATCGCTTTGGGAGTATTTCCTGCAGTTGCATGAAGATGTCGCTCGTTACAATGCAGTATCCAGTAATTTCAACATATATCCACATTAATGACGACTATAGATCAAGCGCGTGTCAACATAAATATATACCAGTAACCATACCCCCACACTATATATCCCAGTATCAACAAAGGACATAACAACTACAACAACTATAGTCAAACGACCAACCCAACCACACAACTACAACCATACCCAGTAATAACAACAACACACAGACCTATACAAATACCCCAAATAGGATAAACCTCAAACCCCGACATACCTCCTGCCAACTTACTTCCACCACCCAACCAATCCCATCCACCACTGCACACTGCACCGCATACCTCATACCTCAGACAGACAGATTTCTAATTTGTCTGGAGACATCCTCCCCCTCCAATCACCCCCTCTAGTCTAAAACGAATATGCAACGCAAGGCAAGGTCCTCCACCCCCACCGACGCCAAGATCCCTTTCCCCAAGACACAAGACATGAAGATACCTGTTAAGTTATTTATTTGTTTGTTTTATTTATTGTTTAATTACCCGATGCGGGATGTCGTCGATGGAGACGGGATCACAAGCACCATACTACAAGAATACCTGTCTACTCCGTTCCTTGGCTATGTATGTATGTAGGCCGGTATGGATGCATCATCTGACACGGCGAGTGTCTCGCTTGTGTGTAACTCCGATGAGATCACAACAAACGGGTTGAGTAACCTTTTTACTCTTGGCTGTTTGACTACTACGGTAAGGGTAGGCTGGGAGGGGATACTGTTGCTGGTTTTGTTTCCTAGGTGGTGTGTTAGGCTGGGCTGCTGTATATCCCAACGAGTATGGAGTACTGATTCGGTTGTTGTTTCTCACGTGTATACTCCCCATCTCTCAACCCATCTTCTGCAATTCCTATTCTTCCTCCCTTAACGCGTGTGTCCCCCATCCACCCATCGATTATCCCTCTGCCTAAAGCACCAACCTCACCAATAGGTATCACCAGCCCAGTCCCCCGAGATAGTCACAGAATTCACCGAAAATGCTCATGCACAGCCCTCTCCTCCTCCTCCTCCCTTGCCAAGACAATAAAACGTAGAGGGTGGAATGCACGGCAGCCTTGGCAGTTATCTATCCCGTCCTGGCTGATTTGTATTTATGTTGTATTACCGATGACGATTATAGGTTGGTTTTAGGTTTGTTCTGGGTTTAAGGTTGGAGTAGGGGGTCCTACCTGCTATACTAGGTAGTAGGTGGTAGGTACTGGACTCGCTACCCCGTACTTTAGGAGATTACTATAGTAGGACTAGGTGTTTAGTATAGTCCGTGTAATACTCACCTAGTCATTCGTGTGGGATAGACACTGACGATCATCTGGGGTACGGAGTAGGCTATACGAAAGCGAGTGTGAATGAAGTCAACCTCGTACAGTAAAATTGAGGCCAAGAATTGAGATGAGAAAAGGGGTTGATGTTGATAAGACAGTTAGTGATGCGTATTATTAGTCTGAACAATCGATGAACATCATCTCCTGCATGAACCTATCAAACAGCGTCATTCCTTATCTTTCGCAGGCTGATCACTCACTGCTAGTCCCCGAACTATCCCTCCGATCCTCCACGCCAAGAAACGCGTCGCTCTCTATTGATTCTGGGGGAACACGGAGTAAACAGTACGGAGGAGTAGCCTAGTAGGGCACTAATGGTTATTGATTGATCTTAGTCGGGGTAGAGTCGGTAAGTGACGCGACAGACGTCAATCAATCAGCGTCATCCGACCGAGTTCAGCAGTACGATGATGGTACAGGATCAATGTGATCCAACTCCAAGAAACAATATCGGCAATGCCAAGACCGTGCCTTGCTGAGGCGGGCGCGTCGAACACGCTTGGCGAACTTTCGCGGAGACTAACTCGACCTTCTTTCTTTATCTTCATATTGACTTCCACCGCGGGATTTTTTGAACCCGGTGACGTGGCCGTGCTGCGTGCCCTCCCCGATCCCGGTCAACGGACTGACTGGTTGGATTAGGTTGAATCCGGCGGTCGATCCGGGGATTCGATTCGAAAATTTCATATGCTGGTGCCTGAACTGTCCACAGTGGGTGTAGCCTAGGCAGTAAGTAGCCTGTACTGAAGGATTGCCCCATGGGGATGATGAACAATCTATGGAAGGAATTTAGTATCGAAGAGGACGAGAAGGAAGTACAGTACAACCTTGGCGCCGCATCACAGCCACCCCAGACGCACTGTCGATCGTCCATCCATCCATC